CCAACAGCGCCAAGCCCAAGCTGATGTTGAAGCAGACGAAGTATGGAAGCCGGTCCTCGTACAATCTCCGTGCGATGAGCGACCGCAGTTTGATCCCATAGCCGATGGAGAAGAAAAGCCAGTAGAAGAGCACGACGCCGTTGGGCTGTCTGCTGCGCCAGTGTTCATGGTACTGCACTGCGAAGATTACCCCGAGAGAGATAAGGACAAGGACGGAGCTCCAGAACCGATAGTCGTCAAACCAGGTTTGCGGGTAGGATTCGATCTGTATGGCTGCCTGAAGAGCAGTGGTGAAGATCAAGGCGGACAGGACGGTCTAATAATGCGGAGATGGTTAGACTGCGATGAGATCATCAACACCGGACGCGGGGACTTTCGCACCAATTTCGCATAGAAATGCCAGTTCTTAGAAACCGGCTGAGGCACTCTCTTCTTGAACAAGAGCCAAAGGGCTCCTGCACCTGCGATGATGCCCCATACCGCAACCAAGGAGACTCCAAAGTCGAGGAAACACGGGGTCAGGTCGAATCTGAACTGACTGAGAGGACCCCAGCCTTCCGGGTCGTGGCAAAATGACTGCGGCTTGGGGGAGAGGAATGCTGAGTTCGGGGTGGACGACAGCAGAGACTCCCGGCTGGAATCCCCGAGGAAGGACTGGGAACCACCGCCTTCCAACATTTTCCCCGGCTGAAGGTTACCGTATCCCAGCTCCTAGATCGCTCGTCCTTTCGGACCTGCAAAGGGAAAAGAGGGACCGAAGAACAAACCCCAGGGTACCGTCTGGGGGGAAAGGCCTGGAGGGAAAGAGATCGTGGGAAGAAGAGAAATGAAAGTTCGAGAGAGGGACGATAACGAGAGGGAAAGGAAAGGCTGATTTGCTAGTGAGATGCACGCTGCTTACTAAATGTGACGGTCAAAGCTTCTGCGCGATACGGAGACGTTACCGGAGCCCGGCCGTAAACCGAACTGCATGTACTGTACGCCCGGCAAGTTTAGTTTCTGTGATAGGGAGGTGTTCAGATTGATGAGTCACAATGCTTGACACTTGATAATGACAATAGAAAAAAAGGCATGCAACTGGAAAGTCGGGCAGAGTCGCATCACTGCGCCTTGATCTTGGAGAAGGAACGAGGAAGAAGAAGAGGAAGAAATAGCAAAAGTCGAAATGACATAATCCGATCTGCTCGTGGTAATCGGTCTTGGCATCCCCGACTGGGTCTCCGACTACTTCGGACCATCAGTCTGTCTCCAGAATTCACCTTTTTGTCTACCAGTCCCTGATACTTCAAGGTTCGCTATGCCTGTACTACATCCTTGCATCTCATGCTGTGCCCAGTACCACGAGTCAACAGGCAATGACATGTGGGGTTTCTGGTATACCTTGGTCTTTTTCTCGTGTTCACAAGGCGTAAGCACGCGATAGAGTGGGTGAAGTGAGGGCAACCGATGTCATCCAATGATATTTACTTGTTTTATTAGTCAAGCAATTTATGGATAACGAAGCTAGGATTTCTTGAGTCTAGGTCGAGCAGTGTTCTATCTGGATATAGCACAGCTAGCACGTTACAGTAAGGGTCATGTTGTCTTACAGTACGCACGAAGATCAATAGTAACACTTTTCCAAAGGGAACATACTATAGTACTGCTTTATCACACTCAATCATATTCATAATGTCCTTGATGGCATCGACTGACCACTCGAGAAAAGTGAACATATAGTTTCAGTAGTTTCCTCCGAGCAAAGTTTCGGGGCTTATCTCCGGGCGGGTCGACCTCTAGGCTGGCTAGCGGGTCCCTTCCCCATCGACAATCCAATCACACCCCGAAGATTCCGGAGCATGCCATCGTGGATTCGGATTACGAGCCTCATCGTGCAGCATTAGTGAGAGTTACAGGGGCGAGAATGAGATCCTCAGAATCTTGTACCTGACAAGAGCTGTAAGTCCGAATGGTAAGCGATGCTTTTACTTCACGCCAGCAGGGGTCCTTCTCTGTCAAGCGCGGTTGTCTGCATTGCTCATCAAATACGGAAGCTCGGCAGCCAAGCCCTGAGCTGAAGGCAAACCGAACGGATTACATCATTTATTGGTGTTCGGGCCCGACGACCTAAGGCCTTATATCCGGAGTACGCAATTCCGAGCGCTGGTACTGAGTAGCTCGATTTGCCTTTGAGAAGATCAAAACCAATACAGCGATCCGAACTGCCCAAACTGGGTCCTAGTATGTAAATCTGCTGCTCACTGCCTGTTTTATACGGCTAGCATAAAGCCTATTTTTTGAGATGTACTGTGATACACAGCTGAACTTTCCAGACGATTACCAAAGTCCGAGGCAAGACATGCAAAGCTGGGATCTGTCGCGATGGAGATGCCCCTTTTCTCTTCGAGATCGGTCTAGGCTATGGCTTAGACAGATTGAATCGTTAATGCAATTTGGGACAGCTATCGCTGGCATTCCACGAGTCATGCTCAGTCATATCACAGGAAGTCGTGACAATTTAGAGCTGTATGAGCAGCCTCCGGCTTTCTTATAGATGAAGGATCCTCTGCCTCGAATCCAGAGTTCAGCAGTATACCATGGAGCATAGTTGCAGCTGGAATAATTAGCCACTGGCTGCTGCGGTCTGCCCTCCGCTCACATATAAATCAAACGATGCAAACTAACCCCCGTGGGTGAAGGCGGTGAGAAGCCGGACGGCGGGGTCCATTCCGCAGCGTCATTCCGTCATTCCTTATGAATCATTCTTAAAAAACCATCTACAACAAATTCGATTTCTCAGTGGGTTGACGATGGGTGCAGAATCTACGGTGGAAGACCTCTTGAAAAGGCCTCTATACGGTGTGTAGATTACTCCCCTTGTACTCTTTATAACCCGTATCGTTCGTTTTCGCAACGCGCTTGCTGACACACATGAAGTTTATGATCTACCGCAGGAGCTTCTCTCCACCTTAACCACGAAAGGCGGCGATCAAGCGCTCTCAATTCAGAATGATGACGATGTGACGCCTGAAGAGTTGAAAGAAGAGGTACTGGAACATGCGATCGCCACATCGAACAGCTGTCCCCTCTGCAAGGTCACATACCTCAATGTACAGGAGCAACGCGACCATGTGCGATCGGACCATCACAAATACAACCTGAAAGTGCAGCTCAGGGGGGGTCCCACACTAGACGAGGTGCAATTTTTGAAGGCGATCGGGGAGCTCGACGAGTCTATATCCGGATCTGAGTCATCGGAAGGGGAGAACGAAGAAGAGGAGACCCAGCTTACGGCCCTGCTGAAGAGACAGGCCAAGATATCTCAGGAAGCTCAGGAGGAAGAAGATTCGCCTTCAAACAAAAAGACCGCGGGTCGGCCGCCGCTGTTCTGGTTTTCAAGCTCCGCGCTGCCGTCGAACGTCTCGCTCGGTGTCTACAGGGCTTTGTTCTCGGATGTTGAGCAGGATGAGCCCCAGCACCTCGTCGCCTCCCTGCAGAAAAAGCAACTTGTGCCCATCAATGCACCCAGAAATGCTGCAGATGAGCAAGCAAAGCCACTTCCTCCCAGTCCTCATATCTTCATGTGCATGATTGGTGGTGGCCACTTCGCCGCAATGGTTGTGTCACTGGCCCCCGAGATTCACCGGAGACAAGGTGGCATTGAGGATCGCCAGGCTCGGGTGATTGCCCACAAAACCTTCCATAGGTATACAACGAGAAGGAAGCAAGGTGGCTCGCAGTCTGCGAATGATGCCGCCAAGGGTGCCGCGCATTCCGCCGGTTCGAGCTTGAGACGATACAACGAAGCGGCGCTTGAGAAGGAAATTCGAGAATTGCTGTCTGAGTGGAAGCAATTGATTGACGAGGCGGAGCTGTTGTTCGTTCGGGCCACCGGGAGCACAAACAGGAGAATTCTGTTCGAGAAGTACGACGGCCAGATGTTGAGACAGAATGACCCAAGGCTTAGAGGGTTCCCGTTCAGCACACGCCGGGCCACCCAAGCCGAGCTTATGCGGTGCTTTAAGGAGCTTACGAGGGTCAAAGTGAGCCAGGTAGACGAGGCCGCTCTTGCAGCTGCAGCGGCCAAAGCAAAGGAGGTGGCATCAAAGCCGTCAACACCCCGGCCGCAGCAGCAGAGGCCCAAGATCTCGAAGGAGGAAGAGGAAGCCATACTCCACACAACACAGATTCAAGCGCTGATCCGGCGCTCCAAGATCCCCGCTCTGATGGCATACCTTTCGAAGAATTCCATCCCTTCATCCTTCACGTTCCGTCCCTCGGATTCCCAGCAAAACTTCCGCTGTCCAACGTCACTCCACTTGGCTGCCAACCTCAACTCATCGGCCATGGTTCTAGCGCTCTTGACCAAGGCCGATGCGGATCCGACGACAGTCAACTCCGAAGGAAGAACACCCTTTGAACTCGCAGGCGACCGTGCCACCCGCGACGCTTTCCGCATCGCTCGCCATGAGCTGGGCGAGTCGAAGTGGGACTGGACCGCCGCAAAGGTTCCGGCACCCATCTCCAAGGATGATGCGAGCAGCCGGCTAGAGCAGGAGCGAAAAAGCGCCGAGGAGGAGGAAGCCAACCGACGCAAGGCCGCGATGGCCCGCCTGCAGAAAGAGGAGGCTGCCCGCGCAGCCGAACAAGCCTCCAGAAAGCCGGTTGGCCGTACCCTGGGGGCTATCGAGAAAACGGCGCAGGAGAAGAGGGAGGAAGAGATGCGCGGGATGACGCCGGAGATGCGGATGAAACTGGAACGAGAGCGGCGCGCGCGAGCGGCTGAAGAGCGCTTCCGACGCATGCAGGGCGGCAATTAAGCCTCTGAGTAGAATTCTGCGATTGACTTACTGTAGCGTTGCGAAGAGAGCATATGATACCTTGGTATGAATATAACGAATGTTTATGCTAGTGACACGAGCATCTCTTCAGCCTTGATCCACAGATTTAAACACAAGTATACTACTGTACACTACCGAAACCCCTGCAAACAACCAAACCCACCCTCCCAGCCCCGTCCCAACCGAACCCACCATCACCACCACCACCACCACCATACCCACTTACCAGCACCATGATGAACGTCATCACCACCTCTTCGCCAAAACCAAAACAAGAGGCCACGAAAACGCCCTCTTCACCCCGACTCCCCCCATTGCGCCCTCCAACACCCTCCAATCTCCCCCATCTTCCCACCCCTCAACCCCCTCACAAACCGCCTCAACTCCCGCACATCCCAATCCCTCCGCCACAGACCACGATCTTCCACCTCCACCACCTTTTCCTGCCCCCACCGCACCCGACTCACGGGGGTCTCAACCACAAACCCCCCCGCCCGAACCGTAAAGAACCCCAACCTCGCCCACCCTCGATTCCACTTATGTCTCTCCACCGCCCGCCACTCGCCCACCGGAAAAGCAAGATAATCCAACCACCTAGCCACGGCATCAGCTTCGCGCTTGAAGCTTGCGCGCTGTGCCTGGTCCCGCGTAGAATGACGGAGCGATACAGCCGGTCCACGATCCCGTCTAGTAGTGGCTGGCACTCGGCTGCGAGGGCTGGTTCGGAGAAGTGCGGGAGGCCGTAGAACGAGATGGCGAGGGTTCCGGCGCCGTTGGGTTTGAGGACGGTGTGCAAGCTCCGTAGAGCGGCGGCGGGGTCGGGCAGGAGGGTGAACATGAGGGCGCTGATGATCAGGTCGGCGGAGGCGGGGGGGAAGTGGGTGGCCAGGTGCTCGGCGCGGGTGAGGGTGTAGGTGAATTGCGTTGTGGTTGCGGTGTTCGCTGAAGGGTGGGAGGTGTGGAGGTGTTTGGCGCAGGTGAGGTGGCGGGGGTCTATGTCGCTGACGTTGACGTGGGGGAATTTGTGGGAGAGGGCGTGCGCGACGTGGCCTGGGCCGTCGCCGATGTCGTGGGCTACGGTAAAGGTTGGGGATGAGGAGGGGGAGGAGGAGTGGGAGGCCGATGCATGGTAGTTGTAGATTTGGTTGAAGAAGGAGTCGGGGTAGGTGGGACGCGCGAGGAGGTATTGGTTCCAGTACATGGTTGTGTCGATGTTTGGGGAGACTTCCCAGCTGCAATGGTGCGAGGTTGCGGTAAGGGTTCTTCGGGGCGGTTTCTGGAGGTTGAAAGCACTCTTTGGGGGGAGGTGGTGCTGGGTGTTGATTCCGCGTACCAAAAGCTGTGATCTATTCGGATACGGTGCATTGTTGGGTATATGGTGTGATGGATAGATTGGTGTTTGTCTTTCTGCTTTCTAATGCAGGAGTGAATCAACAATTGAGACTGTAGACTCATAGCTCCTTTTTATAGCAACAGACGAGGCTTTGAGAGTTTGTGAAAGCTTCATTGCGAATATATGCCAAGCTGTCAAGCCACTTGTAGATCCATGCACTCATCTATCTGGTGGCGGTCAAACTGCACGTGCAAACCATCAAGTCGGAACAAATAGCATCGGCCCTTGTCTACGGTGGGTGTTGCCATGTTCGAATTGACTCTTACCGGGACTGGTAGAACGCCGACTGCGTTAAGGAGACACAAGAGTCAATTACTTCATGACTAGCATAAGGGCAAGAAGACCTGACCTGGTCCGTAGGATAGGACTCCGATAAGCTTTGAGCATTGAAGCAAGACAGTTCAAGCTATCTAGGTGGGTCTCAACTACAGCAATGGTAAAGTAGGGACCCCACTCAGTAACTTAGCCCCTGTGGCTTCGGCCGCCATATTCATCATGTAGTTCCTACTCATCCTTCATCTTCGCCTCCTCCTCCTCCTCCTCCTCCTCCTCCTCCTCCTTCACTACAGTCAACGATGCAACGAAAAACGTGCGCAACGAGTCCGCATCAACAACCACCGAAGTTCCCCGTGATGAACACAATCGAGGCAGAAAAGCCATCGGAAACAGAGCGACAGGGGCCAGACCCACCTCCGCCTCATCCTCGGTGCCACTCGACTCACCCCCCGAAGTGGGCAAAAGCACATGTGTCTTTGTCTTCCAGGGGGACTTGTAAAATGCAGGGCAGAATACAGCGCGTAAATGCACGCAAAAGGGCTCTGTGGACAGAACAAACGTTTGGTTATTCTCGACAGGCAGCCCCAAAGTCACCCCAAGCTCGCTTTCGACACGGATGAGATAGTAACTGACCTCCTTTGACGGAGCGGAACTCCTCAACCCTTATACGCTCCCTGTATGTCTCAGGTGTGATCAGTTGGGACTCTTCCGGTGTTTGTATGGGAGGGGTGGAGCACGAACATCTCGCGTCGGTTGTTCTCAGCAATATCGTCCCATCCGCGCTTGGTGAGTTTTGTGATGGTGTGTACACAGTAGAGGAAGACTAGAGAGACGATATTGGCCACTGTAAGTATGCTTAGGAGGGAGTCAAAGGTGCCCGCGGCTACAACGACGGCGACTTCCTCGGGCGAGCTTGCATCTGACATGACTTGGGGGATCGGTGCCGTCTTTCTTGCGGCTCTGTAGTTATGAGTTCTGGTGGACTGTGATACTCGTTTGAACAGTGCGTGTGGTCTGGCAGGTGTGGGGTTGTAGGAGAAGAGAAGAAAAAGGGGGAGGAGATATCTTGCGGGAGTATGACGAACTGACTCAAGATTATAAAAGAATGCGTCGGCCACCGGTCCTGATTATGATATCATGGGTATGTTATTGACACTGAACATAATATACGTGCAGCTCTCCTCAGTAGTAGTAATGCAGGGCAGTGCTGAATGACCATCTGTTGCTCACTTCTGGAAAGAAGGCGATCCTGAGGTGTGAAGAACCGAGTCCAACTGCCAAATCACATCATCGCTTCAGCAATTCATGACTCCGCATGTCATCTTTTCAATTAAAGTACATCGAACCCGCGGAGAGAGTGCCGTTCCAGCACAACCTGAACTTACTACTCTACCACATCGATCCTCTATTACGCCTAGATATCTCTGTTGGGCTGAGCAGTTCGATGCAGTACTCAAGTATGGTACATGACTAGGGTGTATCCAGGCCATTCGGGGTATCCAACCCGTGGGCTGAAAGCCCCGGCTGATGACCCGGTATCATGCAAAAGAAAATGTAGGATTGACGTTCATCTCAATTTGGGCTAACAGTTTAAGGACAGTAGTCTGAGAACAGGCTGAATCATATAGATCTTAATGAGAGAAGGATGATTATATCACCATGAACAAAAGAACGACGACAAACGATAGCACTCCCCATTAGTCTTCAGCACAGTCCCCCAGCACCCCCCCATCCCAAGCCTCCGCCTACTTAGTCGAAACGAAACACGTTCTGCAGTGGCAAAGATGCGCGTCTACCAGTGGAAACCCCACGGACAGGCGAAACCTACCGTGATAGTCTCCAGCTGCATATTCCACCCCATTCGCAAACGACAAAAGCAACCACTTCACTGGCATTCCATAGCCGGAGTTCCAGCACCACACTGGCAGCAAGACTTGCCCTCCTCGACCATACAGACGCACCCAACAGGGCATCGGTGCCCTCGGTATCAAATCCCACGCCGGAGCAGGAAGAGCCCGGGCAGCATTGGCTGAGCAGGGACTGGGCCTAGCCGTAATCGTAGGCGACATCGACCGCGTCTCCTTGGGGGAAGAAGGAGAAAATGCAGGACCCGGATGTCCAGTAGGTGTTGTCGTTGCCGCTGACGGTTCGGGATGTGGGGATCAGGGCAAAGGCTGCGTAGCAGTCGGAGCTGGTTGCTTTGTCGCAGTCGCCGCAGGTGATGATCGAGCCAGCGAAAATGGTGGTGACCAGGGCGGCCAGGGTAAGGAAGATTTCGGGGCTCATAGTTGATATAGTGTATGAAGTATAGTGTATGGAGTGTATGCACGAGTCTCGTGTGAAATACAGAGCTCTGAGCAAATCTAGGGTGGTTGGAATGAATGTTGGAGTTCTGGAGTTCTGGAGTTCTGGAGTTGTGTGAGGGTATCTATACCTCTATGCTGCTTTACTGATATGCTGCTATATTGCTAACTGCCATACTGCCGTACAGCCATACAGCCATACTGAATCTATCTTTCCGACGGACGACCGGTCAAATTAGCCATCCTTCACAGAGGATTCAGCCCCCAAAGTACGGGGTTTCCCACTCCACAGCCCGTTGGTCGAAAGGAAGACTAGAAACAGGTTATCCTCGAGGGGCCTTACTCCAAGGTAGTACTCGGTTGTGTCGAACATGGGATCTGGGCATCTGAGATCATATCCCATGCATGGCAAGAAACAGTGTATACTCGCGTAGCCCGAACGGACGGATTTGAACGTACCTTGCAGAGCAAGATCAGATTTGTGGTCGAAGTGAGTCTCTAACAGCAGGATAGCCTTCATTGAGTCCAAACAGCGACGAAAAAGCACAATTGAACAATTGGTGTAGATACTTAATACGTACAAGAAGAAACCCCAAGCATCGCAGCAGTATCCGACCCGGGACCCGACTGTAGAACCCTATATAAGAACTTGATATTAAGCTTTAAGCCGCATGCTAAGGCAAACTAAGCTTCTTCAACAAATCAAGCAAACCGAACAACAGCCCCACAATTCCTCCTAGCCTATAAGAGTCTGTATAGAAGTAGCCGCGGTGGATAAGCAAGCCCCTGCGTACAAACGGCGGCTTATCTGTTCGGCCACCTCCCCTTCGGACGACAAAGCCCAAGGTAGGTCGGATTAGTTGAGCGACCCAATCATAACTCTCTACTGCAGGATAGGTCTCTCTATCCACAACCGAGGCTGCAACAGATTACCCTCAATTTCCAGGTTTTGGAGAGGCTAACCAGAGCTTCCTTGGTCCTTTCTTGGCTTAATATACAAGCATATCCGGCACGTCCCGGGCTTAAAGAATCAGGGGTCTTAGGCAGACCTGCCATGGCAGGCTCAGGGTAAACCCTTCAGCATCCTAGACCAGTAGTAGCTACTTTTGAGTGCACAGCCGTAAAGACGTAAACAATGACAAAATTGACAATTGAAGTGGTATCGGTCCTTGCCCTTGATTAGGCGCGTGAAAAAGACAATACTGTTAACGAGGCTTATCCAACGAGCTGATCTGCTTTGATACCAGAGGTGGAGTGGTTATAAGGCTTGGATAGGTTGATCCATAAGACTTTTTAATAAATCCCGGAAGGCTTGAGAGAATGTGAATAAGTACAGGAGAGATGAAATTTAGGACGATGAGGAAGATGGAAGACCTCCTGCCTTCTGAAAGACAAAGCTCTCTTTCGCTCCTGCCTTGTCAGCGGGTATGCAGTTGATGATGTTTTGGTGACAGAGAGTGAACATTCTATTCACAGATTAATGTAATCACACAGAGATCAATATACCTACACAAAGTAATGTATTCACACGAACGTCCATTGGGTGAAGCACTAACTTCGCAATTCTGTAAGGGCCATCTTCAACTCTCTCCAACTGAACTTATTCACTGAACTTATTCAAGTTCCATTGACTCGGTTGAGGCTGCTTAGTACGTACGGCCTTAGGCTAGCTATGCGGGCACTTAGAGAGATACTTGGAAATCTACAAGGGTACATAGAAGTCACTAATAGTATATGTATACGATCACTCAGACAGATATCCAAATGGTAGCTTTAAAATAGTACTCCAAAAAGGTGTAAGGGCCCTGCTGGGCCCGCAAAGGGCGCTCCCATAACGCCTCTGACCAGTGGAAGTCATCTGCAGATAGGCCCTCGCATCTATAATCTAAATCTATATCCCAGATGTGCAGAAGTTACAGAGAAACATAAGTCAAAAGAACAGGCGTCGACCGTAGCGGGGGATGGTGCGCAATGACCTCGAAAACAACAACACCACCAACGGCAGCGCGGCCCGTCACAACCCCCCGCTTACTCTCCGGTTGGCCTTGGCCTGCATCCGTCGCATGGCCTCCCGATGCAACTCACTCATGTCGCCGCCGCGCGGCGGGCCCTCCCCTGCAGCGGCAGCGGCGTGGCGGTGGTGGATCAACGAACTGTGCCGCTGCAGCGACTGAACGTAGGGGGGCGGGCTGCGATCGACTCCCGTGGCCATGCCTACGGGCCCATCCGGCTGTTTTGCGAGGGGGTCTCGTTTGTCCCTCAGATCCTCCAGGATCGATTCGCGCCAGGCCGCCATCGCAGCCGGCATGTTGCTAGAGGATTGGCCATTGCTGGGGTGTCTTCTGGGTAGTGCTGGTGGGCTGGGTATATGTGCTTGTGGTGGGCTTTGGATTGTCTGCTGGTGTAGCAGTGTGCGGCGCTGGGACAGTGGCATGTTGTCGTCCGTCTCTTCGAGATTGGGACCGGCGAACGAGTACCGTGGTGGTTGGCTGTCGAGCGGCGCTTGCCAGGAGCCGGAGCTGTTCCGCGAGAAGGGATCGAAATTCAGCGAGAAGGACGACAAGCGGTTGCGCATCATGTCCTCCCGCACGGCTATGAGCGGAGGCGGTCCTCTCCATCGTGGCTTAGGAGGCTCAGGCTCATCTCTGGGCTGTTCCGCCCCGACAGCATTACCCAGGTGCAACGGATCTGTTGGAGGAGGCGATGCCTTCTTCTTGGACCGGCTCGGATGAAGACCCTGGTGCAGATATGGGTCCCCTGACACTCGTTGACTCTTAGATCTGGACAGGTCTTTGGCCTTGCGTTCTACGGCCGGAGGCGGCTGCGCATTCAGCGGCGTCTGCAATAGTTCCTCCACATTAACTGGTGCCGCAACTTCCTCCACTTCGGGGACAATTTCGGGCTCCTCCTCTTCCATAGGCTTGATCGGTTCAAGCTCGGGCACTTCTGCATCAGCGAGGTGTTTGGCCCACTCATTAGTGCGATAGGACTGAACCACTTTGGATGTCTGCTTTGGCAGATGTTTCACGGTTTTCTCATCGAGTTTGGGAGGCTCCGGAGGTTCCACGGGCTCTTCTTTCTTAGGTTTCGATTCGGTCTCGTTTGGACGAGTCGACGCCGTGCTTTTGCTGCGAGTGGTGCCCTGGATTTCATTCTTGTCCGATGTTGATTGATGTGGCTGATCTAATGCGCTTTCTGGAGTTCCTTCCTTGCCATTGGTAATAGGTTGTTCGGGCTTGTTCTCTTCCGTTGGAAGGGGCGCGCACGATTGCTGTTTCTGTGACGCTTTCGACTTTTTCTTTGATGACTTTTTCCCCTTTTTGCGCTGTTTGTTCTCTGTCTTTGGTTCAGAGGCTATAGAAGTTTCGGTCTCTTTGCCCTCTTTCCCCTCGTTTGCTGGTTTCTCCTGATGCTTGTCAAGTACCTGCTTTTGCTCCGCAATGGACTCTAAATTTTGTCCCGAAGGAGGGCTCTTGTCACCTTGCTCCGCCCCCGGATGTGTCTCTGATACAATATCCTGTGATTTCTCGTCCGTTGTTTCGGTCGTGGCCGCTGGCGGCTGCTTCTGGTCGTCATTGTGCTCGGGTTGATCACCCTGCTCATTTGAGGACTCAATCTTTGGTGCTGTCTCAATTGCTTGCGGTTCGTGCTTGACTTCCACAGATTTGTCCTTTCCTTCCTCATCCTGTAAAGCATGACCGCTAGACCCTTCGGCTTCGGTAAGGTCCTTGATCTCCGGTTTTGTGCTATCTTTGGCATCACTCTCGTCTCCCGCGGGTGTAGTTTGACTCTCCTCGGCAGCCCGATCGCTGCCAACATCCGGGATATCATTGCAAGATGGAGCAGTACCATCCACCGAAACAAGCGCCTCCTTCGACTCCGAGTGAAGAAGTCCATTACTACCAGCTTCCTCGGCCTTTTTCATCAATGAAGCCCCCGACATTCGTCTCGAACGCACCGATCCCACCTCTGATCCAATAAGAGCAGTGACATCGGAGCTCTTATCCTCCTTCATGCGGGCCGCGGCTGCTCCATCGAACACCTTCAGCGGAACAGCACCACTATCACCACCCGCGCCCTCTGGCTCTCCATCCCGACTGCCTGCGCTAGCGTCTGACGTATGTGAATCGGTATCACTATCCTCGCCGCGCTCCCTGCAGTCTGAGCATCGATATGAGCTGTAAGACGACTCCGAGATACTCCGGACCTCAATGGCATCGCCCTTCTCCATGGCGTCCATCTCGTCGATTGGCCGCTTGGAGTCCCCGGATAGCTCAGGGGTGCTCGACAACGGAGACCCATCTCCGTACGTGGCCTCCCACTCCTTCCGCTCCTGCATATTATCCTCTTCTAGTCGGCGGCCAACCTCGGCCTCGGCTTCTTCGTGGTGCTGTCGCTCCTGGTCGCGCTTCTCTTTCTCCTTCTGGCGACGTTCACGGACTACGTTCCACAGTCGAAGCTGGGAGACTACACCCAAAATGGCGACGATGACGGTGACGGCGAGTTCGACGCGGATGTTGCGCGTGACCGGGTAGGTGCTGGTGCCTAACGGAAAGATGTCGCTGTTGAGGTCTAGAAGGGTGAGAACCAATCGCTCATGTCAGCTTCTCAATGCTTTACACTCCATGCTCTGTCCCACCATGTTTGGAAACTCAATCGAAAACTCACTCCAGATGTAGAGCCAAAACTCCTTCAAGCCCGCGCGGCTGAAGCAATCAATACCCAGCGCCACAGCGGTACCGCCAGATATCCCTGTAGATGCCATCAATCCGTATGGACGGGTGTATTGACTGAAGGACATAGCGTAGAAGGCAGCCGACATGGCCCCGATAAATCCGCTCTTGGCGTTGGTGTCCGTCAGGAGGCCTCCCGACTTCAACGAGAGAAGCCACATACTAGTGCAGAAGCCACCCAAGAGGCAGCCAAGGCCTTCCGTCAACTCCTTGAAGACGATAGCTAGCGCCCCGAAGGTTGCGCCGGTAAAGACGATAGCGACCAGGTATGCGCCCTGGACGGCGACTCGCACTGGCGGACTCATCACGTAGACGATGAGGACCTGTGAAAAGGCAGATAGTTAGAAATGTAGAGCCATGTATATATCGTGAGTAGTCCCTTGAGAACATACAGTAACACCAAGACTGGTCAAGAATGCCGTGGATAAGAAGACTTGAATCCTGAAAGTGAGGGGTCAGTGTGTCTGTGTGTGTGGCTTAAACTGCGCTATCGACTCCGGCAATGACCAACCAAAGATTTTGGATCCCGATCAATGCGAGGACAGCTCCGGCAGCAAGAAGAATAAAGCCACCGATACCCAGAGCCGGGGTGACTTCGGGTTGCAATGGAAGATCATTCGGATTGGTGGGCGCCTTGTTATCTGTCTCACGCAGTCAGTTCAGCTTGCCACGGCCCGATAAAATCCAACGCGGCGACCGCAATCTCGGAGAGAAAAGACCTACCATCGTTTGTCACAGATGAATTCAACGTGGTAAGAGTTGTGGAGGCTGGGATGGTGGCGTTGGTCGTCCTCGTCGCGTTACTTGCCACATCTGTCGCATGGCTAATTGCACTTGTCGCCGTGCTGCCATCAATCGCTTGCGTGGTGCTGCTCGGAGGAGGCTCATCTCTGGCAGTGATGAGGCCATTGAAGGCTTCGCGTGGGTTGTGCGGGTTTTGTGCTGAGACAACGAAGAATAGACTTGGCACAAAGTAAACGGCCAGCGTTAGCAGGAGGAAGAAGCGCATGGCGGGTGACTTGGGTGAATCAATGAGACTCAAATGTGATTCAACGTCCAACAGACGGCCAATGGAAATATTATCTGGTCCAAATTGGCTTGTGGCCCTCTAAGGGAATGCCAGCCAATGTCCGGAAGATGCAATCGAGCTGCCTGGCGGTTGCTATTCACATAACTGTCATGTAGGTCGCCGACAGCTGGAAAGGCAGTGTGGTCACCTGTCAGGGTTGACTGGAGACACGCAAGTAGGTCCGAGAAACGTGTCGGTAGATTCTGAGACAAGGTGGTCGCTTACATATAACCTCAATTGCCACTATCTACTATATGTATCCATTGGCGGAGACGGAAAGGTATAACGCGAAGGCTTGGACCTAGCATATCTGCACGGGACTTGGAGGGACGCCGTCATTGATTCGAGCTCAACCCTAGTCAGATAGTCGAGCACGCCTTCATCCAGAGCTCCAGAAGAAAAATAGACTAGGTGCACGGCAGACGCGAGATGGCCCACTTTTTGGAGTTTGGAGGGCGAAAAAAGCAAAGTAGTCGCATGGTCGTACATGATAATTGAAATTATTTAGCAAGGATCCACCCCCTGGTGTTCATCATCTGAAATCTTTCCGGGAGTAGATCGTGCGAGACATGATAACGGCAGGCAGTCCAGTCGACAAGCGAATCCAAAGGAAGACACACAAGAGGCACGCCCAAGGGATATCCTGAAATCCTAGGCTCGAGTCCATGACCCTTTAGATGATGGTTCAACATTTTCGACTGGTTCATTTCAGTCTTTGTCCACAAAAAAAGTTTTGGAGGAGGCTTGCTAGCCTCGGCGCCATAGCATGCCATATACGAGAGGAGCGGCCTGGTTTGTTTCATTGGATCTGGTGAGCCCAACGATTGGCTTCGCCTTGGAGAATTATGACCTGTTGCGTGAGAAAGATGCCTAGCGTTGTCCGCGTATTTTGTGGCCTTCTCCGGGCTAAATTAGGATTCTGATAATTAGCGCTAGACGGTCCCATGTCATACGGAAGAAAGAAGGATCTGGGGGAGCTGATCAAGTTCATCCGTCACTGATAGAGAAGGACAAGCCCACTAGCCGCTAGTGGTTAGGCTGTCCGTGTGATCGGCCGCAAGAAGCGACATATCTAATTTCCTTTGCCAAGCGTACAGCCTATCAGGCTGGAGCACCTCAGGGAACAATGCTCATTGGGACTGCAACACCAGTCTCAAGACGCGCCGTCAGTGGACGATGGGTTTGCAACTGATATCCGACGCTTAATTTGACTCCCAGGTATTTCCCGCGACTATCGAACCCTTTGAGCCATACAGGGCTACAGACAACCTGGAAGGCAGTGTGGAGGCAGGCGGGTTCGACCCGACGGCTATGCCGAGGTGCAGTCTAAGGTGCACAGTACCATAGGCATGACGAACGCGGGTTGATCGATCGTCCCCCAAGCTCCAGCGGTGTCGCAACCTGCATCGCCTGGCCGTACCAGCAGGTAGTCTATCAGGCGGAAGCTTTCGCGGAAGCGCTGGGTTGTCAATTTCCGGTCAAGCACGCATCAATAGAAGTATGCAGGATAAGTGCGGTGAGAAGGCTAAGTGCCGGCTAGTCTTGAAGAGAATGCATCCCTCTAGTAAGCGAGGGTTGGATGTATGCCTTGCTGTTTCCTCGGATGGAGCTGGGATCTGACGTCTCACAAGCGGACGCTGCACGGAAAGTGGACTATTTCATGACCGACCGTCTGGCACGGCAAAGAATTCCCACGCTTTGGAAAAAGTTTCTTACTTCTCAAAGTCTATGAATGATATATGCATGCACGACCGCATATCTGGTAGAAAATGGAAATGGGCTGAGTCTGGCCAGTGCAACCGGTGTGGAATTGACGATGATGGCGTTGATGAGAAGGATGAAATGGGCGGGGAGGGAGTATACTACCTAGGACTCGGGAAGACTATCAAGGTCCCAAGGGACAGAGCAGATCACGTGCCGTAACCAAAACACGGCACTGTGCGGAGATAGTACGAGGGATAGCAACTCTGCTGCTGCTGTCGTCCCCGACAACAATCCCACCCCCTCATCACATCTCAAACAAGATTGCGCCCTAAAGCAAATCTCGATCTTGACCACATCCCCCCCCCTCCGCCCACAACACACACATCATGTCTGCCTTCATGTCTTCGCTGCGTCCTGCCATGCGCGCCACCTCCGGCGCCGCACAGGCTGCGCGGTCCTTCAGCTCCTCCTCGTCGCGCTCCGCCGCGAAGATGTTCATCACCGGCCGCCTTGCGACCGAGCCCGAGTTGCAAGTCACCGCCTCCGGCACGGAGATTGTCAAGTACTCTGTCGCCACGCAATACTACTCCAAGGGCGAGAAGCCGACGAGCTACTTCAAGGTCTCGGTCTTCCCCGAAGGCGGCCAGAAGGATTTCATCCTCGGCCTGCCCAAGGGGTGAGTGTCCTATTCCTTCCAAGAAAGAGAGACCATAAGCCTAGGCGAAACACGCGCTGCAGCTCCTGCAATTCGCCGGCTCTCCATACAGCTAGCTAGGCAGAATGAAGACTGACTTCGCATAACCTATCTAGAACTCTTGTTTTCGTCGAAGGAGATGCCGCCATGCGCACATATGAAGACGCCAACGGTAACAAGCGATCGTCGCTGAACATCCTTCAACGTGAGCTCCTCGCCCCTCGAACCCAGCCCTCTCAAACCTCACCCTCCCTCCAACCCAATCACCTCCACATCAGAAGACTAACAACTCATTTCCCATAGGCACTCTTGAGGTCCTGAGACGCCCTTACATTCCCACCGAGTCCGCCGAGGGCGACGAGCAGGGCACCAACTAAGCCAGAGTCCACACCATGCACAAAACCTCAGCAAGGCGCAGGCACTCCGTCGACGCAAACAAAAAACACATACACACACACCACACCCTACTCGGGATTCAATATCCGCTGCACAACGAAATAGGACCGGTAGTTCTTCGCGAGGAACCCTTGCCCTTCCCAGCTTGGAAGGAGTAGGATCGCGTATTTCTTAGAGATCAGGCCTTGGATTCATGTCGGTAGAACGGATGTGTTGCTTTCTGGTCGGCATTATTTATGTCTCTCTCTCTCTCTCTCTCTCTCTCTCTTCATCTCTCCCTGCGCCCGCTATACCCGGTCGTTGACATGACTGTATGTCTGTGGTTCCGCCTGTCTGCCTGTGTTTCACGGTTACGGCCATACATCCCCCATTTGTACTTATAGCGCGATATAATTAAAGTTGGAAACCAGTACGCTATTCTTCCGGGAGGAAGGGTTCTTGTTGATGGATCTCTCGCCGCCTTCTTCTATTTATATAAATCTGCGGTCTGAAACTTTAGTATGCGATGGGCCTACCGCATGTGTTGCGTCAGCATTGCTGATGGTTCTGCAACTGCATGTATAACTTACCACCCTTTGTAGATCTTGGAAGAAAGCGTGGATCTCGTCCTCCCCATGCTCCGTAAGCATGGCTTTAGTGAAGATGCTTGGGCTGGGCTTGCATGGTAAACTCTCTTGCGCGTCTCCAGTGAGTTGTTCATGCATTACGGCCGAGGGTCTCACCCGGTTGCTCCCGGTCGCTCCGTGGTCTAATGGCTTAAGAGTCGAGGATCTGCTGGTTACTGAAGGGTTTGGCTGTCGCTGTGAGAACAAAAGCGTGGAATGAATAGTCTAAGGCAGGCGAAGTTTACGTAGCCCATTGGCAGTAGAGAGTACGAAAGACGTCTCTGATCTCCACAAATTCACCTCGCAAAGCCACCAACCACCAACCAGCTATTAGAACGCCTTAAATATAAGGTTAAAGTAATGTAGAAAACGTAGAGAATAAGAAATTGACCCTTCATCTACCCTGCCCTTTACCGCACAGATTCGCCTGTCACCCTCTTCCCTCCCTGGAATCACAGCATCCTAAGCATACATCTCGCTCTGCTGGGTGATGACCTGCTTGACTCGGATGTGGTCGTCCTTGAGCGGGGGGCTTCCAAGGTCGCTACTGTTCCGGCTTCGGCTCACGCCTGCCCAGGCATTGGTCGAGACTGTGTTTGCAGTTGTCTCGGCCAAGTGGTGGAGGGGGAGCATCCTATCTCTGCTAGGAGACCCTTTAAGTCGCCACGCACGCTTGTACCATGGAGTGCGCGCAGGTTGCTTGCTCTGAGGCGTGACCCCTTTTTCAACGTCTTGGGTGTTGTGACCTATGGGTTGCGGGTGCATGGTGTTGTTGACATTTGTTCTATGAAAGTTAGGGCTGGGGCTGGCTTTATACTCTGCTGTGGAGGGCCTTACCTGGCTGCGGATGTCCATTTCCAATTGAAGAGCAGCTTCGCCCGGCTACTTGTTGAGCCGGTTGAGTCGGCCGAGGTGGTGCCTGAGGAAGTTCGTAGGCAGGTGAAGCAGTGGTGCATACCCAGGAAAACTAGGATTGCGCGGTACATCTTCGTGGCATCACGACCGCTGCCAAAAAAAATGAAGAACATGAAGCCCGATGCGGCTGGAATCCAGCGGTCGAAGTATACCTCGCCCATCGTGGGGACTTTGATAATCACGTTCCAGGTGGGAGGATGGGCACGATCCCAGGAGTACGCATGCCACGGGAGGGTACGCAGGATGTTGGTACACACAACGAAGGTCTGGACAGGGATAATGGCCAACAGCATGAGAAAGGCGAGCAAGAAAAGCCGCACGAATCGAGATTTGTTCATGTTGCTGTTCGAGGATTGGAGTATGTCTCCGAATTGACTTCGATACTTGCTGAGACGATGCAGAACGATCACTGACAACGTTAGAACTTGATGTGTGAATGAATCAGCTAACATACCGCAGTAGTAGCCAGCGATCAGACAAATGACCAGCGGCCAGATATAGGCCAGGACCAGGGTCACCCAGGTTTCATCGTAGCTGTTGACACAACCAGAAATAGCAAAAAGAAAGTAACGCCCCCCCTGGTAGATGATCTGCGTGACGGTTGCGATTGCGGGGGCTATGAAGCAGAACAGAAGAGTCATTCCACGATTCCACCACCGCTGCGACTTGGTAGGGACTAAAGCTGCACGCCTGGTGTCCAGCACGCAGGCCAAACTGCGAAAGATACAAACGAGCGTCCCAGGAACAGCAATGTAACTCGCAATCATAATCTTGCCCTCAAAATCACATAGCCCCTTACCGTCCCACCAAGAACTCACGTCATCGGTAGGCCAAAGTATGGCATTGATTATGTTGAAGACGTTGAGAATCATGTACCAGCAGATCAAGCTGCTGGCAGCCACGTTGCGGTTGTTCCAGTGCAGTACCAGTGGCACCACGCTCAACAAAATAGAAACGAAGGATATAACCGGAAGGAGTACTGCTTGCATGTAGAGCGGATACACCGGAGCTGCTTGAGCACACATGTTGCAAACTGGGTGACACTAGTTGCGTAGGAGGAGACCTCGATAAAGTAGGGCAGCCTTGAAGCTATCCGGCTGCCTTTCTGCTTGGTTAGAATGCGTGAGAGAATGATCATGGGCTCTTGACAGGAGTATGAACGAAGGAGGATGGTTCTGGGTCATCGTGTCGGGTGCAGCAGCACCATATGGACCATATGTGCCTTGATCTCCTGAATAAGGAGTAACAGCAATGTCTTATTGACGGAACCCAGAATTAGACAGGTACGAGAGCATCAGAGCCTTCACTGAGGGTCTAATTGAGACATTCTCTTGCCAGTCGCAGAGGGGGTACAGAATCAGAGATTCGCGAAATGAGCCGGCAAGTGTTGTGACCAGGCATGCTATAGACGCCGCTGCGGCCAATCAAACGGACCACCTGGGTAACAGCCATTTCCACTGAGTCTCAAGAAATGAGTCAATACATCAATCCTCGCTTGATAGTCTGAATAAGGGGGGTATGAGAACACAATTGCGGTCATAGAATGGGGCAGTGGAGGAGGAGTTGACAGCCAGGATAGACGCACTGCTCCGTCTTCTCTGCGCCGACCTTTCCTAATTCGGGTCTCAAAAGATTCAGTCAGTCACCTCCACAGCTCGCCTCATTTCTGCTGTGTTCCATCTATTACACCCTCCATCTCAACAGGCTCTGTTTCATGCACTCGGTTGCTATTTTCAGCTATGACTGTGTCAAATGACTATTTTCCATCGGGGATGCATCATGCATCTAGTCGGACTGAACTTCGCGACCCCAAGCTACCAAAAACCACCTGCTAGGTCTTGTATACAGTACAAGAGCTCTCGCTGGTGGTACACTATCTCGGTGATATGCCAGCCCATGTCGGACTTTGTGTCGACCGCAGATTAGCTCAAAAGTGCTTGTGACAAAGAAACCACAAAGTACTTTGTCACCCCTGCCTGAGCTTAAATCGAGCTTATCACTACAGTTCCAAAGACGCATAAATTGAACTAACCGGTCCCGGCGGAGATAATTCAACTTCTTCTCTGTGTCTGTTTTTCGTCGAACAAACAGTCTCAAACACCCAAAGTTGGTTTGTCATCCTTGCGCGCATACTTCGGCTAATTGCTCTTTGATGAAGGGTCGTACAATCACTACTGATGACCCGTGCCAGATCGGATTGCCTAGCATGGATTAGCATAGAATAGGATGTCAACTCGCAAGTTGCGCCGATATGCTCACCCTTGGAAAAAAATCCAAATGCTTGGTTCTCGAATCGATACTTCTAGTTGCAGTCGCTCCGCTCAAAGTCGACTCCACAGTCGGTATTGTATCAACAAGCTAATTGTTATTCTCGTTGGCCATCATTGACAGTAATTGCTCAATTTGCTTGAGAGTGCCAGTGTCGCGGTACGCATTTCTCGCAGTTCCCCTTCTCGCTTTGTTGGTTTTTCATCTTGATCATTGACATCGTGGTTCTGAAGATTTTCGTTCTCAATTGATGCCATCCTCCATGTAAGCAACTCAGCTTCAGCATATTGTCGATGTGATCCTCAATTATTTTTGATACTCGCTGCGAAATCTCAAGTAGTTACGATACCTGGTGTCTGTCTGTATACCGACATGCTTGAGGATCTCGAAGCTCTGCGATATATCTGCGCCTGGCCCAACAAGTTTGCCGACATGCGGGTCTTTATTGGTTATCTACAGTCTGAAGTCTGAAGGGCATAGTTCCCTTGCTTGGAAGGATTGCCTTTTGTGTCTGACTTCGGAATGCGGGATCTTTGTCAATGCCTTTCCACCAACTCGTTCTGTTAGCTCCTATCGATTGTGACGGACAACATGAAAGATTCCGACAAACACTACGCCATTCCTACTATTTGCTGATCACCATCATGCCTCACTCAGTAAATCATATCTGTTGGCATCCGCTCAGCAAAATGGTTTGTGCCCATGCTCTAATCTCTTGTTTTGTAAGTCTTTCCTCCCTACCTTCACACAGGTGGAGACCTGCGTCATGGCTAAGTAACCAAGACTTAAGCCTATAGGGACTAGTGCCCGCCCCCGGGCAGGCAGTGATCGATGATCGATTCGGGGTTCGAGCCAAGGCTGCTTTAGCGTCGTACAAGCAAGATACTCGATCTGCGTAGCTCTCCTCTCCTCCCTTCCTTTCTCCCTCCCCGTCACTCTTTCTCCTCTTCCCCCCTCTGCTTTTCTTTCTCTTCGACTTTCCAGCCTTCTGAAACTTCTACTGCGCCGCTCACTTCGACTGTGCGATGTCTGACCGACCTGGCCCATCGCGGTCACCCCGCACACAAGACCAGAGCTCCAGCAGTCCTCGCGTGCTCTCCCCGGATTTCACTAACCTTCGCCACCGCGGTCCAGCCCGCTCTGCAACTTTTGCAGAGGGCACGACCTCCAACCTGCAAACCCAGCGGCGTAATTCCACATTATCCGAATCGGTCTCAGAGGCTCGCCATTCCATTCGGTCCTCCACGGATGATATACTTTTTCCACGTGTGGCCAAGGGAGGTGACGTCGACCTTACAAATGAAGAATCGCATTGGCACTCGGCTCCCTTGGGTTTGGCTTTACTGCCTGCCATTGCCGGGATCTTTTTCCAGAACGGGAGTGCCGTCGTTACCGACATCACCCTTCTTGTTCTCGCCGCCATCTTTCTGAACTGGTCGGTTCGATTGCCATGGTAAATACACAGCCTTCTCTGCTAGCATGATGCATCATTTTGATTGACAGCAACAGGGATTGGTATCGTTCCGCACAAGCTGTCCGACAGTCTAGCGACAAATACTTCGAGGCTACTGAGTTTCCATTAAGCCCAGAGCCGAATGACAGCCCCGACTCGGGTGATAAAGCCTCGTCACCGATTGCCCAGGAACAGCACCGCTCCAGCAATGTTACTGCAGCCACGAAAGAGCTACAGATCCACGAGCTCGCCGCTTTGGCCTCTTGTTTCATCTTTCCATTGATTGGGACGTGGCTTTTGCACACTATTCGATCGAAGCTCTCTCGACCCTCAGAAGGTCTAGTTTCCAACTACAATTTGACCATCTTCCTCCTTGCCTCGGAGATCCGGCCCTTTTCGCATCTCCTAAAGATGGTTCAAGCACGTACCCTGCATCTTCAACGCATCGTCGCATCGCCCACGGAAGACGAGGTTGACAAAATCGATGTCCACAAAGTCCTCGACCTGACCAAACGCCTGGAAGAGCTCGAAGCTCACGTTGCCGAGACAGCCGCTGCACGACTCTCACCGGACCCTGCAGCACGTGCCGGGCAGCCTTCGCAGAGCGATAGCACTCATGCCCTCGTCGACCAGGCTACCGCCGAGATGCGCAAGAGCATTCAATGGGACATTGACGCGCTGAACCGCGCTGTGCGTCGCTACGAGAAGCGCACCACCGTCTCCGCATACCAGACAGAGACGCGGTTCCAGGCCTTGGAGACCCGCGTGCACGACGCATTCTCCCTGGCGGCTGCCGCCCAACGTACCAAGCCCCAGGGGCTGATAAATATGTTTACTGGGTGGGTGTATACGGCCATTACCCTCCCTGGACAAGTCATCACGGGTATAGTCACTTTCCCGATGCAGGTGGCCCGGCGTTGCCTGCGGTACTGCGGGGAGAAAGTGCTGACGAGACCGACCGGATCCGCCACACCGCACAAGGACAAAATACCTAGGGAGCGCAAGTCGCAGACCTCAAAGGGAACGAGACGTCCTGCGCCGCAGAACCACCCGGTCGACACACGGACGCTCGACCCAATTAAGGAATACAAATAATTTAGGTAGGTGCATCTTGGCAGCCTACGGCGACTTTCTTGGCGGTCATGGTGAAGAAAGAAAGATCATACATATATTTCCTGGAATACTATTCTTTTCAGCGGTAACTTCGCATCAACTCCTTCATTCATGGTTTTCAGACTCGATTGGAGGGTCTCGGAACAGCACGCGTGAACACCCTCGGTAGTAGAAAGAGACGTACGCAAAACCTACTTGACTTTCAACCATCTTACCCCACGCCTTTCCAACACATACACCACTACGTATGATGAAGTATATAGCGGTGTACTGTATAAATACCATACAATAATACAAGAAATCTGTAATAGCTAGAAAGAAGCATCATGACAAGAGAGAGACAAAAGCCTCGCCCCTTCGCCTTCTCTGCACGTACACTTGACTCCAAGAAAAGAGAATTCAGGCCAAACTCCCATACATCTCATCGCGATGTGCTTGTCTCCAGCAATCATTGATATTTTCAATTTTAAGGCCAATTTACCAAGAACGGCAAGATGGCCGAGTGGTCTAAGGCGCTGCACTCAAGGACGCCCTCCTTCTTCGGATCTCCAAATTCGAGGAGCATTGCAGTCACGCAAGTGGCGTGGGTTCGAATCCCACTCTTGTCATTACTTTTTGGTTCTTGATCACTCCAGGGCTTCTTGTGTGTATCCTAGGATTGATTATCTATATTGCCATTACGTCGTCCGTCTACTCGTTTCAAAGTCCGAGAAAAGAAAAATATGTCATGTCAACGCTGGGCTGAATGGGCGCATGCGCTACAGAAACCGCACATGTACAGAGTCCCGAAACGGAGTATGTACATACACACATCCTTGCAAATAAAGCCTCGATGTTGAATCGTCTGATTGTGGTGACTTCCTGCGTACTCATGAGCAGGTGGTCGGTTCAGCTATTCACCCGTCAGACTTTTAGTGTATACAAGTGCAAATCATCAACTGCTGAATCAAGTAGTCATGTACACAATTGACCAGAGACTCTGATCGCTATTGTCTCTCTGTCTCTCTGTCTCTCTCTGAATAGATTATCTGGGAAGCACCCAACGGTAGGGCCGCCCAGGAAACCAGTAACGAGAGATTTATATATTCTCCTGCCTCTCCTTAAGTTATGTGCTGAAGAGCGAGCTTATACTTAGTTTCAAGCTTGAAGGATGAGCTCAGTAGGCAGTTGCCTTTGAAATGCGTACAGACTCGCCTGCAGGTCCTCCTGACCCTCCGATACCCAAGGCAGGATATCCTACTTCCTCAGATCCACGACCCTACGTCTTCATCTCCATACACGCCACACGCATAGGTCAGGGTTACATATCGTCGCCCATCGCAGCAGTCTCCGCAGGGTATGATAACGGTGTACCTCTCGCCGGTAGCTCCGCTCTGGTGCGGGCGTCTATCCCGCTCCCGGAGGTCCGAGGATTATGCGGTTTATCCCAGACCGCCCAGCACCTATGCATAAATGCATTCCTTCAGCCGCTAATACACCCAACATACGACAGCTGCCATCGATGCAGACAGACCACCCATATAGCGTGAACCTGGAGAGACTTCTCGTGCTATTGCCTGCTGCCATTCCACCATCACTGTAACCCAACATGCAAATCACGAAAGGTTGTGCTGTAAGTACGGCGACACGAGCACGAGCACGAGCACGAGCACGAGCACGCCTCCGCGCTTTTGCAGCGCGACACAAGGTACAAGCGAAGCTGATCGGATCTGAGAGACGTGGCACGGCCGCGTACTTTTGTGCTTGCGCGCGGGCGCGGGCGCGGGTGAAGTGTCCGAGATCTACAACCCCCCCCTTGCATAAAGTCTACAGATTCTTGGGAGGAGGTTGGGAGAGCTTACCAGGATTGGGTCTGGTTCGTTTTTCTTGGTCCTGGTGTAGGGATAGGGTGTGTGTATGAGGTCAGAGATTGAGGAAGGGAGAGAGGGAGCCCCGGAGGGGATGGTTGAGTTGATATCGTGGGGATTGAAGGGAAGGAAGGGGCTAGCGGTGTTGATTCTGGCTATAGTGGTGTGTTGTTGGGATAGGTAGGGCTGGAGCTATAGTTCTGATAACTTGGGCAAGGGAAGTGGGGTGCTTGGGGGGATTGTATAGTTGAGTGTGTATAACGAGTGGTGAGGATCTGTTAGGGCTTCGGTATGGGGGTTGCTGGATGGGCTGAGTGTTCAGTGGGGAAGAGCGATATCAAAGTGATAGAGTTAGATGTCGGTTAGTGTTTTGCACGTTGATGATAGAGTTGGAAAGGCACGGTGTTGCTGCACTGCACGTCCTACACCCATCCGTCTGTGCGTAGCATCATGCGGGATCATACAATGCCGCCGGCTTGTGGTCTTCCTCTCTAGTCTTCACATGACATATCAAAGAAACAGACTCGTGGTCCAGCTATAAGGAACCCCTTTCTACCGCGGAGAAGGGGTCGAAAGGGTCAAGCGTAAGAAAAAGCGCGGAAGGAACCAGGGGCGGACAGGGTAGACTGACTGACAATGGATCTGGTACAAGGGGAGTGCCACCCATTCCCATGCGAGGCTAACTATGAGTAGCAAGTCAAAGCCAGTGAATGTTCTCGGAACTTGAGACACGACCGTCCTGTCTTCCGACTGCCAGGGCTTGACTTACCGTCTAGCCACCAGCAGTAACGTCACTTGCTATCCTTGCCCCGACGAAGAATGCGGGGTGGAGAAGGCCTTCCGAGGTGGATGCAAGGAGGAAAGGGGGCATGTCGCTGATAAGATCGAGCGATAGGAGAGGGCTCAATCGAGACGCGCTGCTTCGGTTGCTTCACGAGTATCTGGGATCCACAATTGTGTACAGGGATGCTTGCTTGCTTTGTTTCATTGATGACGGATGCTGTTAGAGCGCAATGATTTGTGGTTGTAGTTGTGGTGGCTGCATAAGGTAAGGTACAGTATCGATCAGGTGCTGAGGCAGTCAGGCATTAAGTGGTGGAAGAGCCACTGACGCGAACTGGAACGCGGCACGCGTCACGCGTCTTGAAACCCCAATTTATGCCGCTTTGGGAAGTCTAGATATGAAGTGTGAGATCATGCGGCTGATCATGATATCCTTATATTATCCTAATGATGGAGGAAGAGTATTGACGATGCCTCAAAGGATACGGGAAAGAGTGCCCTTTAATAAATTGGGTACTAACCCTGGAGCTAGAGGGGAGCTGGGTGGGATGAATCCAGGTTGATACTGGGATTAAAGGAGGGTGCCAGATGGGAGCATCCCACCCTCCCAACCACTGAATAGAGGAACGCGATGTCTTCCGAAACCGCAGGTCACCCGTGTCAAAGGATTGGGAGAATCTGGACTTTCTCAGTAGCGTAGCCGACAGAGTACTCTGGATGACCATGAGCATGTCACAGCAGCGGATCGCCGCGGAGCGCAGCCATCATGACTATAGACGCAATGCAACGCAACGCAAGTTCACGTCGTCCCACTCTCCACAGCACGGGCCAACCTAATGACAACCAGAGCGAGGCAACAATCAGTCCATGACATCGTGGTGGACACGGCGAGGGATTGGTGCCTTGCAGAGTGCAGACGGCATCCCTTCGCAGTGGCTCCTGCGCTCCTGTACTCCCTTCGCCCACTAGCAGGGGGCGGCGTTTTTTGCTCGCGTCCATGGCCGTTGTAGCCGTTGTAGACCTTCAAAAATAGCCCATTCCCTGTCTTGACGGGGGGAGGAAAAGAGTAAGAAAGCAGAGTTCAATCCTAGTTCCTAGTTCCTAGTTCAGGAGGGAAGAGGGCGCAGGAGAGGGAATGAGAGAACCCTTGTCACTGCCATTCTTTGTTAACCATCAGTCTGATTCATTCCTTCACTTGATCAGTCAATGAAATCAATCAGTTGATTGATTCAAGCCACACCAATTGAGCCCATTCCTGCTTGACAGCTTGCAGTCAGCCATCATTGCCATTATTGCAATCACTTCAAGTGAATAAGCTTTCATTCAGCCCATTCCATCAGGCACCAAATTACCCAATCCGGAGGGTGGTTGCATCCTGAGGCTCCTCCGTTTGCGGAACCGAGAAAAAGGGAAAAAAAGTTTGAAAAAAAAAGAGACCAACTCCTTTTCGGCGCCGTGCGCCGCCATACATCATTCCCTCATCATCTTCCCTCCAACCCTCACCCTCCTTCCCATGATCCCGCCCGCCGCTTCGCAATTCTCCTCCGTCTTCCGTCGTTTCTTTCCATCAACCATCATCGTCGCTCTCTCGTCGCATCACTCGGAGCCATCTCCGACTGAAGCGCTTATCTTTCCTCTCACAATCTTTTGCTTTTGAACTCAGCAGGTCGTCATACTCGTCTCAACACCCCTTCCGGCGCAAAAACAAGCCCGACGCGCGCAATCCTCTGATTTGGCGCACAATTTGCCACCATCCTAAATCACCACTCACCACCCTTACTCGACTCCCTATCGCTTGTTGTCACTATCAACTCCACCTTAATCGTGAATCGCATCGTATACGTGACATCATGTTACTTCCATCCGCTCTTTCCTGCGACGTACGGCGACCGGCGAGCCGCTCGCGCTACACTCCCAACCGCTTGTTTTCAACACCTCCTCCGTCCGACGACGATTTCGTTCCTTCAGGCAACGGCCTCCTCGGAACCTGCCGCGCATTACAATCACTTCTCCACGGATCCCCAGCGCCTCCTTCCCGAGGCGCAAAGTCTGAGCGTCTCCAAAGTCCTGTCCAGATTCGATCGCGCAAGCCATCGTCGCGCCGACACCAGGGAGAGACCAAACAAACACAGATTCCCGCCTCCCGGATAACTCCACAAAGCCCTTCGTCTGGCGCACTCAAGCGTCGCCGCGACGCTTTCGAATCGGAGACAGAAGACGAGTTGCCTACCGTCACCACTCCTGATCGCAAGACCGACACCGAGACGACATCAACAGATGAACATTCGATACGTTCGCAGCGCTTCGCCACACCCAAACGTCAGAGACACCTTCCCTCTGATTTGCCCCTCGGCCTATCACATTCAGACTTCTACTCTCTCCATTCACCACCCGTGTCGCAATCCCCAGCGTCACCGGCGCATCAGCAACACGTAGCCCCAGCGGCTCGCAAAGCACGCGCAAGCGCAAGCGCAACAATACACCCCTACAACCCCGACACAGCGCTCCCCTCAATAGAGGAAACGGAATCCGCGCTGTCCACCTCATCCTCTTTCAGTCCCGATCTCACCTGGGCCGAAGAAGACGACCAACGCCTCATCGGCCTTGTGCTGGAGAAGTTCCAACTGTCCCAGCGCAACTGGGACGAATGCGCCGGGAAACTCGGCAAGGACCAAGCCTCTGTCGAACGCCGCTGGCGGTTCTTACTCAGCGATGGACACATCGGCCTCCGTCGCGCCAGCGATCGTAAAGTCCGTCGACGACTGGACGAGAGCCTAATCTGAGGATCTTCCTCGTTTTTTCCTCATCGCTAATTTCTCTTCCTTATTATCTTTCACCCATACTTTCCATTCTAATCACCCACTCCTCCTCATCCTTCTCTCAACAACCGACCATCATCAAGCAACCCAACTCCTAGACGGAGAGACGTGTTCTATCAATCTTACAAAGTCCCTCGATGGGACTTTTGTCCAGCAAATCCCAACTTTACGTTACTAATGTATCTATATCCATCTATGTATTCTACAGCCTACAAATGAGGGACACGGTTTATACGAGGCGAACTAAAATCTAGGAGTGTTTTTGGCTTCTGTGTTTGGCTTATGGGATATGGGTCTCTTTTTCTTTTTTTCCGGCGGATATTCCCCCTTCAGTTCTTTCTATTTTCTAGGTTCAAGGTTGGGTTTTTTCTGGGGAGTTAGACACAAACGTATTCCATTGAGGTCATATCTGGTCTGGTTTTCTTCTCTGAAATAGTTCCTTTATGGGGTTGCTTAGTGTCGTCAGCATATAAGCTAGCCGTGATACAGTAACATCGTGAAGCTCTTTCTTGATTGCGTATTTCCCGGAGAGTTAACACTCTCTGATCGGACTACCGAGTATGTTTCGTATTAGGGAACTCGTGCATTACATGTTGGTGTTGAGGTCGATATTTAGTACTAAGTGATCCAACGGGGCGGCAATTATCTGAATGTGAGCGGGCGCCACTAGTGAAGTTGCGAGGTCCACGTACAGTGCAGAGTACTTTAAGTGCTTAGCCCTCCACTAAGTGGCTATCAGGGACGGAACAAAGTAACCCACGCAGCCGATTAGTGGACTCGTAGAGCCTGCCTACCTATTTACATTACATACACTCGGTTTCCTTGTTGCTTGTACCCAAAGACAAACTCACGTCATTTCAGACCGTGAGCTACTGCTGTTCTTTTTGTAGTTAACTATATGACTTAGGCCCGATTTTGCTTATCCGGTTTCTTCTGGACTTCATTATACACGTCGGTAGTAATTGAATGATATAAGCATAATCATATGAAATTGAAGTGCCGCGCATGCCTTGATTGGCTATGGGCTGCTCACGAGTCACCATTTGGGCAGGGTCTGGTTGTGAGAGGATCGGCTTATCTTGAATTTGACTATGTTTGGAAATGTCGTACTGAAATTCATTATGCGATTCTTGATATTGTCTCTTTTCACCTCAGCCCGACCAAAGACAGAAGATTTAAATATGCAGACACGGACAAAAAACAAACGCCAGAACACCCAGCTCGATGATATGGACGTAGCAGTACTAAGAAATTGTAAGGTGGAATACACAGATATCGGGTTGATATCTCCGTTTTGCTCGCGTGGACCCTTTTCTTCCTCTCACCGTGGGTCGGAACCGCTCTCGCCTGCTCTGCCTGCAGTAACAGTGAACAAGCTAGAATCTGCACGCCATCGCCAGTTAGCCAAGCACAAGAGACCCGTGTGAGCGGGCAGACTTACCGAATCTCATAACTTCCCGCCCGAGTCATATACCGCACCCACTTGACGCTGCTGTAGTTGCTCTTCTCGAAGACCTTGAGATAGCGCACCAGCAGCCCCGAACTGGTGAACATGAGCAGACTGAACGACAGGCTGAGCGGGGGCCGACTCCAGGCCTTCTGGTGGGTCATGCTGGTCAGCGTCGCCTCGGCCGTGAGCACGTACTCGCTGCCGCCGGAGAAGCGGGCGATCTTCCAGACGATGTTGTTGTGTTCGGGCTCGTACTTGGCGCGGCCCTGGCTGGTGCGCTCGGTAGTCTTGGCCGTGTTGAGCGGGGTGGGGATGCGGATGACGACGTTGGTGGCGAACAGCTTGGAGCTGTAGTTGGCCTTGATGGCGACGCTGTACTCGACCTTGGTGGTGCCGACCTCGCGCACGATCGGGTGCACCTTGAAGGGGAGGTTGACGTTCTCCGTGGCGCGGTAGCGCATCAGCTCGAATTCCCCGTCCGGCGGCACGAACGAGATGATGCGGTCCGCGTCGAACCGGCCCAGCTTCACGCACTGGTGGAACTGGCAGTCCTCCAGCGTGACCGAACCCGCCGCCGCGCGCGTCGCTTTCGTCGTCCCATCCCGGTTGCCGGACACCATCCCGCTGCTGCCGCCACCGCCGAACGAGCTCCCACTCCCACCACCACCACTACCCCCGGCTGAGTCCCCATCCAACAGCAACCGATCGTTGAGCCCGAATTTGCACTCCGGCGTGCCGGACAGGTACGCCCGCATCACGATCTGCCCGTTCACGTCCGCGCGCAGCACCGTCCCCGTCGCCGACATCAGCAGGTTCACGTCCTCGATCACGTCCACAAACGCCTCGTTCTTGCGGTATTTCACGTCCGACCGCCGCCACGACAGCGCCCCCGTCGCTTGCATCGTGATCCGGCTCGAGTCCGTCGCGGAGTTGGCGATCGCCGACCGTACCCCTTCCGTCGTGATGTACATCTTCAGCGTATCGGTTTCTGTGTTCTGCGGATAGCCATAATCGAGGATTTCTGTTTTTTTTGTTCCAAGACCGTAGTCAGTCAATCATTCAGTTTCCGCGAGCAAAGAGAGGGGTAAATTGGTTCGCTGAAAGTCAGATAGTGTGCTGTCTGGGGAAATTGGAGAAACACATGCTATGTAGGACCTCTCACCATCCAACAACTCGTAAATAAGCACAAAGTTATTCTTCACGGCCTCCTCGTCGAACTTCCCGAAATAGCTCCGCCCCAGCATCACCAGGCGATACAGAAATTCGAAGACCAGCGCGGCATTGGCGTTGCTCTTGGTCACCGCGACCAGGTAAATGTTCTCGTGCTTGACATGGCTGAAGGTTGTTGAGCCCAGGGTCAGGATCGGCGAGCGCACCTGCGGGTTGGAGATGACCTGGATGCGGAAGATGTCGGCCAGGCGCGGCCGGCAGTCGCTGCGGAACGAGCGGAAAATGAGATTCTCGCCCTTTTGGTTGAAGACGAGGATGCCGGAGAGCATGGTGGAAAGTGAAGGGGATGAGGTTGAGGGGCGAAAAGAAGAGGAGGAGGAGAGAAAGGAAAGAGGGGTGAGGGGAATGAGGGGGAGGATTGATTTGAAAAGGGGGTCTCTCGGTGGGTGCCGGTGGATGGAGAACTGCTGTGCACCCTTTCGGCGGCGGAGGTTCATCCAGAATCGGCGATGGGGCGGAAGGCGGGTGGGTGTGGGGGAGTGAACTGCACACTATCTATGCAGATTGCAAGTAAAATCATCCCTTTCTACCGCAGAATCTTCTGAACTGAATAGGAGTATATAAGAAGGAGACATTTGAGTGTTCTCACCACTGAGAAAGGTGATTTATAAGGTCCTGTTTGATAACTTGCTTCTGTGCTTAGAGAGGTGCGTGCTGTCTTAAGGCCTTGTTTGTTTCTCTACTTCTATACTTGCTTAACGACTAACTCGGAGAGGTACATTGTGAGGCTTAAGTCGTGAACTCGCTTTAAGAAGTATCTCATAAAGCCTTATTTACTATAGACTACCCATGATAATTAGTGGTATATGCTCACAGTAGAAATGTTCCTTGAGTAGGTTTTTGTAATCTTTTTCTCAAATGTCGATGTTCAGCTACGGAATATATAATGTAGAAATTCAGTAGCAAAAGCAGCCTTTCGGAACTACATAGCATTGTCGTGGTCAGTGGGCTCCTCTGCGCATTATAGGTAATTGATTCGTTTGGTATTATGCCATTCAGATCACTCGAATCTCAGTCTACTCAGTGGTACAATGACCAATCCTTTTGCTCTAGACTTGATGGCAGTCAATGATTGCTTTTATGGCTCTGCTGCTCTAGCTGCATCCATAAACACACGCTCAACATCTTAAGTACAGTAGCCTGCCTTCCGCTCACCCACATTCAACATCTAACAGCACATTCGGGTCAAGCTACCCGCGATGATCATCAGGGGGAGTATTACGAATCTCGGGGAAGTGAGTTGTAGAAGACAAATAATAAAGTAATAGAACCACAAAGGTGGGAGAAAGAAGGAATGGTAACATCAACAGGCATCTGAGGATGCTCCGACTGGTGTAAAAACCAGAACATCCAGCACTTGTTTCATACAAAACAGTCAAATGGTATCAAACACTCTGTAACCAGGCATGGATATCGTGCATGTAAAACAATCAAAGGAACAAATGAAAGTTAAAAATTAGAGTATGTCTCGCAGCATCCCGCACATGTGCAAGGGGGCAATATATGCATGTGTGAAAAGAGCGATGATTAGAAAGAAGTAAGCCTTCCAAACATAGAAGGCAAAATATGGAAAGTGAAAGAGAAGAGAAGGAAAGGCAAAGAAAAGAAGATGACGGCCGTAAATTTCACACCGCACCACTACTCGGGCGAGTTCCGGGCAAGGAGAAGCCACTCTCACTAGGAATGATACCAACCTTTGGATCCGGGATTTGGATATCTAACGAAAGATAGGCCGTCCGTCGCAGACTCCAGATGTGCACTCCATCCTTCGCCCCAACCTCCCTATTCCAGTTCTCTAGCCACGATTCCACGCTGTTCAAGTGACTCTTGATCGCGGGAGCACCCACATCCTCCCATAACCAGCCAGTAAGCAAGCCCAAGACGCTGTCGATGATATTGCGGAAGCTGAAGGGATCGAAGGCTTTGATGAGCTCGTCATTCACCGTAGCGATGACTCTGCGGAATTCTTGCTCCGGAAGCAGCGGATCGAGAATCTCGGGATATAGATTCGAGAAAGTCGGAGCGAGATCCCCTTTAACCATCCAATCCCGTCGAATCCGGATGACACGCGTTGTGAGGAATTCTTCGGAGTTGATCGAAACATGCGGGTTGAAGTGAGGAAAGCACGGGTGAGCAGGGCCCCAAGCCAGTTCTTCGGCCATCTCAGGCTCTCCACCGGCGGGCAACCCCGTATTTGAGGGCACTGAGGCGATATGAGACTGCGATCGCAGTGAAACTTGCGACCGGACATGACGGGGCCGATCGTCCGGGTGCGGTCCTGGGCCGTCGGGCATGAACTCCAAGCCTAGATGCGCCCGCTCCGGGGTGCGTGGTTTTGATGCATCCTGGGCGACATTCGACAACCCCAGATCGGACATTTCTTGCGAGATCAGATATTCCTCGACTGCGCCACTGCGCCTCTGGCCTCGAGGCACTGCGATACTGGAGCGGCCACTCTCGGTTTCTCCTTGGCTGCGCTCGACCAACAGACTATTGGGGGACGGGTTGAGTCGACTCCGGCGTTGTTCGGGGATGGTCAGAAGAGGATAGGCGTCCCGATGCGCCTCGAGCGGCAGATCCTCCTCCGATGGCTGCGGGAACCGGGGGACAGTGACTGGGGTGATGCGCGGCACGTAATTGATGGGATTCGCGAGTCGCACCGATGGCGGCCGTAAGATCGACGGAGAGATCCAGGAACTGTTCCGGCGGCAAGAGAATTGGGCTTGGGCGGAGGCTTCGGCGGTGTCAACGTCGGCTAATGTGGTGGGATGGTACGACTCGAACGAACAGCGGCGGACGCGGTGGGCTCGGGGGGCAGCACGATCTTTAACCTCGGACGATGGTAAGGGTGGGTCCAACGGCGGCCTAACGGGCGTCGTAGTTGTGGAGAGAGACGACAGGTGTGGCAACGGAATATGGTGAGGCTGTGGAGGAGAGGCCGTGGTGAAGGAAGAAGACGTTGTGGTGGTGGTGGTGGTGGTGGTGGTGGTGGTGATGATGGTAGTAGTAAAGTTGGAGTTGAAATTGCTGGTGCTGATTGTGAGAGGCTGCGGAAGAAGAAATGATGTCGATAAAAGCGACCGTGTGGACGAGCGGTGATTGGCTGGCAAGGATCGAAAAGGGGCGCGGCAAGGGACAGAGCCTGATCTGAGCACGACGACATTCAATGCTGCTGCTGCTGCTGCGGTAGTTGAATGATCGCTGGTAATTATCCTCAGGTAGGTATAATTATATGTCTTTGGGTTTATCTCAAGCAGTGAAGGAAAATCTGAGAGTAAATGAAGGTTGGGGAAGAACGAGTGTGATGTTATGTGAGAAGGGAATGACAGCCGATGTGGGATCAATCAAATCTCTGAGTGTATACTTCAAACCTCCACCAGAAGCTTATATAGAGTACAGTAGGCGGGATGGCAGGAAAGGAGCAATGACGATCAATGATCCACAGAAAGCAAAGGAATGAACGATAATAAGAATGAAACAGCACAGGTAGCCCCCCCCTCCCCCGGGGACCGCCATGATTCTTATTACAACGGACGACTTCCCCCAAGACCAGCCGCTATCCACTTGGGCCCGGCGCAGAAACAATAAACGAGTCAATAGCCAAGTAAGGCTCCATCCCATTCCATCACATCCATTCGGCAGGGGAAGCTTAAAATCACTTCCAGTTTGTTCAGGGCGCCGTTTCCGGCAAAGTGAGCCATTGCATCATTTCCCCTTCTTTATGTGGTGGAGTTGGTGATTGCTGTAAGGTTTGCTGATTCATTCATTCATTTAAGAAGATGGGAGGGATGTTCAAAGAGGTGTTTGGAGGATCCCCTGCCCATGACGACATCCGCCCGGCCTGGATCTTCACTCACGTGTTGCTGCGGTTTGCCTGTTTGCATGGTTGCGTGCCTGGTACTGTACAGTCAGTACTACGACCAAGTTGATTGCTACAATCAAATGTTCTGACATTGCTTGATGCAAGAATCCCAAAAATAGTTTCTAAACTCGAGTAGTCATTTCATCGTCAACATCATTGCGCCCGTCAAGCTACTCATCTCGGTCCGTCTTGGAGCTGGTCTCCAACGCTGGGTCCGCTCCTTACCCGTTATCTTCAACCACCAGCACCAGCACCACCACACTGCTACCATCCTTCTTCATCCTACCCGTGAAACTACAAACATCTGCTCTCTAACAAGCACCACCACCACCACCAACAACACCACTAACGGTGCCCTTAGACAGTGTCTAACTTACAACCATTCCGAGGGAATGAGGATAGCGACACTTCAATTCGCCCCACAATTAGGCGATGTTAAGGGTAATATCAAGAGAGCCGATGAATTACTGAAGAATGGGAAGGTGGTGCGAGGTGTCGGTACGGAGGCGGTTGAACTGGATGTTTTGAAGCCAGACATTTTGATTCTGCCCGAGCTGGCCTTGACGGGTGAGTGCGACTTTGTCCTCCCTTTGACTGTCACACCATGCATGGGCTGCGGGATGGTTGGTCTGGGTGAGCTTGTGTTGCTGATCCACCTCCACCTCCAAGCTCCCTCACCTCAAACTCTCCCCGAGACAGCTTGGTGGGCAAAGCTTGCTGACGTGAACAGGATACAACTTCCCCTCCCTGGAGGCCATCAAGCCGTATCTGGAACCGGCAGGAGAAGGTCCCTCGGCCGACTGGGCCCGGCAGACCGCCCAGCGCCTACAGTGCAAAGTCTGCGTGGGGTATCCTGAGATTTACACGGAGATGGCGACCCGGGAAGGAGAGGACTCCAGTAGTCAGCACGAGACTTATTATAATTCTCTCCTTGTGGTCGATGAGAATGGTCGGGACATTCTCAACTACCGTAAATCCTTTCTCTACTACACTGACGAAACCTGGGCATCAGAAGGTAGCGTGGAGCGTGGCTTTGAGAATCTGATATTCCGGAAAGGGGATCAACACTCCCACGAGTCACACATAGCCACCTCCTTCGGGATCTGTATGGACATCAACCCGTACAAGTTTGAGGCCCCATTCACGGCATGGGAATTTGCCAATCGAGTCATGGACTCGAAGTCTCAGTTGGTCATTCTGTCCATGGCTTGGCTATCTTCCTTGGGTCGGGAGGAGCTGGACCTCCTCGCAGATGAGCCTGATCTAGATACGTTCAATTACTGGGTCCAGCGGTTCTTGCCACTCATCACGAAAAGAATGAGTCATGAAGTTAATTTGAACGAGGATGGCTCTGATCGAAGCAAGGATATCGTTATCGTCTTCGCCAATCGAGCGGGAGAGGAGCCAGGAGCAGCGGGGGCGAACCCGGTGAATTATGCCGGTACCAGTACCATTATCGCCATCTCACAAAGACCCAAGACTCTTCCCGTGTCGGGAGCTACTCGTTCAGATAATATGAGCAGTTCCAAAGCACAGACGGACGCGGGGGATGACGGAGAAAGCCAATTTGACGTCAAAGTTCTTTCTTGGGACATGATGGGCGCAACAACCGAAGGGATATGTTTTGCTGATACTGCGGCAGACCCAAGCATGGTTTTTGCTTTAGCAAAGCGATCGTCGAGCTAAGGGTGCGACTGAGCAGGAGGTCGGCTTTCTCTAATGTTGGTTGGCTGGGTTGCAGCAGGGCGCTGTTAAGTTACGACCCATGCCGGGCGTTGCAGGCCAGTATCTAGTTACCTACCGTCTGCATCCCGTGGTTGGAGTGATATCATCGTAAAAGCCGACTGTCATTGTCAGTTGTACTCTTTGGTACTCTTTGGTTTTAAAAGACTAGAAAGCATGGATCCGTTCCCTTCGACAAACCTTTCTCCTTATGCGGCCCATTTCCTCCGACAGCGCGCCGTGCTCATATAAGGTGAAACTATTTTTTGGCCCCCGTTTTCTGTTTATTTTTTTTTGCCCCTTCAGAACACTCGAGGAGCCCACCACACCTTTAAATTCTAGCCTTGCTATGGTCCCTGCTGCGCTATCATGTGAGACATCAAGTTGGGTGGTGTGGGGGGGGGGGGCCCATTGTTCTGAGCAGCCATCCATGTGACAGGAGTCATCAACAATCAACTTCAAGTGTCTTGCAGCAACACTACCAGAGTTTTCTAGCCCCCATATTCTCCTCATGCTCAAGAATAACCATTTCGAATGCTTGCATTGTGGCCAAGTCTTCCCTCGAGAAATGTATTCTTCCGTGCATAAGCAAAATACTTGCTGGGTGGTAAATTGGTTCTGGATCCCACACAAGCACCTTGTCTCATGACCCAGTGATCCACCACTGTTGCCATCATATGGTTCACCACCCCGCTCCCTTCCTGACAACCGGGCATTCAGACCTGCTCTGCCTTCTTGGCCTCGTTTCTCCATGTAACCCTCGAATCTTCACTCCAGAGTCCTAAATCCGATCAAGAGAGCAAACATGTGATGATTGGAGTCAGCGGGACAAATGGGGAGGGATTGAGAACTAATCCACGGCAAAGGACATTTTCTTCTGCTGGAAAGATAGTAAAGGGGTCGATATCCTTGTCGGTGGAAAATTCAAAGACTCACGTTTTCGAACTGCATGTTTACAAACCCCTCCCAGCAGGTGGGTTGACTAGATCTATGTGGACGAGCTTGGGGGTCATGGCGGACATACTGGCAGTAGTTAAAGTTCATCCTACTGGGTGAGCGGAGAAGTAGATCATGACGGAGCCCATTCAATGAACAGCGTTGCTGCTGCGCAAGGACGAGGGATCGGCAGCTAAGCGAACGGGCATCAGGGAAAGTATGGAATGGACTTACATAGCTACCTTACCCATACATGCTGACTATCTCAGTCTAGTTAGCCTAGACTCTTTGACTATCTAACTACATAGTACTTAAGTTACTGACTTGCTGTCTAAGAAGGAACGGGCCGACCGGGATGAGCAGGCAGCCTATTCTCCCATGGCGCAGCAATGAAGGTAGTCTATACGCCAATAGCTGAGGTTGCAGATGGGAGGATTGCTCCTTCCACGATTGAAGCCTTTTTGGCGATGGTAATTGACTCCGACCATCTTCCTCCGCTCTTCGGGCAGTGCAGACACTGGGCACTACACCTGATAAACTTCTTAACCCTTTCGGGCAAGGAGGGTTGTCGAACTCCACGTGATTCCGGGTCAACCCCTCCTCCGACTACCGGCAGAGCATAGGGCGGCTAGCCAATCAGAGGGGTAAGCTGGATAGCTGAGAGAAGAGGGGGGCACGGGATGGCAGCACATGACATGTGTATGAGAGAGCGGTTGAATTAGGTTGATTCGAAGGTGGGTGGGAAGCAGGAGGGGGGGTGGACGAGAAAGTGCAGCAAAAATGTAGATAATCACAGAATCATGGTGGTATGATGGTGAATGAGTGCAGTGGTCCAAGGGGGAGGACAGTCTCTTTGCACAGTGTCAGGTGACTTATCTGCGCCCTAGGTCGCTGTCCGCACCCGGAGTTGGTGGTTCTCCTCAGTCCTACTCTCTGTCCCTCTCCTCGATTCTCGTCCTCGTCCCTCGCCACGTGAGCAGTCCCTCTCTACTCGACTCTCTTCTCTACTCGAACTCCCCATGTATCCCTTTTTTCCATTGTAATAACCACCACACCTTTTTACTTGAGCTTTAATCCGGTCTGTTCGCTATTTCCAGCTCTGACGATTCGATCCCAACTATTCTTTCGGGAATCAAATTCGTTTTCTCGACATCGCGAACGAATCGGTATCTCATCGTCTTGTTGTTGCCCGTGGCAGGTGACTTGCTGTCAGGTGATAGAGACACCATCCCAAGGTAAACCAGCTCTCCCCCTTTCCTTCTTGAACTCCAACTTCACCTCTGGGTACCTCAACGGACCCTCCTCTCCTGCTATTCACCTTCTCGTACCTCAGAAGTCTTCCTATCCCCACCTCCCTTCGGCCTTATGTTGGTCAAGGCTGGGTTAGGCGACGGTCGGGGATAATGATGCTGTGTTTTTTTTGCGCGGTTCCATCGGTCGCAGAACCACCCGGACGCGTCTCCGATGCTGCTGCTGCTGCTGCTGCGTCGGCAACTGACGAGCTGTGAACATGTCTTCACCTTCATTGTTTCTCCAACCACTGTGTCTTCTTTCAAAAAGAATTCAATGTAGTTGTATTCTATGTTGCTGTTATGCAAGGTGCTTTCATCTTTCAGGCAGACCATGGCTGTTTGTTGCGCCGCTGTGCGCGTCACTCACGCGTGTACCAGGCAAGCATCAACATTAAAGCTTGTTGATCACTATTTGCTGAAACCCCAGAACATCTGCACTAATCTTCAGCTGATTCGATGTACCGTTGCCTGTCTGCATATGCTTGCACTCGCATGTCTTGCTTTCCTGCACCGTTGATTCACATAAGGTGGCATGTCAACTAACGGAAGCTACAGTGTCGCACAACGACCGAGTCAATCTCGATTTGGCCTTGGGGACCTGGTAACGGCTAGATTCGAATCTCATCGAGTTCAACCATCTCTAAAAGGTACCGATTCTTGGAGGCTCCGTCGCTGCGCGATTGGCTAATAACCATCGTGAGTCGCAGGGTACAGAGATCGGCACGATGTCTGATCCATCCATGGGTACTGCTGATGGCAGTGTCGCCATCAAGCGCAAGCGTGACAGCACTGATGAAACTGGCCCCGATGCCCAGCGACTTAACCGCTCCTCGAATGGGAGCAACGGGAGCCTCCCACCGGCGGACAACCAGCCCAACTTCACGCACAGTTCACTGGGATCTTACGATACCCACGGCCTCCCGTCCACAGAGTTGAATATCGACCAACAGATTCTTCAGCACGTCGGTCCGCAGAATGGTATCTCGGACGACAACGCCTTGACGGCTAAAGCTGCGCTCGCTGCCCACACTCCTCAGAACAAATACCCACCTCCTCCCGACAACACCTTCGACAACAACCTTGCGCACGGCTTGACCTTCGGAGATGACATCAGCCAGGCTATTGGATCCACTCATGGCCACAACTCCACTGCTGCAGCGGTGTATGCTGCGCGTGAGGCACAGAGTATGAACCAGAAGCCTTCTGTTGGCTCTCCGGAGTGGCACCAGATTCGCAAGAACAACCACAAAGAAGGTAGGATTCCCCAGACGGTGGTACATAATCAGCGATACTAACATGTCGTTTCAGTGGAGCGTCGTCGTCGTGAAGCCATTAATGAGGGCATTAACCAGATTGCTCGCCTTGTGCCCAATTGCGACAAGAACAAGGGTGCCATTTTGCAGCGTGCGATTGAGTACATCTGCCAGTTGCATGAGGAGAAAAAGGCAATGAGTGAGCGCTGGGAACAGAACAACATGACCACGAGTCATGCCATCAGCGAAATCAGCTCCCAGAACTCGAAACTGAAGATCGAGGTCAACCGCCGTGGGGACATCGCACTGAAATGGTTGCAACGTTGCCGCGATGCAGGTCTTGAGTTCGATGACTATGAAGAAGCAAAGGAGCTGGAACCTCTTGAGGTGGATCCCGGTCAAGTCTAGTTTCCTGTTGTTCGTTAAATCTCTATCTCTTTGTCTGCGCGGCGTTCTCCTTGGGCCATTCCATATGTGCTACGACTTGATCATTCTAAGGGGCTGAGTTGTGACTTGCTCGCTCCTTTTCACTTTCTTTGCGCTTGATGTTGCTGGTTGATATTACAAACGTTTCTGCACAAATCCTACTCGATCCCCACCTGGTTTCTTTTTCTCGTTTTCGTTTTTGCAAGGGTCTTTTCACTGGGTACAATTATTTCATGGTGTTGTTCTGATGGGAAGACAACATGAGTTGTTGCTAATCTATTTGCCATGGTCGGCTTTCTGATCCCCCTGCTCGTGCTCTTATTCCCTGTTGTATGCTAGTTCTTCGAACGGATGGGTTAGTCGGCGAATCGCATGGCCAGCAGTGGGGTTGCAGGCTATGTATATGGTCTGTAGTCCGTTGCTCTTATCGAAATTCAGATGACTAACTATTTTCTGGGTGCATCGCTCTGGGTGTAATTGAGGCCAAGGTGACCCTTGAGACGTCATTGGATGCATAAGTAAAACATCTCGTGTATGAACCCGCGTCTCAGCCGCAACCCTGCCGCGGGTCTAGTTTCGTCTGACCCCAGCATTCCGCTGTCCGGAAATGTGGAGACCTCGGGTGATCTAGCATTTAGGTGGGGAATTGGTGAGTATGACACTAAACACTGACTACAGCCATAGATCCGAGCTCTCAATGGCGATAAGGTATGTATGGCATACTGTACACCAAAATAAAGCAAAAGAGTACGTACACATTGATCTGCCAAATCCCGATAGCATGAGTCTCGAATCTAAGACAGAACCAAACCACCGAGCCTCCAGAATCCTGTTAGTGTTATGCATCCTCATACCAGAAATCGAATCTATCAAGCCCAACAATGACTCCAAAGAAGCATCGTCCGTCTTGCATACTGCAAACACACACAAACCAACCAACATGAACCACGACTGAAGACTCCGCCCTTTCCCTACTCCCCATCCTCCTCATCCCCCCCCTCCAACCCCCAAACTCCCAACACCCGATTCCACAACCCAACCGGCACCACCCGATCCCTCTCCCCCAGCACCGCATTGCCCAAGCCGACAATATAACACTTCCGATACTCCCGATCCCAAATAACATGCTCCGGCCCCGGACGCGTATGCATCACCCCCGCCGCGGCCAGCGCAAGATACGTCTCGCGGAACGCGGTGCGCAGCGCCTCCCGCTCGCCGCTGTCGTCCCTCCACATCTGCAGGTTCCTGCAGTCCGTCCCGACCGGCATGGCGAGCAGGAGGATTGTGGCAAAGCTGTCCTCGGCAGATACTGCTGTCGCCGTCGCTGCGGCTGTGAAGCGAGTGTCGCGGGGGTCCGCCGCCAGGGAGGTGAAGGCGCTGCGGTGGGTGGTGATGAGGTATGGGGCGTAGATCTTGGCGGTGGGGAGGTGGGTTAGGGCTTGTTTTTCTTTGTCGTGGGCTGAGGTTGGGGATGTTGAGGGCCGGGAGTGGGTGTGGGTGTGGATGTGGGACTGGTTCTGGGTAGCTGAAGCTGAATCTGAGGCAGCAGTCTGGGCCAGAGGAACCGGGTGCACTCTCATCTTGAGGATGGCTTCGCGGCCGCGGATGAGTCCGGTGAGTTGCTTCACGCGCGCGACGAGCGAGGTGATCGTCGTGAAGACCGGGGGCTCGGTTGCTGGGATTGCGGAGGGTTGGGTGCGGATGGAGAGGATGGTTTGGATTTGCCAGGTTTCTTGCGCGGGTTTGGAGAGTTTGGGCTTGCCAGGTTTGCCAGGTTTGCCAGGTTTGCCTTTGGTTTCGGCTTGGGGGGGTTGTTTGCCCTTGGAGGGTTGGGGTTGGCTGCTTTCTGCCTCCGGCTTGGTGTTCAGTGTTCCTTTTTTGGGGGCTTGTTTGCCTTTCTTGCGATCTTGGGTTGTTCCCTTGGGGTCTAGGGGGATCGCGAATTCGAACCCCGAATAGAAGGCGGCGTTGTGCCATGGTTGGTAGTCCATATTCCTTGTTGGTTGTGTCTTGATCGAGTGAGTGGTTATCTGAGACCTAATGGAGTATGGGAGAGGGATGGGGCTCAGTGGGGGGATGGTGATGAGTTCGAGATTGTGTTATTAGGTATGGGATATGAGAGGGGAGGATATCGATTGTGGGAGGTGGTGTTAAAAACAGTGTGAGTATTTGCATATTACAGAAAGAGATTCGTGGGCGGCACAGAGTGAAAAAGATGGGCTCATGCTAGATTGTCTACGATAGAGACTAAGAAAGCGTTCTAGTTGAGCTGTGATTAAAGGGTCTAGTAACTGCTGGAGGGATTGATTATTTGGGGTTTACACTCAAGCATCACACTCAAATATTGGTTCCTGGTATAAGTCTACATTGCCGCATGGTAGGCTCCACAGTGGGCCAGATCTGAAGATAGAGATCGCTGCATGGTGGAGATATACTCCGATATAGGACAAGGCAGTTGTTAGGTAAGCCTGCACGAGCATGATGCTATTCACTCTTTCGGCCTACGGCGGTGAGAGATCTTTGCTACTAGCATTGAAAAACAAAAGATTTCTGGGGAAACCTGTTTCCTTCACAAACCTTTGCAGAGCCTTGTTTTCTTTGCTATGCCTAGGTGTATCAACACTATTTGCGTTGACTCTTTCTTGTCTGAGTACTCGCCAGCATCATCCTTTCTGAGTGATCCTCTCTACTGTTGTGATCTTCTTGCATCTCTCATGCTCATCAGTCGCATTGATACCTGTCTGATCTACTTGATTTCCCTTTGACTCTGATAATGTGCGCGACTGCCTTTGCCTGCTGGTTTATCTTAATAAGCGTCCTCATTTTCAGGCCTCTTCTCTGCACACCAATGAATGTTCCAAGGAACGAAGAGAAAGAGTGTTCTCACGATATGAAACATCGAATGCAAAAGCTGCTGGCATCCCGCAACAAATCTTGTCAGTAAGATGAACTCGCACTTTGCAGCAGCTGTTCCTGCGGTCCGGGCTCCGGCCGTTTCAGGACTGAGGTAGAAACCTTCAGCTTAAGCAGCACGGATACCATCAACCATAAACCCGTCCACCCTCGATCCAGCATCTTCCCGCAATTCAAGATGGTGATGAGTGGACCATTGCTTCCAGACTCAAAACAAATCAATGCTGATCAGATCCGCTTCGATCTTCATCAGGGCTTGAGGATAAGGCTCCTCGTTGGTGCTGACGAGATCGGCAATTGCAGGAACTCCTCAAGGCAATATTAAATAGATGAGGATGCGGGAGTGTTTCCCGTTTCTACAGGACGTTGGATGAGTGTGAGTTTGCTTTGTCGTTCAGCATGTGAGCGTTGACCAGTGTTCACAAGAAGTCTAACACATAAATCTGGCGTTGCAGGCAGCAGTACAATGCAGAACAATTGTTCTGTCCATTGACAAAAAGTTATATTCGATGGCGATGCATCTCCCTACAATCACAACAAGATTTTAGCCACAGTGGTTGAGCTCATGTTCAAGCGTCGTCTGCTTCGCTTCGCTTCGTTCGGCGATGCTGATTGTCACAAGTCGCCGATTTATTCTGTGATCTCCACTCTGCAGACAACGCCAATTGTCTTAGAGTCATGGTCATGGTCAAGGTCCTAAGCGAAGGATGAGAACTTGTCCGCTCCAGGTCGAGGGTATAGGAAGAAGGCTAGAACACCCCATCAACAACACAATCGTCACGAGCCTCGCCCAAAACCAGGCCCGCTGTCGGCTTGAACGGATTTCCAGATATCTCCCGCGATTAACGCATTCGATGATACAAAGGATCTCGCTGGCCGCAAATTCATATCCATTTTGGTAATAGAGCCACATGCTTCGAAGTAGAACCTCGAAAATCCGCTCTGAGTTCGATAAACCAGACGGATGACTTTGAGTGAAGAAAGTAATGTTTTCGACAAGCCTTGCCAGTCAATCTAAGCCCTTTGCTACAGCCCTATCACCACGGCGAGGGTTCTAGTGGGGACCATGGGGACCATGGGGACCATCAGTCAATCAAAAGCTGAATCACAAGTGACGGCCTACCTGGATCCACCAACAACCTTCGGATTAGGAGTCCGACGTTCTACCATTGAGGCTTGAGCCAATAGGCCGGGTCGTGAGGTAGTTCTTACTAAGCTTTTATGATAGTATTGACGAACCTGTCTGAGATAATTCCTCAAAGCCTACAAAGTACTGTAGTACTCGCGTAAGTCGTTATCTAGTACCTTAGCAACCCATTTGAGCTAGGACACTTTATAATGGAATTAGCCTTGAGAAGAACAAGTCGAAAAGGAGGTCTTCGCCCAATTTCAATAACTTCAATGGAGTTGTGATCTCTCTGAAAGCCATGCGCCAGGCATCGGACTGGGCTTTTCTGTTTTCCTGACAACTTTCCATCTCAACCATAGCGATACGTTGAGACACACACCTATAAAAGCAGTGTGTGGCATCCCTCGCCTCTCCTGAAGGACCGATTAAGCTTCTTATTGTTGCAGCTGCAGACATGACGTCTTTGCTACTTTCGGGAAAAGTGCACATAAATTGGCATTGGAGAAAGCTTATTTAGAAGCTGTAAGAGGGCTGTGACTTGATTGGTTGATCTGAACTGATTTCGCTGTAGATGCAATGCGTGACTTGGTGTCACAAAGGACTCAATAGAATTACATAGGTAAACAAAATGGTGGCTGCCAAGGAGCACAGGCGGCTTCTCCTCGGCAAAACACCAAGAGATCAGGACAACGACAGATTCCAACACTCCTTCAGGCTTCAAGCACTTCCTAATGAAGAAAAAAAATAATGCAACTGATCAGAAAAGGCTGCAAGCGACGCTGATATTGCCAAGTCCCGGAAAGTCACGTTGCTTGAAATACGTTGGTTTTGGTTCCTCCCCCTGGTATGCTTTCATGCATGAGTCTCAAGCGCCAGTAAATGAAAAAGGCTTAGTGGTCCAATCGCCCCCGCTGCCAGCGATGCGAGGCTGAACAGTCTCATGCTCTGTGACTCCGATTCTCACGCGCTCTTCCCTTCCCAAGGCATAGCAAATGACTCTCACAATGCCTCCCATCTCCTCCCGCCCAACAACTCTTCGCGATTTCATCGATCGTCTACAATGTCAAGCCCCCGAAACCGCCGAGAAAAAGGCGCTGCAAGCCTGGGGCACAACTGCGGTCGATTCCTGCCTCACCACGCCTAGCATATCGCAGTTCGCATGGGAGGCTGCCCGTCTCTCAGAAGTGCTGGAATCCAATGGACAAGTCAAGCTGCTTCGAAATTTCGTCAACGCGATCATCGACGGCAGCACGGATGGGACTTCTCTTTCCCCGACCCTTCTACGATCTTTAGCATATATGATTCGACAGAGAGAGGAGGAATGGTCGTCGGGGAGCACAGATATTCTGAGGTCGCTCTTCTCGAGCATGAAAGCGCGGTTGGAGACGGCAGATGAACTGGGAGGATTGAACCTAAAATTTGAACTGGTTTGCGTGTTAGGCGTGGTGCTCGACGCCATGGTTGACTCCGGTGTGTCGAACTTTAGCCACGAACAATTTTAAAGGCCGTTAATCGTCCTGCTCGATGGCCTTGGCCACGATCACGACCTTCATATGGCCCAGGCTGCCACATACACTGGACAAGCCTTGCGGGGAATCCAGGATGATGATAACGTCGGCAAAGCATCCAGACGCGGGCTGCTGCGGGCCATCGACCTCGCCATGACCATTTCCGGCGCGGTCACCTCCGTAGATCTGAGCAAAATCTGGGAGGCGGTCAAGTCTGGCATAGATGGAGCCTCACGGCTCCGTGACTTCACTTGGGATGTGTACAAGAAGCGGACGGGGAAGTCTTGGTATACCGCTCTACGAACGGCCAACATTCTCATACGTACCCGGTCCTGGGATGAACTAAGCGACTTCATCCGACAGGCAGAATGTCGAGCCAGCAAGGACTTTCTCTGCGGCTTGTATGCCCAACTGGACCTCATCAGCCAGCTTGTCCCTCCAGATCAGATACAACGCGTCTACAAGATCATTCCAGAAAGCAAATATGACCGTGTTCAAGCCTGGAAACTGCACTCTGTTTCTGAGACCGAGAGACAACCCGCTTCCCCTGAGCGTAATCTAGTCAATACACTGAAGAGAACGAAAACATACGAATGGTCACTCAGAGCCCGCGGATGGGAGGATGTCGGACAAGGCCTCTCTGATGACGGCAGCGCCCTCCTCGATGATTCCTATCGAAGGTGCATGCCGGCTCGAGAATATTACACCAAGAATGCTTTATTGGAGTTTTACACCCAGGACGATAACAAACGACTTCAGATCCAACGTTTATCTGGGGACAGACTCCCCTTGGATTACTGTTACATCAATCTCAACGTCATAGACTCCGGTCAAGGCAATGAGGTGCCTCTACCTGTTCTGTTCGATTATAGGGATCAAGATGGCAGGAAGATCTGGCCCAAGAAGATTTTCATCGAAGGCCAGGCAGGCGTTGGCAAAACAACGCTTTGCAAGAAAGTTGTCCATGACTTCCTGTATCGGAATCAGTGGTCCGCTTTCTTCGACTGGGTTCTATGGCTGCCACTGCGACATCTCAAGGGAAAACATGCCGATTCTTATTCCATAAAGGACCTATTACACCACGAGTACTTCTCCCAACACCATGATTCGGAGCTCTTGGCAGACACTTTGGATTCAATCGTAGCCCGAAACAGCGCTCGGGTGCTTTGGCTGCTGGATGGCCTAGATGAAGTCTCCCAGGAATGGAATGCTGATTCACCTATGGACCGCTTTTTGCAAACTCTGCTCAAGCAGCCTCAAACGATCATCAGTTCTCGTCCATACTCAATGAGACAGCTGAGCGCAGTCAAGCAAGACTTGAAGTTGCGAACGGTGGGCTTCAACTCTGAGCAAATCGAGAAATACATACGCGCCAAAGAAATCCAGCCAGATCCTGAAACAGCCGATAAAATCTGGGAGTTCATCGACGAGCATTCGCGAATTAGGGATATTGCACAGATTCCGATTCAGCTCGATGCCCTCTGCTACACTTGGAAAGAGCCTTTGGGCAACAGCAATGCAGCCAGGACTATGACGACCATCTACCAGGCGATCTGTGTGGAGCTACTACGGAAGGACCTGGGGCGCAGGGAGAAAAGAATCGACGGCAGGACCCTGACAGAACAACAGACGGAAGAGCTGTCGGAGTTTGAAGTGCTGATACACATGCAGGAGGAAGTCAATCTCCTCGAGGCGCTGGCCTTCCATGGCCTGCGCAACAATATCATTGAATTTGATGCTCCAGTACGGAGTCAAATATATCAACATCTACTAAATGACAATGCTTCTGTCCCGAAACTACATGACAGCACAATCAAAGAGATCAGTTTTCTTCGTTCTTCAGATGCCAACGACAATGCCCACCAAAGCTTTCACTTCTTACACCTGACAATTCAAGAGTTCTTCGCTGCCCAGTATTTCGCGAAGCACTGGACCAACCAAGCCACGATACACAGGCCGACACTGAACGGCCGTACGGACACTGATCTCTTGCCCCAAGTCTTCATGGCACGGGAGAAATACAATGTTCGCTACGAGATGTTCTGGAGGTTTGTGGCCGGGTTTTTGTATGTCGGATACAACAATAAAAAGCAGAGCGAGGAGCATACGGCTCAGTTCTTTGAGGCGATGGAAAACGAACCCCGAGATCTGTTGGGCCCGATGCATAGTAAGCTCATGATACGCTTCTGGAGTGAAGTACCTGCGTCAAATAATTCCGCCAGATTGAGATCCCTACGTCAGAGTCACCATCAACAGCTCGCCCGGTGGAGCTCTTTTGAGGCCACAACGTATGGTAAAGGCAGGCTCGCAGCGGATGCGGAATACCCGGATGCAGTCTTATGTTCTTTGTTTAAAGACCGAAGCTCAGATTTCAGGCAACATGTTCTAAGTGCTATCGCTCAGCGCAGAGTCTCGACAGATCTCATAGACTTGGTAGCTTCCTGGATGGACCAGAACTCCGACGATGAACTGACTGCAGTCTATGTTCGAATACTTCTTAGGAACTGCCAATCACTGTCCCCTAAGGCTTCTATAATTCTTCTTAAGCACTTGCAGAATGAATCAAAAGTGAAGAGTTCCGACTTACAAGACGTGCAGGTACCTGCCCTACCACAAGACCTTCTGGGAGCGGTTTTAAATTTACTGGACCATGGGACACTCAATTTGAAGAAAGCAGCACTGTACCTTTTGTCCGGACAGCCACCTTCAGCTTTACAAATCCATGTCAATACCATCGCTCGTGGACTATCAGACCCGAATCTAGTAGTGAAGAAGCTGACTATTGAGGTACTTCACTGCCTGCGCCTTTCACTTGATATCCTCGAATCTCTGGTCTGTCATCTTAGCAGAGATGGGGGTTCTCATTATCTCAGAAGCAACCGTGTAAAGAAAATATTCTGCCACCTTTCGCTAGGGTCCCCAAGGATTCTGAGCTTTGTCATTCGTTTGCTTGACCATGAATCCGGTAATGTGCGTGATTTAGCTGTCGAGGTTCTGGCCCAGCATCCTCGCTTGCCACCGAGCCTTGCGGACTCGCTCGAGCAAAAAGTGCAGTTCAATGATTGTGAGGCACAAAGTACACGGAACACGGTCTGGCAACAGCTCTTAACATCTCGAAGTATTTTGGAGGATATTGAACGAAGGTTGAAGCATAGCGATCCCGCAGTGCGGGCAATAGCTGCCCAGATTCTCGGCGGTCGATCAGATTTATCGAAGCCAACATTTGATGCGATGGCAAGGTTGTTGAACGACACGGAGTGGTCTGTTCGAGAAGCAGCTGCCGCCGCTCTACGTGGTCAACCAGAGCTTCCACAACATGTGCTAGATCTGTTGGCGAGCTTGCTGAGGGATGATGAATTTCATGTCAGATATCAGGCAGTCCAAACGTTGACCAAGTACCCAGATGCTGAATCAAAGTACCTCAAAGATTTGGTACTCAGGCTGCAAGATTCACATCTATCCGTGCAAATGAGAGCAAGGAAGGCCATCCACAAGTATCCCGAGATCCCGCACGAGGTACTGCATTGCCTTTTTGAGCGAATGATAGGACCGGGGAAGTTTCAGATGTCAAGGTTCAATGATGAATTTCACGGCGCTCTCATGTTGCGAGTTTTGCCCCGAGTTCTTGTCAACAGACTCCTAGACTTGGCAGATCTAGAAGAAGAAGAAGAAGGAGGAGGAGGAGGAGGAGGAGGAGGAGGAGGAGGAGGAGGAGGAATGAATCTGCAAATCTTGGAACTTCTCAAAGCACAACCATTCCTGCCTCTTGAAAGACTCATCCAACTCAGTGAGAGATTTGTAACTGCCCATCATGTGTTTGCTGGTGCGATGGTTAAGACTCTAGTAGCTCAAGCCCAACTTCCTTCAATTGTTCTCACTGCCCTCACGCGTTACCTTGGGCATGAATATTTTTTTGTGGCCCTTGAAGCCAAAGATTGCCTTTGTCGGCAGTCCTCTCTGCCCTTCGAGGCTCTCGTTCTCATGGCAGGAATGCTCTTAACAGTATCACATCCAGAGTTCCCGGCAACCGTCCTGGCCAAACAACCTCATCTACCATATGAGATATGGAATCTCACAATCCCCGCGTTACGCCTTGCAACAGATGAACGTTACTCTAAGATTTGCGATGCGCTAGAACGCCATGAAGATTTCTACAGACTGCTTCCCCAGCTGCCCGTGCACGACCTCCAGCAGCTGTGCCGGAACTGGCTGCGGCGGAGCTTCGGCGAACGAGTGAATTTCTACTTCCGCGACGGATCCCTCGTGGTTGACACCCCGGATTTTCAGGGCGCGATCCCGATGCCGCTGTATCAACGGATCAAGCTGCGGCTGATCTTCCGGCTCACCGTCGTGGCATGTACGCGGGCCTCGGAGATCGAGCGGGTTCAGAGCTGGATCCGTGGGTCAGCTGCATGGATGAGTGGCCACCAAGCACTGGTGCTGGCTCTTGTGGCGGCTTTCCTGGCTGTTATTCTCAGGTGGGCATTATGGTAGACCTGATAGTATACCTTTTGGGTCTAGTTCGTTCCTCGATTATCTGTCGATACACTTCATGGCGTGCACATCGCGTTCCCGAGCGCGCGGAGATGCTCGAATTTGGTATGCATGATATGTCCAGCGGCCATCGGTCCAGCGGCATGGTTTGATACATGATTTCACGTGTGAAGGTCAAAGCCGACACTTTCTCTCATCTTGAAAATGTCTGCAGAGCTTGAAGGTTTTTCAAATTCCGCCCAATGTTCTAATTCAGGGTGCATTTTGACCCTACATCCTCAATATAACCTCGATACTACACTGAATCTGCAGTAATATACACACACGGTCTGTTTACTAACTAAATCCCAGTACATTACTAGGGACCTGATCAAACGTGCTGTCAACCAGGATTGACTCTACAGGATTCTGCTCTTCTAGACTTATTTCACACTTCAGACTATTCAAAGAGTAAAGAGCGGCGTCAAATTTGGGTCTGAGTGGAAAGGGGAAGTCCATGGGAGCTTGAGTAGATTTCCGCAGGGAATCCTCTTGGATAAGTCAATAACGAATAAAACCCCTGGTCCTAGATTGACCCTCATGCCATGGTACAGGCACCCATATGCTGACTACATACATGCTGCTGCTGCTGATGCTGTAGCTCTCACAGTCCTACTCCAGGGAAAGCGCTGCGAGCCTTCGTGCCCCTGCAGAACAACCGCGGCTACGGTATGCGGATGATAGTACTCTGGCGGCGTGTTGTCCACCTGGCCACCTATCCATACGAATCGGGCCTGGCAGGTAAGGCACCAGGTACACTGAGCATCATGGATACCTACCCCTCTCCTCTTTTCATAATGTCATTTCTCTGGCCCCTTCTCCTAGGAAGGATCGGTTGAGCAGATGGCTTGCCAGGAATTGTTCTCCGAAGTCTAACTAGTGCGCATTTAATCAAGTATAGATTAAACACCAGACACACACATAGAATCCCCTGCAGCCCACCCCATAGACTATTGGATTTAATATACTATTTTCGATTCTTGCTGCCTGTTTATATAGTGCTGGTGGAGGTACTCTCTGGGTAGCTAGCTGGCTGCCGGGCGCAAAAAAGGAGTAAATTTATGAGACTAGAGACGTGTGAGAGGTAGCCCGCAATCCAATAAGCCTACCAGATACAGGATGAATTGCCAAAATGAAGAGAAAGTTCTTTTGAATAGTCTGGTCAATATATACAAGAGAAAAATATAGCTCAAGATTGGAATTCCAGGCTGCCTATTCATGAGGTAGAACAGACAAGCGCTAAAGCAATCCCCTAAAGGAAGTCAAGTCGAAGAAAAGTGAAGATAAATAGAATATCCTCCAGACTTGGAGGTAATCATCACATCACATCACCCGCCGCCCCAGCCCTAAGAAAAGTTGGACGAAGCGGTGACGGACGATCCCGACGACACGCTGACGTTGTTGACGGTGATGGTGGCGCCGGACTGCGACGTGACGCGCACATCGACGGTGTCCGTCCCGAACCCGCTGGCGTTCTCGAAGTAGTTGTAGGTGGAGCGGGTGGTGGACTGCCAGGTGCTGCCGCCGTCGGTGCTGACCTCAAGGCTGGTGACGGGCTCGTTGCTGTTCTCGACCTGCATAGCGAACCAGTAGGCGGAGGTGCCGCTCTTGTTGTTCAGCTTGATCGGGGTGGTGATGCCGCACTCGACGTACTCCCAGTCGATAGAGATGACGCCCTTGGAGATGTCGGCCAGCTCGGCGAAGGCGGTTTGGAAGAGGTCCAGGTGGTTGGAGTCGCATTCGGGGCATTCATCCACGATCTTTTGGGAGGGGGGGTTAGTTTGGCTTGTTCTGTGGGAGGTTTAGGGGTAAGGTCTGCTTACCATGGCCTTGATCTTGTTGCCGCTGGGGCCGGTGACCTGGACACAGGAGCCGCACTGGGCGGCGTCGTCCCAGCGGGGAGAGCCCAAGGCTGTACCGTAGAGGCCGGAGGGGATGGTGTAGCCGCTGAACGAGCAGGCGCCGCCGTCGACATTGCCGCCGTAGAAGGTGGCTTCGCCGGAGAACTCGGAGCTCAGGCTGCTGCTGGTGCTGCTGGAGCTGCTGGAGGAAGAGGAAGAGGACGAGGCAGAGGAGGTGGCAGCACTGGCGGCAGTGGTGCTAGTGGAAGAGGAAGTGGCCTTCTTCTCCTCAACGGAGGCGACGGAGACCTGGGCAGCTGCAGTAGTGGCAACACTGGCGGCAGTGGTGCTAGTGCTAGTGGTAGATGGCTTCTGCTCCACAACGGAGGCAACAGAAACCTGAGCAGGAGCAGCAGTAGTGGCAGCCTGGGTGTTGACAGGCACAGCCTCAACGGTGGAAGTGGGCTGAGCAGCGGCAGTCGTGGCAGCCTGAGTGTTGATGATCACGGTCTGAACAGATGAAGTGGTCTGACCGGCACCGAGGGTGATAGTCGTAGTGAGAAACACGGTAGTAGCCTCAACATCGGTGAAGGTAGAGGTCTCGACCGCGGCAGTGGGAGTGACTGTCGCATAGTGCGTGCTGACAGCAACATCATCGTCGCCACAATCCCACTCGTCGTCGTCGGGGGTCGCAATAGGCCGGGCAGTCACAGAGGAAAGGGCACCCAGGGCAGCAAAGCCCAGCGAGGCAAGACGTTCGTACTTCATGGTTGATGTGAGGAAAATGCGTTCGAAACAGGCAAAGAATGAATGGAAAGTTGGTCTCTTGTTGAACTGCCGAAATGGCAAAAGAACGTGGAATCAACACGGATCAAGTTAGTTTAGGAAAGAATGGACGCCTGGATATCAAATCCCAGGACTATAGAACTGCTGTTCCGGACAGAGTGATGGTGTTCAACGAGAGATGGAGAGAAGGAAGGATAGAAAGAATGGAAAGAGCTCACAACGCGGGATCAAGGGAATAAAAGGAACCCCCGAGACACAAGATGTTTGCCCCGTGATCCGGACATTATGATGGGTCGATTTCAGCATCATGATTTTGCCCCATTGTCAGCAATATCAGGGAAATGAAACTACCAGGGGGAGCAGTCAACGGGCCGAAAGGAAGAGAGAGTGGCCACTGGGCAAGGCAGCAACCATTAGGGTTGGGTTCAGACACTCAGCGGGAAATGAGATCGTGAGGTGAAACACTGGACTGGGGATCAATTCGATCGTTCAATTCGATCAATGGATTCAAGTGCGGGCAATGATATATTGGCATTTAATTAAACTACTCCGGTCAGACCCACCCCGGAGATTTTGCTCGCAACGGCGACTTGGGTCCAGTTGGGACTCTAGACTGAGACTTATCAGCCTAAGCACTAACTTAAGCACTAAGCGCACTAAGCGGAACTGTCTCAGAATCTCCTCTTCGAGTTTCGACCCAGGGGGAGCTCTCGATTGTCTGATGCTTCTGGATTGACGTTCACATTCAGAAATTCACGGTCCACCCCAAGAGACATGTTCTCCTGAAATTGTGCTTGGCGTCAAACGACTGGTCACTGCTTGAGAGAGGAAAAAATTCTGGACAATTTCGGAGCATCTGGCAAGTGGGTCGGTCCATCCCGTTCTGGCCTCGCATCATTTAGGATCCCCCCTGGGGCTACAGCACAACGTCGAATTATGGAAAAGAAGAATTTATATTTCGCATCGCAGTTGTGGATCACATGTGCACTCCGCCTACTTGGAATCCCACATCACCTCATTCAATCTCAGCAGAGCATCCGCACTGGCCTTCTTGGCAGCCATAAATTCCTCCCGGTTGTCCGCTCCTCTGGGTCCGAGCAAAGCATCCGAGAAGCTCAGATCAATGAGGATTTTGAGCTCTTCGTACGTGAAGGGTTCTCCGTTTCCAGCGGCCAGCGCTTTCTCTCCATGGGCAGCAAAGGATTCCTTCTCTTCCTTGGCGTAGTCTAGGGCTTTCTCGGCGCCCTCGAGGAACCAGTCCAGGAACTTGGCGCTGCGCGGGAGCGCGACCACCTCGTGGTGCTCTTCGTGGGGGCTGGTGGTTCCGTCATGAGCCGGGTCCTGCGTCGGACTGATGATAATGTTCTTTAGGTTCTGTTGCAGGACGAGGACGTCCAATTGAAGGCGCAAGGCTCCATTCTCGTTCATAGCGCCGATCAAACCGGTGTTCGCCACAAAAGTCTGGTCGATGAAGCGAGCAAGCCCAGAGGTAATGAACCATCTCTCAGATGATCCGAGGTAAGTGGATATGTTACTGTCGAAGCCGATCAGATCACCATTCAACTCCAGAATCGTAGGTGATGCAGCAGTGGGCTGATTCATCAGAATATGCCACCAGTGAGTGTTGGTGCTGGGAGATGGCGTCGTAGGCTCAGAAGCGCGCGAGTTCCGAGGATTGGGCCCTGCCATCGTCTTCTTGAGCATATGGATGACGCCACACCGACAATCGATGTGGAGAGCGAACAGAGCGGTGTACGCCAATTCGCGCAGTGACCCAAGAGTGTTGTCGAAGATAGTCGCCGTTTCTTGGCTTAAGGGCAGATATATCGGCTGACTGACACCATCGACCTTGGACTTCATTGCCCCGATCAAGGTCCAACGACGGTTAGGAGGCCCGGTTTCCGGGCGTCGAGCTTCCGAGGTCGGGATGATTTGGCGCAGCTGGGCCAGGTGACTCGCAAACCATTGCTGTATCTCAGTCAGTATACAAGAGAACTAAGTGTGGCCGACTGAGCACACGAACCATGCTATTGTAAAGAAGCGACAGAGCCACCACGGTCTTGGGGTCTGATACGATGTCATAAGGCTCTAACGGGACCTCGGAGGTCAGCTGGAGAAGCAGCTCGATTTCCTATATTTCGTCAGCACGACTCATACTAAAATCATGCACGAAACCATACCTTATCGACAAGTGCCCATTTATCATTTGTTTCGTTTCTCCAGAGCTCAGCAACGACATCATGAACGTCTCCAGCCTCAGCAAAGCCTGCAGCGGCCTTGAGCCGGGGCTCTCCCTTGTCTCGGGGAGATTTCTTGGTCACAATTGCTGACATTGAAATTAATAAGCTGTGCATGCATCACGATCGTTAAGGTTTCTCACATTTGTACCATCCACAACACTTGTCGTAGTAAGTCACGATCTGAGTAAGAAGCAGCTGTGTGAAGGCTTGATCAGGAGGGATACTGGATAGCATCTTGCTAAAGTCCTGAATGATCGACATGAGCTTGACCGCTCCCTAAAACGTAGTCAGTATCAGGCCTCGGAATGTCCATGCCAGAAAATGTACCTTGAAGATGGGCCGAGGCGAGACGGTGGACCATTGGGGGTCTTCTGTGAATGCATCGGGCGAGACAATTGTGAGAGTGCAGAGGTCTGTAACCGTATCATCGAGTTGAGGCAAGAATACGTTGACCAAGAAGTCATCCAGGAAGGAGGTCAATGTGGTCATCGCGAGATCCGAATCCACCGGTACGATCTCCTTCAACCGTTGAATGAAAGAAAGAGAGGGTGGCAGCACGAGGCTGATATTGAATACACTCGGTTCAATGAGGATCTTGTGACCAGTACCCGAGTTGCCTTGCCTAGCATCGGAGGTATCGGTCACCGCAAATTTCTGATTGGACTTAGTCACTAAGCCCGGCACAGATGACCTGAGAATCTCGTCCAGTTCAGACTGCTCGGCTTGGATTTCTGTGGTTTGATCTGTTTCCGACAGCTTGAACATTTTCTGCGATCGATTAGTATTCCGCAGTCGTCATTGTGGCTCTCCTCGCATACCTTGTTCTTGTCTCGCATGCCCGTGTACATTTGACGCCTAGCGTCGCCTTCATCCCTCGGTCGGTACTCTCCATCAGTAGCCAAGTAGTCATGCAAGAGCGAGCGAATCTACACAGGTGTCGTTAGAAAATAAAAGCATTGCCGCAGTGTGATCTCCTACCTCGCTCTGGTAAAGCTTCCAAAGCTCCTTGAACCCACCAGCAAGCGTGTTGCTCTTCGGGATGCCCTCTCGTGCTACAATGGCTGCGATCACGTCATGGACGACACGGTGGCCCTCAGCAATGGACTCAAATTTGGCATACAATGTCCACAAGAACTCAGTCAGCACGTGACCACGCTTCTCGATGGTCTTCGATGCCACGCCGCTTCTGCTGTCTTGGGCTGCGAAGCCACGGGTAGACAACTCAGGGTAACGTGCGTCGATTTCGGCATTCGTCTTGTCCACAACGGAGAACAATTCGACGGGGAGCCTCTGCTCGATCCGATCGACCGCGATGTCAAGGTTACCCATCTTGTTGAGCGCTTCGATAAGTAACTGGATGTAGTAGAATGTGTCGGCTTCTGGATTCCGAGATGCATCCTCCACCATCGGGTTAGAGGCATCCAGCTTGGCCAAGAAGTTGTAGACCGGACGTTCCCAGGCGTTGTTACCAGACCAGCTGGTTGCATTGACACCGTTGCCCTCTCCCTCGGCAGTTGGGGGTTTCCATCGATTGGCGCAGTAAGGAGATTTCAGGTACAGATGATCATGCAGCTCTTCAATCAAGATATCCGTCAAAGAAGCCTCCTGGCTACCGAAGTACGCGCGAATATCCGCCAGCGCCCCGATGTTCTCGAGTTCAGAGCGACGCAACAACCGTAGCGCGTCATGCAACACTTCAACGGCGGCAAGGAAACGCTTATCGGAGATGCGGGACTCCAGCTTCTCCGGCAGCGATTGGATCTCCTGGATCTGGCTGAAGAGCTGAATGATATCGTCGTATTTTTGCGAAGAGGTAGCCAGCCCTTTCAGTTCAGGCTTGGTGGACAACAAGCCTGATTTCGCTCCCTCAAGGGCGTTCTTCAGATTGCGCACTCGAGTCTGTGAAGTCTGGATACTGGTCTGGATCTTATGGTATGTACCGATAGAACTGTTGAAGCCCTGATGGTGTTCTAGCGAGCGGTATCAGCGAAAAGGTGTCCAGAACCATCATCAGATCCCACTCCCAACAAGTCCCACTCACCATTAACGACCGACTTCAGAGTCCGCTGTATCTGGTCATGGATCTCCAAGAACTCCGGTTCGCGCTCAGCCTTGCCCAACGTGCTCGTGTCCATCAACTGTAGGGCCACCTGCACCGGAATGCAGCTCTCAGAAGCCACGAAGTCCCATTCCCGTTGTACCATCTGCAACACATCTGCCAATTCGCAAAGAAGTCAGCCACAACTGGTATTTCCCAAGCAATCCGACAACAACGGGAGATAGCTCTCTTCCCCTCCAGAACAATAGCGTTATCGCACCTTCAATAGCCTGAGAGCCTCCTCCCTGCGCCCCCGCGCGTCCAGCAGTGTTCATTACCCTATGCTCTCGCTCCCGTTCCCGTTCGCGGCTGCTGCTACTTCCCAACCAACTCGTCTCTCCACGCGCTCGACCGTCTCGAGAGCCCAATGTCGCCCTCTCTGCATCACCCTCCCTGGTTCTGGACCGCGACGACGAATGCTCCGGGTCGCGGTCCCATCGGTCACGGCGTCGCTCCGGTGATTGGGCCGGCGACAAGGACGACTGCGACGCCTCCGGGTAGAAGCCACCATAGCCTCCAGGCCGGAGATCGCGGCCCCCTGATGCACCGCTGCTACCTCCGGCGCCACCACCGCTTCCTCCTCCTCCTCCCCCTCCTCCTCTATATCCATTCATCCCCAAGCTGTTGCTCCCGTTGCTGCCGTTGCTGCCGTACCCGCCATCACCGCGATCGTAGCGGCTGGTGTCGGAGTATCCGTATCCGTTCGCGTAGGGGCTTCGGCCGCTCATGCCAGGTCACTTGTACGTGTAATCGGAGATCTCTCGATTCGATAATGGATAGGTATTCGGGAGGAGCGATTCGCGCTTCTCTGTGGTGGAAAGTGTGTGCAAGAAAATGTGGTCAGTCGGTCGGCTGGAATCCGCCCTCGATCTCGACCTCCGTAAGTCTGATCTGAGCACTGACGTAGTGGAATTAAACAGGAGGTGACAGTGACAGAAGCATGGCCGGGTTTTGGTGGAAAGCGTGGAGCGATATCGGAGGTCACGAGTGTCCAGGACCACAAGGTAATCTAGAAACGAGAGGCTTTCGTGGTTAGATCGGGTTGCGACAGGTCGTAGTTAAGGGATGTGGGATAAGATTGTTGTAGACAATCGGAGCTGCATGTGGAAACACCCGATTCCGCGAGGTGTCGCTTGGCCGGCCGTTTCTCCACATTCCGCCCAACTCCTCCGGCCTACTGGCCTTCCGTCCACGGTACAGCATCTTTTTTTTTCTCACTCGAGAAAGGGTCCCTGAAGCCTTCAACTCTCTTAAAGTATATTGTATTCCTAGACTAGACGAGCAAATGGCCCTATGATCCCATTTCCGGGAAGATTACAGCGCATTGTGGAGCACAACTTGAAACTCGACAATAATGCTAAGTGTTGATCTAGGTATAATGCATTGGCCCCAGGCTCTACAAGAGGTTCATGGTATAAACAGGAGCTAACAGGCTCATTTGGAAATCGCCTTGGTTTCCCGCTGAAGCCAACCCCGGGTGTATTCGTCGTTCTCGAAGAACTTGTGTGTCTTTTCCCAGACCTCAGCATGGTAATCGTTCACCCACTTCAGCTCGGCATCAGTGAGAAGAGAGGGATCAATCAGATTTTGACCGATAGGAGCCATCGTGACGTGCTCGAAGCCCAACCAAGGCTTGTCACCGAACTTGTGCGTCGTCTGCACTTCGCGTGCCATGATGATATCTAAGGCATCGTCAGCTACCTGTACCTTATTTGCATTTGTGTATAGGCTTACTCTCAATACGGATACCAAACTTTCCATCTTCGTAGAAGCCGGGTTCTGCTTTGGTCAGCGTCTAGAATGCTCCAGGTGAAAGGTCTAACCTACCGTCGGAGATGACGTTGCCAGGAGCGATGGGGACTTCAGTGTACTGCACGCGCGTGCCAATGCCAATGGGTCCTTCGTGCACGTTCTAACACAGAGTTAGCAAAGCAGAACTTCAGGGAGACTTCTTGACACTCACCAGGTAAGAACCGACTCCATGACCAGTTCCATGCAGGTAATCGAGACCCTCCTTCCATAGGTGCTGTCGCGCCAGAGCATCAAGCGCAAAGCCACTGGTGCCCTTGGGGAATACAGCAGTGTCGATTGAGATAAGACCCTTCAGCACAAGAGTGAATGCCTTCTTCTCAAGCTCTGTGGGCTTGCCGAAATGGAATGTACGGGTCACATCAGTTGTTCCATCTAGGTACTGAGCTCCGGAGTCACAGAGGTAAATGGCGGTAGGGTCAATGATGGCGCAGCTTCCCTTCTCGGGCTTGTAGTGGATGACGGCACCATTAGGACCCGTGGAGGAGATAGTGTCAAACGACAGGCCAGCAAACAGATCGTGCTTGGATCGGATCTGCTCCAGCTTGTCTGCAGCATCCACTTCATCCAGAGTTGTCTTCTTATTGACCAGCTCGTTCTCGAGCCAGGCCAGGTACTCCGACAAGGCTGCACCATCACGGATGTGACAAGCCCGCATGCCTGCGAGCTCAACTTCATTTTTGACCGCCTTGGCATCGCCAATAGGGCTACGGACCTCCTCAACCTGCTCCTCGCCTCCAAGGCTAAGGCTCAGAGCCCAAGAAGCCCTGTTGGATACAAGGAACTTAGAAGACGCACCCTCGGCTTGCTGCTTCCGAGCCTCGCTTAGGGCTTTGGCATCCGCAAAGATCGAGTCATAAGGCTTGATCACGACGTCTTGACCAAGGTGGGCCTTCACCTCTGGCGTAAGCTTATCATCATCAACGTAGATGTCAACAGTGGTGGGGGTAACGATAGCGTATGAGAAGAACACGGGGTTGTAGGGAATACTAGAAACGGGTCATTTAGCTCAGGACCGGGTGCAGAATGACGTCGTGGCAAAAGCTGGGTGTGCGAAACTTACTCAGTGCCACGAAGGTTGAACAGCCAAGCAATTTCATCCAACATTGCTATCGTTCGTTAGTCAATACGAATGTAGAGGGCCAATGTAGCCCGCCAGGTGAAGACCCACAGATAACGAAGCCAGCAGCCTTCTTGTTCTCCAATTCCTTGCGCAGATCCTGGATCTTCTCCTGGAAGCTCTTGCCAGCATACTTCTCCGGGTGAACAGTCACCTTCTCCCTCGGAGGAGCAGGTTTGTCATTCTTCCAGACCAAGTCAACAAGATTCTGCTCGACGCCAACAAGGGACGATCCCTTCTTCTTCAGAGTCTCTGAAAGACTACGGGCGCCAGCTGAGAGCAGTTAGCTTAAGGATACTTGCTGGCCGCAAAGCGTACTACCTCACTTACAGGCTGTAATCAAAGCTGGGTCGACACCAACCACCTTGCCACCCTCGGCCTGCTCCGTGGTCCTAGATCAAAACTTAGCTTCAGAGGCAGAATAGCCATTGTCATTTAACCTCCATACCATTCTTGCCAGGTTGGGACACCCTCAACGCCCCGCTTCAGCAGCGCCCAGTTGCTGTCAAGCTGCTTGGCAGCCTGGTTGAAGTAACGGCCGTCTGTGGACAATGCTGCCTTGGACAAGGAGATGATGGCCGTTCCAGCCGAGCCGGAGAAACCTGAGATGAACTCTATCGAGCGGAATGTGAGTTATATGATTATCGATCCGGCGCCGTAGACAAGAGTCGCGGAAAGGGCAAAAGGTTGGTATTCTAACCTCGACGGCCGTCGCATGGCGCAATGTATTCCGACTGGTGACTATCTTCCGAAGGAACGACTTAATGATGAATGAGAATCTTGATGTCAACGGATACTGAGAGTTTATTGGGTTTCATACTATATACATCCACCTTGTGCTCTTGCATCAACTGCCGTAGCTTGGCCAGGCGCTCGGAGGTGTTCACGGTCTCCATCTCGATGATGAAGCGCGGGGCGGAGCTGGAAAAGGGCCTCAAAACGGGAAGGGGTAACTTGCGAGCCGATTGGAAAGCTGATATCCAAGAAAGGCGGATTGGAGGGTGCGAAAAAAGCATCTACTGGCGAGTATTTGCAAAGGACAGCTGCAAGTGTCCGGGGGAGAAGGTGGGATTCAAACGAGCCGGGGTTGCACAAAGCACGCAAGGCCCGTGATTAAAGGTAGCGAGGGAAGGTGGGGGGGAAGAGAAAGGGAAGGGAAAGATACAACGGTCGTGTGCACAAGAGCGAGCGAGAGTGGAGGATACTAGCTGTTGACTTAGTATTCTATTCGATAAGGTGAGTTGAATGGTGGTGGTGAGTACGTAAGGGAAGTCCAGTTCTCCGTAGGAGCTCCGATGGCAGATTAAAGTGGAACCCTTTGCCGGCCTTCCTTTGCCGACTGTGGAAGTGGGTAACTGTAACTGCCACGAGAGATCGGTATCGTCGTTACCGGACGGTAACTTTCTTTTTTTCAATTTCAACCTGATTTCTTACCTATACAAGTCGTACCCCTCAAAAGCACGAAGATGACTATGCTGACATTGTCGCAAACTCAACCATTGTAGGTTTTTGGGATTGGAACAAATGGGGTTGAAATTTGGTGATGAACCGCATTCTTTGACCCAGCGTTGCTGAAGCGATCATGGGCCGTTGGTTGGGAATCAAACAACGTCCTGCAGATGTTAGCCCAGCTGGTCACATGCTTCTCTCAATATCATCCCTCCCCCCGACAACAATTGGAACCTTGAATGCCCTGATCGTCATCATCCAGAGCTAACCATTCTTCATCTGGTCGGTTTACTTACTAGAACCACTGATTACGGTAGCCTTCCCCTCCATCCCACTTCTCACCGCCTGACCTTTCGGTAATAGTGTTATCAGCACGTGACACCCCTTAAATATCGATAGCTATCGCTCATCATCTACTATCTATATTCTTCTTTCCTCTCGCAAGGAGGCCCTCAGTGTTGCGGCCATGTCTGGGGATATTCCAGGTCAAGCCTCGGATGTGCACCTGCTCATCAATGAGGCAAAGGCAGTAAGTCGCGTTGTCTTTCCAAGCCAATTGAGGGATCGAGGGCTGAAAGTCATTCCTGGTTCTAGCTAGTGTCGCAGCTCTATGATCCGGCAAATACTGGCAACCCCGCCAAGATTAAGGCGATCCAAGAGCACCTGCAGAGTCTTCAAAAAGGTCCTCAAGCATGGTTAATTGCAAATCACCTTCTCGCTGAGGACAACACTGACCTGAGATTCTTTGGAGCTCTGACTTTCACTGTAAAAATAAATCAGGATTGGTGCGTGTCCTCATAGCTACCTTCATTGTGCGAGACCTGTTGACTCTGGCCGTAGGCAACACCTGAGCACAGAAGAAGCCCAGGAGCTACTAGGACGGCTGATTGATCATTATGTTATGTTGGTCAATGGAGGCGAGCGTTCTCTAGTCGTACGAAAACTAGCTTCCAGCCTAGCGACCATCTTCCTGAAACCCAACGCTCCCTGGACACGGGCTCTCTGCAACCTAGCGGCTTCCTTAGCAGATAGCAAGTATGTCTCGGAGGAACACTGCAAGGATGTCGACCTGAGAAATAGCGTGCTCCCCGCGTTGTCTGAGGGCCAGGTAACCTCCTTGCTCTATTTCTCTAATACTCTTGGGGAGGAGATACACAAGTGGAGCTCCGAAGCCCGTCGCAATCGAGATGATCACCCAGTTTCTGAAAATATCAAGGATGCTTTTGTACTTGTCGACGTCGTTCTTGGTCACATACTGCAGCAAGTTGCATCGGGGGCTCACTTGCCTGAGGATAGTTTGGGGGATGAAGCCATTAATTCCTACCAGGTGAGTTCAGTTGTCTTCTGTACTGCTGTCTCGTCTAACGGTTGGTGTAATAGACATGGATGTCCGTCCGAAGCGCATTTCAGCTACGTGACACGATACCTGTATCAGAACTCGCTCCCACTACGACCTACGTGATTCAATGCATGAGGATTCCGGTTTTGTCGAAGACTGCGACCCAAGTCGTGGTCGAGTTGATAGATTGGCGGGACACAATCTTCACCCCAGGTCATATTAGCGCCATCTTGGACTATATTGTTTGTGACTATGGTACTGCGCATATCGCTTCATTGATGGAAGGCGATTTCGAGGATGAGAATTTAACCTTCTTGGAGCTTCTCCTGGCATACTCAACACTACAGCAACGGGATCTGCTAACGAAAGCATTGGATCCGCAACATGAAAAAGTACTCGCTCTGCTACACACACTTTTCAAAGCGCCAGGCTATGCATCAGTGGATGATTCGGCTTCTCCTTTAGTTCTTGAGTGGTGGACTGAGGTTGCAGATGATCTTCAGGAAATATATGTGGATTCGGAAGATCAAACGGGGCTTGGGCCTGCGAAACACAACCTTGCTCGTGCAGCACTGGATTGTTTCGAGAAGCTCAAGTACCCCAGTCCAGCAGAGTTGCAAGACTGGAGCGACGATGAACGCAGTGAGTTCGGGGCTTTTCGGCGGGACGTCTGTGACTTTCTTCTAGCGATATATCCAATGCTGGGTGTAGAACTGGTTCAGGTCTTTCAAGAGCGAGCGAGATCGTCACTTCAACGGCAGGATTGGCGAACGTTCGAGGCCTCCATCTTCTGCGTTGCTCAGCTCTCCGAGGCTGTCGATGAGAACCAACACGCTGATGAATGCCTCAATTCAATATTCTTCTGTGATGAATTCGCAACCTTATGTGAGGGAAACGGAGTGGTCATCCCAGACAAACCACGTCAAACGTTGGTGGATATGCTCGGAAAATATCAGTCGTACTTTGAGCGCACACATGCTCTGCTTCCCCGGGTGCTAACGTTTCTCTTTGCGTCCCTTGAAGTTGGTCCCTGCGCGTCAGCAGCGTCCAAGTCGATCGCATATCTCTGCAAGTCATGTCGCAATGCTCTTACGCTGGAACTGCCTGCCTTCATTGGGCAATTTGAGCAATTCCGCTTCAAACCCACAGCCACGGCTCACACTATGGAGAAAGTGCTGGAGGGCATCGCTGCGATCATACAAACCGTACCCGAGGATGGCGCAAAAGCCCAATACCTCGAGAAAATTCTTCGGATCTTCCATGAGCAGGCAACCGCAGCCCGTGAAGAAGCTGCCAATGGGCTCATTGAGCAAGCACAGGGCCGTGCCCAGCTCGTGCTCCGATGCGTTGCCAGCGTTGGCAAGGGTCTCCGAACCGATGGTGAGATTAATTTAGACTCTCACGAAGATAAGGAAGCAGAGGCTTACCCGCCAACTTTCTGGAATATGGGCGATGGGGCTGTTGTACAGAACCTCATCATGCAGTCCATGCAGCTCCTCATGACTGGTTTCCCTGTGGATGTGGCGATCATCGAAGCTACCTGCGACATACTCAAAGCCGGCTACACTGAAAGGACGGGCCCCTATGTGTTCCCCCCGATGATGACTGTAAACTTTGTGAAGAGCATCCCCCTGGGTAGTGCGGGTACTGATATGGTCATGGGCACTGCCTCAGCCTTTCTTGCATCTCACAGCTCCCATCCACAACGAATTCGTGATGAGACCGTTGCGTTGATCGTCCACGTTTACGAGACATTCTGCTGGATGCATGAGAAACCAGAGTGCTACGATCCCGAGGTCGCCAACAGCGGGATCGATTTTCTGACGCGCTTGCTTCCGAAATACCACCCTTTCCTCTTCGCGCTCACCTCCACACCGCAGGAACCCGGCCAGACGGCTACTCAGCCGCGACCAACTGTTCTGAACGCTATCTTGAACTTCACACTGATCTCACTGCAAGGTCCCGAACCCCTTCCGCTCCGCTCCGCCTCGCAATTCTGGGTGAGCGTGTTGAACCTCCCCGGTGATGCCCCACCCATTCAGAATGCCATCCGTGAATGTCTGCCTACCCTCTGTCGCATTTTGATAACACAATTCGCCGGCAGATGTGCCCGATCGGATCTCGAGCACCTATGCGAGGTGCTTCGCAAAGTCATTTTCAAGCAACAGGGTGCGGCTCGGCCGCATCTCACTGCGGCGTTGGCCGAACTGGACGAGACCGTACCATCCGTCACACCAGAAGAACGACAACGCTTCCTTGCGTCTTTGCTGGCCGCAAGGGGCGCCAGAGCACAGACCAGTCAGTTGGTACGCTCGTTCTGGGTCAAGTGCCGGGGTGACTCGTTCAATTACGTCGGATAGGGATTGTAGGATAGTCTGAACAGTTTCAAACATTAACTATCGGACTCGCGGTCCATTCAGAACAGGGTTAGGTGCCAAGCAAATCGTAGAGACTCTAGGATGTCGCAATACCATTGTAATAATATGTATATCATGCAGGAAAAAATGCGAATGGGGGGTCTAATGTGTGATGCAAAGAACGAATGAAAATTGTCGGCGATTTTGAAGTCTCAGAGGTGGGCTATCTGGAACAAGCTCTTGAATTCTTGGTGGTTAGATGGCTGTACTATCTGAGTTCTCAAGGTGGGCCAACTCGCTTGGTAAATTGCCTCGGATCACATGGGCTGGATTACTCAGGAACGCCGATAAAAATGATACTCCCCTTAAGTGTCCGACCGCAGCAGCCTACAGTTTAAGATCTCCGCTGAGGCCATGTTCAGTGCTACCGGTACATCTTGGGTGTTATTTTTCATGTCACTAGTGGAACAAGCCAGAATTGTCTGCCTCAGGCATCACTGCAGCACTGTGGAATTCGCCTCCAAGCGGGGCGATCGGCTGGTGGCGGACCACTGTGATTGCCTCCGCCACTGAGGCGGTGCGTCCCAACTCAACTGGGCCTGAAATTGGGAGTATGGTAAACAAACAAATATGTAGCCGAGGACTCCATCGAGCAGTGGCCAGGGCGGAAAGATAAGGCCCTATTTTTAGGACTCTGCCATTATGGCCTACTACCATGTGTGGCTGTATACTGTGAGTTGTATGCATCTGTCCACCAACTGGTGATTTGCTGTCCTGCAAAATCTCCAATCACTTCACTTCTACCCCCTGCCTGCACTGCACTGCACTGCACAATGCATCGAGTCTCAGGATTTCCAATGCCAGCCATGCAAATCATCATCTGAATCGGGTGGACAGGGGGATCATTATCCAATGACGCGACGTCATGCCCTACGAGACTGCCGATAATCCCCCCTTTTATTGTGGGCTTGGTCAGTGCTCTCAACGCCCTCGTGTTTCGGCTTAGACGCGATGGTGGATCTGGCGCCTGGGGAGCAGCAGCATGGACAACATAATAAGAAGTCGTCGCCATGTCTCCTCCGCCGCGTCGCCCTGACCCTGCATCCTGACCACTTCCCACCATGCCGGTGATCGCCAACACCCCCGAAGCACTCATCGCCCGCACCGATTCCTGCGACCCGGAGACAACATGTCAAGGGTTGACCAACAGCGGCAAGCCATGCCGGCGCGCACTCGGCGATCCAACCGACCGATACTGCTGGCAGCATAAGGACCAAGCCGCCACCGAATCGCCAGGGACCAGCACGCCGTCCGCCATGAACCCCAACAAGCCGCGGACGAGCATCGACACCCTGCTGGACCGGATCGGGATCCTCAACATCAACGACGGGGCGTCGGAGAAATGGCGACCGTCGCGCCCCACCACCAGCAACAAACCCCAGAAGAGACAGAAGAAACGCACCATCTGCTGCTGCTTCGAGGTGATCGAGGAGGAGGAGATCCGGCCGCCCAGGCCCGTCTCCGCGCGGCCGCCCTCCCAAGCGGCTGCCCCGGGCGCCGTCCCGCAGGCCAACCTACTCTCCCCCAACAGCCAAATTCCCACGCGGCCATCCGCGCACACCTCCTCCCACTACTCTTCCACCTCGTCCGGGATCCCAGAATCCTGGATCCCCGCCGACCTCAGCGCGGAGGCGACCTCGACGCTGGCCTCCGAGCTCGACAAGCCGATCTCCGAACGCGACGAACCGGGCTACATCTACATGTTCTGGCTGACGCCGGAGGAGACCACAGGGAATGGGGGAGGAGCGCGCGGTCCGCCGCCGGCCGAGGTCGCCAGCTCGCTGTTGCCACACCACCACAAGTCGAGCGGCGGCGGCGCGCGTGACCGCGCCGTCAGCGACGCGATCCGCACGGCGCGGGATCTCCGGGCGTTGACCTCGGCGCCCAGCGCCACCAGCCCCGGCACGATTCGGCTGAAGATCGGGCGGGCCAACAACGTCCAGCGCCGGATGAACGAATGGTCGCGCCAGTGCGGCCACCACGTCACCCTGATCCGGTACTACCCTTACACGCCGTCGACGCCGCAGCCGTCCCCGGCGCGGGTTGGTGGGGGGACTGTGCACGACAACGACGCCCTCGAGCCGGGCCGGAAGGTACCCTTCGTCCACCGCGTCGAGCGGCTGATCCACCTGGAGCTGGGGGATGTGCGGATCCGCGACATGGGCAAGTGTCCGGAGTGCGGGCGGGAGCATAAGGAATGGTTCGAGGTGACGGCGGAGAAGAGCTCGCTGAAGCGGGTGGATGACTGCATCCGGCGCTGGGTGAAATGGGCGGAGATGCAGGAGAAGCAGAGCCGGTAAGGGCAGGCCAGCCCGTAGCTGTCACGGCGGTATACGTGAGTCTGCAGCGTGAACCAGCCTTATCATTATCGTCATTACCATGATACCCCGACACGCACCCATAGAACCGAAACCTAGCATACAGTACACCTCGCTAAGCAGCGCAACCTGATATCGATATCTGTTCAAGACACAAGCATCCCACAATAGCAAGCATCAATTTTCCATCGCATCGCAAGCAGTCGTAGACTCCATACTCCAGTCACCCCCATCCCCAACCCCACATTTTTACTCTCAACCTTCAACCCTCAACCTAACCCTTAACCCTCCCGTCCCCCTCCCCCCTGTTTCCCCTCCCCCTGATCCCCCTCCGCACCGCTCCAAACCCCCAAGCCAAACACTTCTACAGACTCCCCCCTCAAAACCCTTCCCACGACCCTCCCCAGCACAACCACCGCCCACCCAAACCCCCAAACGCCCACCCCCAAACACCCCGTCCCCAACAACACAGGCCCCATCACCAGCATTGCAAAACCCGCGAACACCGCCCCCGCAATGAAGGCCGCCACCAGCACGCCGCCCAGGAACAGGCACACGGGGATGCCGGAGCAGAGCACCTGCGCGGCCAGGAAGCTGGCGAGCACCGGGTGGGCGAGGATGAGGTGTGTGAGGCGGGAGAGGGGTGCTTTTGCTTGGGTAGCATCTGTAGGAGTGGGAGTAGCAGTAGGAGTAGCTGTAGTGATGTTCTTGGTGTCGTCGGTGGTGTCATCGGTGGTGTCAGAGGTAAACAGATAGTGATGCTTGTGGCAGGCAATGTGATTGTCATGGTGACGCTGACGCTTATGGCAGTCAATACTATTGTCCTCGAGAGAATTCATGATGAGCTGTTGCTGTTCGAGGAGGGCGTTGTGGTGCAAGATTGTGGCGTCCTTAGCTGGCTGTTGCTTCTGCTGCTTTTGGCCTTGTTCTTCGGTGGGATGCTCTGAGCGTCCAGCTTCTGGTTCTGGTTCTTCGGACGCGAATTGCGAGGGGATCATGGGGTCGATTTCTGCCATTTTGGGGGTGTGGTTCAAGTGTTTTTTCCTCCACTGAGGATAATGTTTTTGATGGAGTTGTGTCTGAGGTTGAGTCTGAGGATGTTGACCGTCAGATCTGAATCAGAGTCATGAGAATTGTACAAACGACAGAACAGCTCAGCTAACGTAAGAAACGTTGATTTAGGGGAGGAGCAGTTCTTCCTGAATATTATGCCTACCAAAGTAATCCCGACTGAGGCAGTAACTACCGCATCGATTGCCCTGCGGACCGGACCTTGCACTAACTCAACAACCCCCGCGGGAACTACTGCCCGTACCCACGAATCACAACAATCACAGCCCCTACACAAAACAGTGATCGACTGTATTCGTAATTCCGTCACATACTGTACACCGTACACAACGGTAAATCACATGACCGTCACGGGGAGTAACCTCCCTACCCCCGATCACGGATGGCGAAAAACCACTCATCTGTTAAGGTTCGGGTGATCAGGGATCCTCCCCTTACAACAAGATTCGAGAAGCACACTCGCGCATCTGTCGCCGATAAGATCCGGTTTCCCAGTCCGTGGATTCGATTCTTCCCAATTGACAGAAATCGAGTACGAGAATTGCATGTCACCTGCCTCGGACACCCAAGGTTGCTCGGAAGGTCGTCAGAGTGGAAGGCGAAAAACATTGCCAACAGGTGAAGAGACTGAAAGTGAGCTGTTCCGCGGAAATCGCCGCGGTTGCAACAATGGGCCGACTGACGATGGGGACCCATTCACCAAATATTGGGGCCTTGAATGGATCAGACACGGCCCCACTCTTGCAGTCTAACTTCCTCACCGGGGAAAGCTTCGATGGGTCTTTACGTGGACACTGGACAGTATTCGAAGAAGATGCTCATCATTGCTCGTATGGATTGGAATGTACAGTGAGAACGGGTAGGAAGAAAAATATCTAATGCTAAAAGCCGACTAGCTGTCCCAACTTTTTATCTCTCAAAACGCCCGCGCGATGGTAGAAGAAAAGAAAACAGGACATGTACAAGCGACACCGCTTACCAACCGCGCTTGGCCAGCTTGTCGGCCTCAGGCAGATGCGCAACATTGATACCGACCATGGCCTCGCCCAGACCCTCGCTCACCTCAGCCAGGACCTTGGGGTCCTTGAAGTGAGTCACGGCCTGGACAATCGCCTTGGCGCGCTTCTTGGCATCACCGGACTTGAAGATGCCAGAGCCGACGAAGACACCGTCGCAGCCCAGCTGCATCATGAGCGCCGCGTCGGCGGGCGTGGCAACACCACCGGCGGCGAAGTTGACCACGGGGAGACGGCCCTTCTCGGCGGTCTCGCGCAGAAGCTCGTACGGGACCTCCAGCTGGCGGGCGTAGGCGCGGAGCTCGGGCTCGGGATCGGCAGAGGACTGCAGGATGGCGCGAGCACGAGCAATGTCGGCGTTGACGGTGCGCATGTGCTTGACAGCCTCCACAACATCACCGGTACCAGCCTCACCCTTTGTACGGATCATAGCGGCGCCTTCGGCGATACGGCGGAGAGCCTCGCCCAGGTTACGGCAACCGCAGACGAAGGGGACCTTGAAGCCGTGCTTGGTAACGTGGTAGACATCGTCGGCGGGGGTAAGGACCTCGGATTCGTCAATGTAGTCGACGCCAATGGCTTCGAGGATCTAACAGCATGACATGTTAGCGTCAATCTAGAGAGATAACACTGGCAACTGCTCATACCTGGCACTCGACGAAGTGGCCAATACGGGCCTTGGCCATCACAGGAATGGTGACAGCCTCCATGATCTCCTTGATCATACCCGGGTCGGACATACGCGCCACACCACCCTGGGCTCTAATGTCGGCGGGAACACGCTCGAGGGCCATGACAGCGGCGGCGCCAGCCTCTTCGGCAATGCGAGCCTATGCAACTCTCATTAGCATTGACAGGATTGATCGAGCTTCCCAGAGTAAATTATACCTGCTCCGCATTGACGACGTCCATGATCACACCACCCTTCAACATCTGAGCCAAACCGGCCTTGACAGTGAAGCTGTCGGTAGCACCGTTCTGTTGAGCAACCATTGTGATAGGAATTGAGGGGGGAGATTGGCGAAATTGCTGCGGGAAGGAAGATAAGCTTGGATATGGACAGATGGAAGGAAAAAGAAAAGAAAGTCACCGAGGGACCAAGGTTAAATATGAACGGAAGGAAGAGAGTTACCTGGAGAGACTGGCCAGACTTGCGAGTGAGTCAACGAGGATTGAACTGATTATCTCAGCGTCGCCGCCGAGAACACCCACCTGGCACTCCCACTTCACGCCCGGACTAAGGTTGAGGACCTCATCCTTGGGAAAACAGTGCCTCCTACACCAATGACTGCGAGGGTTCCGAGTTTACCCCTCGTTGTGCTTCCCCGCCGGCGACTGAGAGGCTAGTGGGGAGTTGTTCAGCCCACTTCCACTGGTTTTCTGCCCCTCATCAGTGGCAGGGCGGAACTACGAACCAATCATTGCGTCTCCGTGCCTCTGAGCCTTCCCTTGACATTTTCTAACTTGCCACTAAACTCGGAATGGCGCTTCGCCCCTCCGTTTAGCTTTCCGCGGGCTTTGGTAGCCGCGTACTCGTATCGTCACTTTTCGCTCGTAAGATATCCCTACTGTTCGGTCTGATCAGCATCGGTAATACAAATACAGCTTCTGCCTCAGGCGTCAACTCGAGGTCTGGATTACTGGTGGCTTGAACTATGAATATACCGAGGAGATTAAGCCACTCACATATTGAACTACATTCAATTCCTGTACACTGTGAGATAGGACGGACATTAAAAGCTTTCTTCTGTCTACTCAAGCAATTCGGACTATATGCTTGCCCCCATCCAAAATATCTTCTCCTCTAATCATCCTCTCCAGTACACAACCACCCCGAACCGACCCCAGTGACGTCAGCCCACTCCCTCCCTTACTCCGCATCTCCAACTCCAACACCACCAGCACCTCCCCCCTTCTACAAACATCTCTCCTCAACCTCACCCACCCAACTTGTAAACCTCCTCACACAATCCAGCACATTAAGCCACAAGCCCTCACAACCCTCCATCCCACCGATTCCAAAACCAAACCGAAAACCAAACCCAACAACCACCCAGAAAACAATGACATTCCTCCTCTCACGCACAACGACCACCCTCGTCGGCACCACCCTCGGCCTCGGCCTCACCTTCACCCTCCACCCTCTCTCGCCCTTCCGCGCCGCGCCCCTCCAATGCCAATACTCCGCCCCCTCCGCCGCCGGCACCTCCGAAACCAACTGGACCATCCCGTCATCAGACCCCACGCTCCTCAAACAAGGCCGCACGGGCCCGATCCTCACGGCCTCGAACATGCGGCAGGTGAGCTTGGGCAGCGTGCTGGGGCTGGTGGTGGGCGTGGGGCTGCGAGCGTTCTCGCGCGTGCTGGTCGTGTTGATTGGGATGGGGATTGTGGCTGTTGAGGTATTTCCCCTTTCCCCACCCCCCCACCCTCTTTTAGGCCTGTCTCGCAAGGGGGGCTAGCCCTTGGGTAGTACGTGGAGTTTTGGCTAACTGTTCGACAGTGGGCCGCGGCCAAGGGGTACAATATCCTGCCCATCAATACGGTCCAGAAATACGTGAAGCGGGTGGATTTGCAGGGCGCGGTGTCGAAGCATATCCCCTTTAAGTTGAGCTTTGGGGTGACGATGGGGTTGGCTGCTTTTGCGCAGTTTTAAATTTGATTGTTGTTGTGGTGGTGGTGGTGGTGAGGTGGTGTGTTAGGGGGTTGAGAAGAACGGTTTATGTAGAATAAATAAAATGAGGGCGGACTTATTCAACTTAACAAACTTCCTCCAATCACATTATATAGATTCAAGATTTTTGTTTCTGTCTTATACAGGGTATCATTATTGCGACGAGTCGAGCCCCAGGAAATACATTCCCATGGTGCTCATTCTTGAGCACTTCTGCTACAAACCAGGGCTGGCTCAAGCCAGAACCAAATCCTCCAAAACGCCCTCCATCTCCTCCCGCGCCAACGGCACACCCAGGATCTCCATCCCGCTCGCATCCATCCGGGACGTGATCATCTGGTGATCGTGGAACTCCTTGAGCAACGTCCGGAACATCATCTCGGAACTCGCGATGAACTCCTCGGCCGCCTTCTGGTAGAGGGCGCGGAACTCGATCCCGGCGGCGGCGGCGTCCTCCCCCCGCGCACCACCACCGCCACCTTCCTCCCCCTCGTCGTCCGACAGATGGCCCTCATCCGACAGGGACAGAAGCTCCGTCAGCAGCAGCTGGTACAGGTTGCGCGCGTTCTCGGGCAGACTCTTTAGGACGAATTCCACGCCCTCCTTGCCGCCGACGCGCTGGCCCTTGCGGCCGAGCAGGGCGCTGACCTCCTCCACCACATCGAATTCCGCGTCGAAGGGGGCAAAGGTCGTGCAGTCGTGGAACACGAAGTTGAACTGGTCGCGGAGACTCAGGTCCCACATGAGGAGCACATTGGGCGTGTCGGCCGTGGCGAGGAGGTTGATCTGCGGGGTGGCGGCCAAGCGGGCGAGGAGGGCTTGGTTCGTGGCGCGGCGGAGGGAAGGGGCATCGATAGAGTTGATGAGCACCGTGATGGGGGCACTATCGGCATCGCGGGCGTTCAAGCTGGACTGCAGCAGTTCCAGGACCTCTTGCGGCTGCGAGCCCATCTTCGACGGGATGTCTGCGCCCAGCACTGCTGTGACGATCGTCGCGAAGATGGACCGTATCGAGACGCCTGGCGTGTGGCCGTTGACAATAACAACGGAGGGGGGTGAGGTCGTGGTGGTGTCGTCGTCCTCATTGTCGTGGGAGTGGCGGCGGTATTGCCAGTCGGCGAATTCCCGTAGCAATCGACGCTTGGATCCGTAGCCGTACAGGCAGATGTTGAACCCCTGGTCGAACTCAAAGTCCCATTGGGGGAACGACCGGCAATGCAGGTCCAGCAACAGGGCCTTTTCCTCCTGGAACGGATCCACCCACTGCGCCATCTTCTCGAAATACTCCTCGTGTGTCAGGAGGTTCACCTTGCTGAGATTGCTATTCGACGTCCGCGGCGGTCCCGCCCGGTTCTGGAAGAAGTAGCGCTCGTGCGCCGGGAGCTCGCCCTCGGGCGTGGGAGAGCGTTTGTTCTTTGCGCCCTTTGGTCGTCCGGCTCGACGTTTCGGGGTCGGTGCTGCTGCATCCCCGGCTGCTGGCTGCTCGGATCCTACCTCGACGGATGGTATCACTCCATCTCCATTGGTTGCTGAGGTTGCTGGCGTTGGTCCCTGAAGGGCCGTCTCATCATCGTCCTGTAGGATTTCCTGCGCGAGGCGATCAGCGCCATCCCAGATCTCATCGTCGTCTTGTTCCAGCAGCAGGCGCGCGCTCTTCTTCTTTGCGGACCGGTCGGCATTTCGAGCTTTGGACGGGGTGTCAGGCGCAGAGGTCTGTCTCGTGGGCGTCGAGAACAGAGCTTTCGCCTTGTTCTTGTGCGTGGGAGTCTTCAATCCCGAGGCTTTCAGGGTAGCTGGAGTGTCCGCGGTCGGCTTCTTGGGAGTCGACTTGATTTTCTTCGCTGGAGTGCCTTCAGGGGTTTTTTCGCTGGCCGCATACCCGTTCACGGCGCCATTGGTCGGTGCATCGGTCGTCCTCGGCCTCTTCGGCGTCGAGACAGGACGCGCTTCGTCCGTATCTGGTTGCTTGCGTTTCATTTTAGTTAACTTGGTTGGGGAAGGTAAGCGGAATTGGGTCGGTGAAGAAATACCATCCAGACAACAACACGGAACAATCCCCAGGTTTAACGAAGAACAAGAGGAAAAAAAACAATATGACGCAAGGGGTTCCACCGAGTAAGCTCCAAGCAGCACAGCTTTCTCTTCTCTCTTCACAAGGAACTGAGGAATGCTTTCCCGTACGGTTCAACCCTCGTGGCTTTGGCTCTCTCTGGGCGCGTCTTCGAAGCACAACCGATAGGACCGAGAGTTTTTCCGACTCCGCGATATCGGAAGCGGCATTTCATCGCCGCGCATCGCATCACTGCGGGACCGGCCCTGGGAGTTTCACTCGCCGATATAATTCACGCAGCAAAGAGAGAGAGAGAGCTTCTGTCCGTCGTCCCAATTGACAACTCTCGTCGTGGTTGTTTGGCAGTGGTCTCGCGCGTCCATCTCGCCTACGCAGGAGCTAGCTGGAAGCTTCTGATAAGCCCGTGAGTCATTTTGTTTACCATTCGCACTGAGTCATTTTCGGGGCCGTCTACTGCAGGTGCCTCCGTGTATATCTACCCAATCTCCCAGACCACGTACCCTGGGGGTCATGAGGACCAAACCTTTCACAACTATATCAATTGCGTGTTTTCTTTCTACAGTTAGTGGTGGGACCCTAACTAAATCCTCACTTTTTCCAGCCCAGGAAGCCCCCTTTCAATGGCTATTCCCGCGCAATCGGCGGCCACCACCATGGCTACCTTCACCCGCATGGTGAAGGGCCAGGTGCGCCATTACTCCGCACCCCTGGACATGGCCATTCCCGCCTCCAAGCAGAAGTACATCCCTTCGTCCGGGTCCTACCCCAAGGGGTTCTCCGTCTCGGGGACTCACGTCGGCGTCAAGGCCTCCAACACCAAGTTCCCGGACCTGGCCCTCATCTCCTCCGAGACCCCCTGTACCGCGGCCGCGGTCTTCACCACCAACAAGTTCCAGGCCGCCCCCGTACAAGTCAGCCGCAATATCCTGCAGACCCGGCAAGGCCAGGGCATCCGGTCGGTGGTGATCAACTCTGGGTGCGCCAACGCGGTGACCGGCAAGGGCGGACTGGAGGATGCGACCAACATGGGCGCCAAGGTGGATGAATGCCACGGCCTCAGCGGGGAGGAACCCAGCACACTGGTGATGAGCACCGGCGTGATCGGACAGCGGTGCGTATTCCCCAAGCAGAACCACAACACCACTTTTCCGTCCTAAAATCAATACCTAACTCTCTTTCCCCTCAAAAAACAGCCTCCCGATCTCTAAGATCCTCTCCAAGATCCCCACCGCGCACTCGACCCTCTCCTCGACGCACGACAGCTGGCTCAGCACGGCGCGCGCGATCTGCACAACCGACACCTTCCCGAAGCTCCTATCCACAACCTTCACGCTGCCCAGCTCGCCGGGCCGCGCCTACAGCCTGGCCGGCATGACCAAGGGCGCAGGGATGATCCACCCGAACATGGCGACCCTGCTGGGCGTGCTGTGCACAGACGCGCCCATCACCGCGGACGCGCTCTCCGCGCTCCTGAAACATGCCGTCTCACGGTCCTTCAACGCCATCTCCGTGGACGGCGACACGAGCACGAACGACACGATCGCGATCCTGGCCAACGGCGCCGCCGGCGGCGCCCCCGTGACTAACAGTCAGAACTCGGACGACTACAGCGCGATGCAGACCGTCCTCACGCAATTCACGCAGTCGCTGTCGCAGCTGGTCGTGCGGGACGGCGAGGGCGCCACCAAGTTCGTGACGGTGCGCGTGCAGAACTCGCCGGACTACGACTCGGCCAAGCTGATCGCCAGCACCATCGCGCGCTCCCCGCTCGTCAAGACCGCCCTGTACGGCCGCGACGCCAACTGGGGCCGCATCCTCTGCGCCGTGGGCTACACCCAGAACGTGAAAGACGGCGTCGTCGTGCCCGACCGCACCAGCGTCAGCTTCCGGCCCGTCGACGGCAGCCCCGAGCTCAAGCTGCTGGTCAACGGCGAGCCCGAGCAGGTTGACGAGGCCCGCGCCGCCGTCATCCTCCAGGAGGAGGACCTTGAGATCGTCGTCGATCTCGGCGGCGGTGCGCTCGGCCCCCAGGGCGCCGGCGGCGAGGAGGCCGTCTACTGGTTCTGTGATTTCAGCCACGAGTATGTCACCATCAACGGTGATTATCGGACTTGATTCCACAAATTCCTTTTCCGGTGTTTGTCACGTCTGATATGGGTGGAACGAGGCGATGTGGGTTCGCCGGATGTTTCTCTCCAAAAAAAAAAAGCGCAGTTAGAATGCTTGGATCAATTATTCTTTGTAATGCGAGCCTGAATATGAGTGACGGTCATTTGTCCACTTTTTCCGAATGCCACAACATCTTACCCGAGTAGCGCAAAATACTTAAAACTGAAGCTGAATGCTGCAACGCACAGCGAGCTTTTGCTAATCCTACAAGGATGAAGATCTAATCAATGGTTCCCACCCGAGTCACCCCAGATGCTCAATGCCCTTCCAATGCAATTTTCAGGTCTTTGATCGAATATGGTTACAGACCAGGTAGTGCTATGTACAACTGTGGCTTTTCAACTTTTCCCGCAGGGAGCAAGAGATAGCTGCCCTCAAAAAATAGGTGACTAGCCATACAGTCATCAAGAATTCAAACCATCCAGATTGCAAAGCCACAGCCGCACACTACCTGGTGAAAATAAAAAGAAGATATAAAAACATAAAAACCCACAATCCCTCTTCTCATACTTCATCAGAAAATGTCCCTAAGCCTCCTTGCTTAGTTACCGGGGACGAGGCCACGGAGGCCGGCGCCAATGTCGCCCTCACGGGCGGCAATCTCAAAGTATCCGTAAATGATGCTAAGGTTGGGTTAGCGACGGTTCAAACAATGCAAACAGGCTGTAAACTTACGTCACGGCAAGAAGGATACCGGTACCGCTGCCAAGAGCACCGAGAAGGTCGGAGGCAACGGAGAGAGCACCAATACAGGCACCACCGAAAGCAGCAGCGGTAGGGATGACACGCTTGAGCTCCTTGTACATGCTCTGCTCACGGTGACCGGCCATCACGAGACCCTGGTCCTTGAGCTGCTTGGCAACATCACGAGGAGCAGAGCCAGAAACCTCGATCCAGGTCTTGGAGAAGAGAGCACAGGCAACGAGCATGAAGGTGATGTAGACGGCAGTGTGAATGGGGTCCAGGAGAGCGTCCTTGAAGTTCAAAGGAGGGGACATGTAGTAGGCGATACCGGACGAGGCGTGGAGCTGAGCAGTTCCGTCACGGGGCTCCCAGACACCGAGAAGTCTCACGAGGAGGTTGTCAGAGAAGCGGGAGTAGAGCATCTGGCTGATCAGGAAGATGTTGGAGCACAGAGCGGACTGCAGCATGATGGGCATGTTGGAGGTGTAGAAGAGGCGGACGGGGTAGGATCCACGCATTCCACGCTGGCGGGAGGACTTGACGGGGATCTCGACACGGAAGCCCTGGAGGTAGATGACGGCGGCGAAGACCAGGAGAGTGGCCAGCAGGTTCATGATGTTGGGGAGGTTCTGGCGGTAGAAAGCCTCGCGCAGAGCACGCTGCTTGTCGGACCAGGTCAACAAAAGGTGGAAGAGAGCAATGATAGCACCCTCGAACTCGGGGCCACGGCCAGTGTTGATGGTCGTGGGGGAGAACGCCTTCCAAACGATGGACTCGCAGATGTTGGTCGCAATGAACAGAGAGATACCGCTTCCAAGACCGTATCCCTTCTGCAGAAGCTCGTCCAGAAGAATAACAACCAGACCAGCAACCACAAGCTGAACGATCAGGAGAACGCAGATACCAGCACCAAGGTCGCTGGGCTGGCCGTAGAGACCAGTGAGAACGTACACGCAGGCCTGGCCGAAGGACAGAATGATAGCGAAGAGCTTCTGGGCAGTCTGGTAGAGCTCGCGGTCGGTCTTGAGGTCAAGGTTGACATCGATGAGGTGGGTACCAGCGAGGAGCTGTGAATCCAGGTTGTAAGTATGCGATTGTCGATCATTGACGTGGCCGCAATCAGCTTACCTGGAAGACCATGCCGGAGGAGATGATAGGGGTGATACCCAGCTCCATCAGAGTACCACGGTTACTGGCCAACATCATACGAAGCCAGTAGAGAGGATCGGAAGTGTCAGAGGAGACAATACCATACAACGGCATTTGACTCATAACAAGGAAGATGAGCAGGGTGAGCTGCGGGCGATCTATTAGCTCGGACCATCTCGTCGATATTTTACAATGTGTCACATACACCAGTCCACATCAACTTCTGGTTGAAGGGCACCTTGGTCTCGGGGGCTGCCACCTCCGGAAGGAGGGGCGTGAAGGGCTTGATAAGATCGAGAAACCGAACTAGTATTAGATGTCAGCAATTGTTGAGCCATTGAGGAAGTTAATGGATCGCTGTCGCGAAGGTGAATGCGATCGCGTGCAGAACTCACGTCCACTCATTGTGACTGTCTTTCTCCCAAGATAACTGGGCTAAGACGGTACAAGAGAAAAGGGAAAAGGAAAGGAAAGCTGGAGGCGAGTACCAGCTGAAGGAATGGAGGGGAAGAAATACAAAAGAAGAAGGGAAGATGAGAAGAAATGATGGGGGGGGAGGGAAAGGAGAGAGGGAGAGGAAGCAATGATGAGGTTCGGGGAGCGGAGGAGGAGTTGGGAGGGAAGCGGGAGTCGCCTCGCTGGCCACTTTCACTCTCCAGCCACGCTAACCCGTTGAGGCCACTTGGTCGCTTCCACCACCGACCACGGCCGTTTTACCCCATCCAGGGTCCTTCCAGTCTACTCAGCTGGCACTACACTCACTACACTCACTTCACTCACAAAAAGTCACTGTATCTCCTCCAAATTACTAAGGATATTCTCTATCTACAGAATCCTGCAAGTTGCTATCTGCTTGCAGGAGTTGTATCCAATGGATTGTGATTCACTTGACATAAATGAAATTCGTAATCTATCTTTCAGCACGGGGTATTGTGTAGACCTTCCAGGTGCAGTTGCAAGGTATAATAGTACATAGCCTCAATCCTCCAAAATATCAAGAAACGAGCCAGCAGCTTCGTTTGCTTTGTACACTCACACAACTTGTACTTATGCAGCTTCCTTGTTCTGTTCATTGATGATACTCGGGGCTCAGATAAGTCCTCCCCAAAGAGCCATAACCAAGCTTATGGTCAGGGACCAACCAAGCATAAACAATCATCGATCACATTCTCCAATTCTCCCAGCCTTTCCTTGAGGCCTCTGTTCTCCTCCTTGAGGATGCCCAGGACACTCCAAGCTTCAGACGAAGGGACACCATGGCAAATGTTGCACTTGGAGGAGTTGTTCCAGGAGCTTGTGATGCCCTTAGGCGTGAGCCCCTTGATGACCCGATCGTACGTCGATTGGCGCGCCGGTGGGGTCGGAGCAGGTTTCAGCTCTTTCTTCGGACTCGATTTCACCGGTACTGATGTGGGGGTCGACAAGGTGACTTGAGAGATGTTTGGGGATGGCGCAACGGTTGAAGCAGGTGACTCGAGCACCTCGCGCCGGGAGAAGACACTGTCCGCGAGACTCTCGTCTCCAGAGTCAAACCCGGAGTCGCTTGTGAAGGTACCATTGCTGGCCCGTTTCATGCTACGCTTGGGGGTCTGAAGCTCCGCGGCAAGGTCTGATGTGCTATCATCGTCATCACTAGATCTGATGAGCATAACACTGCCACGACGCGCATCTTCCTCCTTGCGACGCAACTGCCTTTCCTGCTCTAAGTCTTCGGCCATGGCCTTCATGGCTTTCTCCTGCTGAATGACCTTTTCGGCCATGCCGTCCAGTTGTATTTTCAGGTTCCCTATGCGTGTTCGTGTTATTTCGAGTTCCTCTTGCTTTTCGCTCTTGTCGGCCAAAACTTCGTGCAACGCAAAAGTCCGTTGCTTGTAAGCAGCTTGTAGCCGTCTGAGAATGGTATCTGCATTGCTCCTTAATGTGTCGAAAGCGTCCCGGCCTTCTAGATTACTGAACCCAGGAGGGAATAAAGCAGCATTGATGTCGAGATTCAGAAACTCGTCGTGCGCAGGTTCAGGGAGCTCAAGCCTGGCTTCCCCCTGGCGTTTCAACCCGAAGAATGAGAACGGACTCGACGAAGTGACCTGCTTTAAGGGCGAAGGTGCCGTCCTCCGCTTCTGTGCCCGGCTAGTGAGGCCAGTTGGAGCTGTGGGCATCACGTACGGCTCACGAGTACCTCGTCGCTCCATGGCGTCCTCCTCGTCGTCCAGTTCGTCGGCCTGATATCCCACTCCCAAATTCACAGGCTGCGATTTGCCTTGGAACCAGCCAGATAGACGTTTCGCACCTTCCTCAAGCCTGCGGCGTGCGGTGTTCTCGGTCGAAGGGCTGGGACGAGGTTTCGCGCTGTCGAGGTCTTCGAATGTTTTGGACTGCTCGGAGAAAAGCTTTCGGGAGGGAAGAGGGGCGTGCCGCTGTATGATCTCGGTGTTTGACCGGCGGTGGAGGGACGCGTGCGAAGGATATTGTTTCGGCGGTAGTGGGGATACGGTATCCGAGCTCTGTGCTAATAAGGTTGCAGGGATGTTCAGGTGGGACGGTCGAACAGCAGCATCGTCAGGCGGGCAGCTTCCATCCTCAGTTCCGATCGGGGCCATTGCGAGCGACGAGGGTTTCAGGCTGTCAACAGCAGGCGTGGCTGTAGATGACGGGTGTTCGACGTCTTGTAGCATGACTGATAAGTCGGAACCTGACTGGGTGGTGGGAAGGGATGGGGACCTGGAATGATGAAGGGATGTAATCTGTCGCACCACTTGGACACGGACTGGAATGCCACGTCGATATGTTGTCCGCTCCAATGCACGGTCACGTATGCCGCACTCGATAGTCAGCTAAGAAGCAAAAGGGGCAATGAAACGAGTAGCTCCCGAAGCTCTCTCTTTTTTTTTCCGTTGCAGCCTCCTTTAAGTTTGATGTGGGTGACAGCAAACGCAGAATGACCGATTGACAGCGGGTAGCAGCAGCAGTAAATCAAGCCTGGATGATGTTCCGTACGGCGAAGGCAGTGACTCTTGGGGAAGGGGGCGATCTAGGGAGATGTTTATTCAGGATGATGGAATCGGCCGCCGAGAGATAGCGATAGTGGGCGACCCGCACGTGCCCCTGTCAGCGACCAGTGTTAAGGATCCTGCACGTTATACAATAGTCGATGGATCAATATCATTAAACTTGTGGACTAGAATGAGTTAGGCTATAATCCGGATAATCGAGAGGTGTGCAATATCAGATGAGACCCCGAAAACGGCTGTTTACATCCAGACGGCGCACAATCTCGCGAGGTTGGGTGTATATTCTTAGCAACTCTCAACCTGGCCAGCCAACCAGAAAAATTACGGTGGCTGGATTGGGAACTGCGTATGAGGATTTCCCCACCATCACAATGAGGCAATGGCGATTAGCTAGCGAGTCATAAAAGCAAAATGAGTCGATCCAGCAGTGACAGGCTGTGTTGGGCCGTTGTCGTTGTTGTTAGGGCAGTTCCATTGGCCCGTGGAAGAAGAGTATTGATCGGGCAATATACCTATCCACAGTCCGCAGAGTCCACATTACACTGCTCAACTCTGACGACGTCATTTGCGGTCGTGACCAAAATACAATGGTTTCTGTGACGACTGAGTAGGCTGGTAGAATTATTGACGCCACCATCAACGCAGCGACGAAAGCACCCAATTCCTTCCCCCCTTTTTATCTCTTGACCTCCGAGGCCTGATGTGAAGGTCTGGATTTTTGGGGTCCCCGTTTCATGCGGACTTTGGTCTGAGAGGGCCCCGCGGCCCCTAAGGAGAGATTAAAGCAATCTCAGGGTAGGGGGGGATTGCCTGCGCGACATACAGGAAAGGAGGCGATCCATGCGCAAAGGGTCGCATCGGCTGTCGGTTGTCAGGAGTACCTCTGTGTACCTGCACTGTGTAGGAACGACATAACTGGCCAATTGTCGGAGAATATAGGTAGATCATGAATCGTACCTTGGATGATGGCTTTGCGGTAAAGGATGCGAACCATGGGAGAGTTAAGGAGGAATCCGTCCTCCCGTCGTGGGTGATTTAGATAGACTTCTGCCTAAGGCGAGGAGGGTCACATGTTCTTGCTTTCTTCTACAAACCAATTCAGCTTCTGCCGATTTTCTAATAACAAAGCAATACTAGATCCGATATTGAACGCAGACTTGCTACCACTATGTTTGGACATCTAACTTACTTCCGTGGTCCCATCGAACACAAGGGCGTAAACCACTCGATTCGACCGAACCAGACAGCAATTTCATACTAGTCTCAAACTCCAGCTTCATCTCTCATCTAAGGACTGTTGATAAAATCACACCGATCAAACAACCTCTCCCACGCTAATGCTTGCTGTGCTGCCGTCATCACACCGATATCCCCGTCTCTACCAATCGCCACCTCCAACAACCCCAGAGGACCCCCGATGAGCTGAATCGACAGTTTACTAGCACTCTCTCTTGATCGCTGCCCATCGCGCGTAGTAGGATATGCAGATGACCATTTCTGCACACCAGCACCCTCTCCTCCCGGGCGACCTTCATGGACAATCGCCTTACTAACCGTCTCACTGAGCGCCATTTGATCCAACGAGTTATCCGCACCCCCTGCAAAGTGCAGGTTATTGAACACATATGGTATGTCACTGAGATGTGCCACTCTCTACATAGGCACTCCCATCGCTTCAAAGACAGGTATGAATCTTGTTGCAATTGTGCTCGTACAACCAGGTCCACGATGCGTTTGAACCTCCGGTCTGGGCATACTGCCATGAAAGATCCAATACGGGGCAGGCAAACCAGATATCCCGACTCATCTGCGCCGTAAGGAAATATTGCGGCGACATTCCACTGTGATAGTTTGGGCGGACCATGTGGTTGAAATATTCTACCGGGTACAATCGCAAGAGCTTTTCTTTCGTTGATTGAAATAGGCCGTGTAGCCAGAGCCCGAAGCTACCAAGGACGTCTTCGTCTGTGGCTGTCTGCGGAGATGCATACCAAGCCCCATCATCGATCACCCACGATGCTACTATGGGAATATTCTTGACGAATTTACCGGTACGCATTAGTTGAGACGTCCTGCCGTTAAGTTAGTCATTGTCGATAGTCGGGTAGAAGTATCCTTCACCAAATGGGGACGGGTTTTTCGGGCCTCATTGACAGTTACATTGGTCCAAAAAGTCAGCTGGGACAGCCCGCAGGCATTTTAAGGTCTCAATGGATTGGCCTTCATCGTCGTTGGCGCACCCTACTTGCCTGGCTATGGCCACAGTGTTGTTCGCAACGAAGACCGGGTCGCTGTTGAAGTTGACGCCGGGTGCGCCGGACATCATCCTGTGTTGCGATAGTCAGTGTGGGTACCTAGTGTTGTCTACAAATGGCTAACATTGCTTGCTGGAAAAGGACGTCTTGGGATCCGTTGAATGATGTCAGATGCAGGCCGATGTCGCTGGCTCCCACGCTCTGGCCATAGCAGTCACTGGATCAAGTGGTCAATCATCGCGTGTCTGGGTCAAACTCGTGAAATGATACCTCTATCTGGGTTACCCCCGGATACTTCAATGCGATCCTGAACCCCTGGGACATATCAGTTCCTGAAAGTCGTTTGGGATATTTTGACGAAGGCATGAAACCTACACTGTGAAGCAGCTCGCTGATCGCGCAATCCTGCATTTGTCTGCTTGGTCTCAATCATTGCCTTGCTCGTGGCGAGGCCAAATACTAGGCGACTCAGTCTCCGCACGTTCGCAGAAAGTCGAGCGCTCTTACTCATCAAGCGATAGTTGATACCAACATATATTAATGGTTTCCCTGCCGCAGCAGCCGCCCTCAGCAAGCCGTCGGGAGTGTACAATTGATCGGAAACTGAACCCAGTGCATGGTCTCCTATCGCGAAAGACATGTCGTAAGAATCTCTTTTGTCCCATTGACAGAGATAGCTGGACAAACCTCCATGTATCCAGACCGCAACTGGTAGCTTGGCATCCCTCTGTACCCCTGAAGGTCGAGCGATTCGCAGACTCAGACAGTTCTCACTTATATTGCTCACTCGGCTGGTGAAGGGCAGTATATTTTCCACGCCTTGAATACATCAAGCAGCGGACTTGCTAGCATCAATGATGGATCCCTTGGGCGGGCTTGCTGGGACTGCAGGTGCAAATCGTCGTTGACCGGTTGGCTCTTCTGCATAAAACACATTCTAGAGTGCTCAACCCCAGGAGTACGACTTCCGATATATTTGATGTCGCGAGTAAAGTCTGTGACTGTTGGTGGAAAGATGGATGCACTAAGAATAGGGATGTTCGCTCTCCCCAAAAGATGATGACGGATATGAGATTAATAGGCTGTGGTGAGATATATCGCCACAGCAACAACGGCAATGGGAAGATTGATCCTGAGGCCGGTCATGGCTCGGATGTTAGGTATGGTTGTTGAGAAGACTACTTACTTCATCAGCAGATGCTTACGGACCATAGCTCACAGATCAGTGTTAGGATTGAGGGTCAGACGTGTCGAGTGATGACACAATGGGTGTTGGTTCAATTAGTGCTAACTGTTACCCGGGACGTCCGGTTCGCATTTCTTTCTGTCTTTTGCATTCCCACGGCAGATGCGTTGATTCTCAATCCGCGAAGTTGAAGCTCATGTCTGGTTCTTCACTTCCTTGCAACCCACCTCCCATAGGAAATGGTACTCGTACTTGGTGTATCCGCCATGTGCCGTTGGCTTCACTGTCGGCCCCGCCGAAGATGACGACGATCTCTTCTTCACGTCTATTATTATTATTGCAACTGAGAATTATCTCAACAGCCGAGGTGTTCCTCCGATATTCTGCGAGTCATGTATCAAGACTCAACTTCGGCCGATGCCATGTCAACGGCTCAATGCTGTCAAATCCACGTTGAGGCGCCGGGTCCAATAGCTCACGCTAAGTTTAGCCCACCGTCGCCATGTGGGAATATTATCAGGGGCCGCGGCAGCAGAATCTGTCGATCTTGCGAAAGCTGTCACGGATTCGTCTACGATCTAAGCGAAGCGCGTGATAACTCAATCTGAAACAACGACAGCAATTATCCTACGGGGCCAAGTTCCGGTTATGGACTCAACATGCTTTTCACCCAGAAGCCCTGAAAGGGTGACCAGCGCAAGGAGGCATTATGGGAAGGGGCTCTTGTCTATATAGTTCGACCTTTCTCGCCGACGACCATGATCTCACCCAAGTCCACATGAAGACGACAACATGTTGACATTCCTACTCTTTGCTCTCCCGGCCGCCGCGCAACTGTCTGGCGCCGTCGGTCCGACGACTTCTTATGCCTCCAAGGCGGCTAACAAGGTCTGCAACATCGTCGACTACGGTGGCTTTCCCGGCAATGGCACAGATATCGGCCCGGCCCTGTCTTCTGCTTGGAGCGACTGTGCCAAAGGCGGACTGGTGTATATCCCACCGGGTAACTTCTCCATGGCGACGTTTCCAGCGCTGAAGGATGGTGTCTCGTCGGCTGTGCAACTAGACGGGGTGGTTCATCGCACTGGGGCCGAGGGCAGTACGATGTTTTCCTTTCGCAATTGCAAGGACTTCGAATTTTTCTCGGGTAACTCCCGCGGTGCTATACAAGGCTATGGCAACGAGTACTTGTCGCAGGGCGAGTACGGCCCACGTCTCATGCGCTTCGAGGAGATGAGCAACTTCTCCGTGCATGGTCTCGCGCTGGTCGACTCGCCTGCGTACTACCTCACCCTAGACACGATCAGCAATGGCGAAATCTACAACATCATCATGCGCGGGCCTACTGTTCTTGGGGGTACTGATGCGATTGATGTATGGGGAGAAAACGTGTGGATTCACGACGTCGAGGCAACCAACGGCGATGAGTGTGCGACGGTCAAGAACCCTTCATACAACCTCTTGATTGAGAGCGTTTACTGCAACCTCAGCGGTGGAATGTCAATTGGCTCCCTCTCCACGGGGACTGATATCCATGACATCTACTACCGACACATCTATGCGAACGATGCGGACCCATGCTTCATCAAGTACAATGGGGGCAATGGCACGGTCAGAAACATCGTCTGGGACACGGTCACAGTTCCTGGCGGCTCTTATCCGCTGTCGATCGATTCCAGCTGGGGATCAGCACACGACGGAGATGGAGTGGAGATCACCAACCTCACGTTCAAGGTAAAGCGAACATCCTAGGGGTTGTGGGGCCGCATGATAATTCTAGACAGAACTGGCATGGGTACAATTCGAACAATGCACGTCCAGCTATTCGATTTCAATGCGGATCCGAGGTACCTTGCACCGAGATCAGTCTTGAGAATGTGAACATGTTCAGCGAGGATGACTACGTCGTCTACGCTTGCGAGAATGCCTATGGCAAGGGTGCATGCTTGGAAACGGCATCGACCGCTGCCGCGACCGGTTACACCGCACATCAGACGATGACATCTATCGGGTAAGCTTTCTCTCTGCAACAAGCTAAGCTAACTCACTAACCAATTGTCGCAAGGGTGTATACCACTACCTGGATGGTCGACGATATTACCACGGCGATGCTGGCCAATACGTCCTATACTATCCCTTCTGCGCCAACGAGCTTCTATCCCGGCCAGTCTCCATACTCTGCTCTTCTACACCTGAGCGGACCTGGTGGTCTGGGTGCAGCAAGCTCTTCAGTATACGCGTCCAGTACAGCTGTGGCAGGATCGTCAGCAGCTTCATCCATTACAGCTGCGGCAGGATCGTCAGCACTTCCATCCAGCGCAGGTGTGGCTGCCAGCCAGCAAAGCTTAAGCTCGGCTGCCCCTAGCCAGACTGCTAGCGTTCCCGGTCAAGAAGGACAGACTTCTTGCTCATCGAATTACAAGGAGCCTGAGCAAGGCTCTAAGCCGTATGACCACAAGGCGTTTCATCTGCATAAGGGGAGTCACCAAAATAAAGGCGGTCATCAGTAGAGCCCTCGCATGTAGGTGCACGCGGGCAGTGAAAAGTTTGCTACTTTTGACGTATAATATCTAGCTCGGAGTGTGTCCTCTCTTGCTTGTTGGACAAGGAATGATACTAGTGTCTAATTTCCATAACGCGGCATTGGCTCAGAGTCGACGCTGATCTTATAACGTACTAGGTAGTACACATGCAATAATACGCTCATGGTCGAATCGAAGTCATCAATCTCAGGAACTTGTGCGAGGAATGTATATAACTCCTTCTGCACTCATCTCTTCAGATGCTCGGTGTGTTTCCTAAGTCGCCGATTCAATTCGCCGAGTCTACATTCGATTATCTAAAACGTCTGCGATGATTTGTCATTGCTGTCTTCTTCGAAGGAGGCCGGTGGGGTACAAGAACGTTCGCACTCGAGGATAGCCCCTCGGTCTCTCGATCAATTTCACGTGCTGGTCGTTGTCGCCTCGAACGGAATGCGCGGCTTTCAGCCATAATCGAGTAGGGGATGAGGGGGAGCACGAAGCGTTGGATGGCGGAAGCCTGATCCAAAACGAACTCACTAGATTTGTGAATGATATAGTCGCGAATGATATAGTCGCGAAGGACATTGCAGAGCTACACAGGTGCAATGGCCAGAAGCAGCCCCCTTTCTTTGCGGATCATATTAGAGGGTCTGTGTACCTCTCTCCCCGTACAACCTGAAAATATGCTCAGTCAAGCTCTGGAGATGCCTCGAGAAACCAATCATCTCAAACGTCTGTCACTCGGCATAATGGCAACACTTGATCTTACGTTCACCGGGCGGTGATTGCCCCTATACACAATCGGCCATATACGAGAATCTGCACCAGCATGCCAGTCACCGAATCCACCCTCTGAGCGCGCCGTTGATCTCTGCCTTGACCTGAGACCTCCAGGATCAGCCCGCTCCAGATCTGGTCACATCCCCTTGGCCACCAAAATCCGTCTTCGTCAGCGGAGTACCATCCTCTACCGTTCAACATGGCTGTCAACCCAGTTCGCCCTATGCCAAGTCTCTAAGAGCCAGGCCACCGCGGCATCGACCGAGCTCCGTACAGCTCGACATGGGCGCGGGGACCCGCTGGAGCATCACCTACTTGGGTGCAGCTGCTCCACAATCTTGGATCTGATTGTGCACTATATTCCATGACATCCAGTGTCCCAAGGGGCGCGCGTTTCACCTCCATGGCAAGAACAAAGGCTTGGTACCAGAACACGAGCTGGGTATCCATGCAGCGGTGGTTCTTTAATACGTGGCACGGAACGCTTAACCTGCTCTATCTTCGAGTCCGACTGCTTTGATATAGCGAAAGAATAATTATTACAGGAAGGAGCTTATCTCCCAGCAGGCAAAACGTCACCCGGCCGATCATCGGCCTCGCCGCCATCCTCGGGTCAATGTGCTTATCCCGGCGCCAGGACTGGGATGTCTTCCGTTGCTACTATTTTTTCCCCTGTATATATTAAGATCAACAAGTTGAATAGCTTTATTTCCTTACTGCTTTAGTGCAGGAGCCTATTCCACCGATAGCTTCCATCCATTCGTAGTCTAAATGTCTGCTCTACACCACAAATACCACCTGCTGCGATGCTTTGGAAATCTATTTCAATTCCAAGCCTGGGCGGTGCGTAAAGACAGACCATACACAAGTACTATGTATCTAGAAAGCTCTACTAGGACTGGTGCATCTTGACCATCCCGACATTAGTCAAGCATTCGAGCAACAAAGCTGAAGTAATTCCACATGCTATCCCATCGATGAGGTCATTCCCTCACGTCCTTATGTAAGCGAGCAGATCTAGGGCGGTGAAAGACCAGCTATTCTGCCCGAGCAATCTCCCCGATCCAACAGCTTCATCAGTGCAAGACAACACCGCGATAACAGCTTTCGACACGGCATACCATCGCTGGGCTACTCGGCTTGAACGCCCGGATACGAATCTCTCTGCAAATCCTTGCCTGTGCCTTTTCCTTTCGTCAAAGTCGACCATGGCAACCCCAGCATCGAGCGGACTCAAGTTCCTGAGCAATGCGCTCGCGACCCCCGAACAACTCTCCAACTCGTCCTCCTCCATCGACGGGGTCGCACCCGACCTAGAGGCCTCAATCCGCTTTGCCGGGGCCCTCCTCACGCAAGCAGCAGGGGTGTACCTCCGGCTATCGCAAGACATCATCGCCCAGGCCATTGTCACATTCACGCGGTTCTGGATCGGATCCGAAGGAGGGAGTCTTCGGATATACAACGTGAAGGTTGGCCCTACCCTGTCCCTTTACTCCACTGGAGCTTTAGCTCATTATCGGTCGAGCCCTACAAAATACAACAGCTAGACTTGACACAAACTAATCGGGTAAATCATCTACGCAGGACGTCTCCGCCGCCGCCCTGTACCTAACGGCCAAACTCAGCTTCCAGCCGACCTCCCCGCGCTCCATCCTCAACGTCTACGGCTTCCTCCTATCCAAAGAGGCCTCCCCGCTATGGTGCACGAACCCAAGCCCCGTCACCAAGGAACCGCCTAACCCGGAGACCTACGTGCTCACGGAGGGACAATACCAGGCGCAGCGGCTGGGGCTGATGCGCACGGAGGCGCTCCTCCTGCGGACGCTGGGGTTCAACACGCACGTCGCGCTGCCGCACACGGTCTCGCTGACGTACCTGCAGACGCTGGGGGTAACGGCGCCGGCGGTGGCGCGGCGAGTGTTCGCGCACCTGAACGCGGCGCTCATGTCGCCGCAGCTGCTGTACGTGACGCACCAGCCCAATGCGCTGGCGGTGGCGGCGATCTACCTGGCGGCGCGGGAGGAAGGCGTGAAGCTGGTGAACAGTGAGTGGTGGGAGGTGTTTGATGTGGACCGCGAGGAGCTGGGGTTCCTGGTGGTGGCGATGCGGAGTATGGAGGGGTTTGCGACAGCGGAGTTGGAGAAGTGGAAGGGGAGAGCGGTGCCGATGACGGTCGAGGAGGTCGAGGCGGAGATTGAGCGGAGGCGGGCGGAGGGGGAGTGAATTGAGGTGGTGGGCAGCGTGGATTGAAGCTAGTATTGTTCGAATACTGAGACAGTTACACAGCTTGCTACTGGCTGGCTTGGGGACTCGAGCCGATTGCTGCAGATCGGCAGATAGCGGTCGAGCGTTCAAGCTCCAATTCCGGGTCCGGGTCCAGCTTGCAAAGAACAAGAGTCCCCCGAGGGTCCTCACCTGGCCGGCTGGCGGCTGGGGAGAAGTCCTGCTATCCGGCTGGAAGGTGTCGCCGTAGCGGCGCTACGATCCCGGGAGGTGGCGCTCTTAGGTCGGGGACGCACCAGCTTGAGAGGCAATCGGACCTAGGAAAGTATTGTGTGAGTAGTGTATGACCAGAGCAAGTGCAATGAGGAGTTCTTAGGCACTCAAATGATGAAATTTCGCACTCAAGTAAAGACTCACGTGCATAGTGTAACAAGTAGGAAGGAACAGACAAGTAGTCATCAGCCACATGATAAGTGACGATAAGCCCCGCGTGCCGCAGGGCCGAGTCAGCAGCGGGCGGGATCAACGTCACCCCCTCATTTCCCCCTACTTTCCTTTTCACCGCCAACCTGACATACTCCTCCATTACTTCCTATCTACAACTGGGCTACAACTACAAGCACATCTACAACCAACACCTAACTACATTACTCTTACAGCGGCTGAATAAACACAGCACCAAGCACACCTCAATAAACCCAAACCCACACCTAAACCCAAACCCAAACCCCACAACCTAACACCGACGCGACGCAACGCAACTCAACAACCTCCAGATCCCACCCAGCAACCCCCTCCATCCAGTTCATCACCCACCTCACTTCAACAAACACCAACTCCCCCTCCCTCACCTCTTTTCTCACCCAAACCTTCCAACCATGAACATCCTTCACTCAACCCTCAGCACCTGGCGCGACCGCCTAGCCCCAATCTCCCGCACCTCCACCTTCCGGACGACCGGCCAAATCACCCCCGAGGAGTTCGTGCTCGCCGGCGATTATCTCGTCTACAAATTCCCCTCATGGGCGTGGGCGGACGCCTCGTCGCCCGGAAAACGTGTCTCCTACTTACCGGCCGGCAAACAGTTCCTGGTGACGCGGGGCGTGCCGTGCCACCGGCGGTTGAACGATGATTTCGCGGGGGATGCGGGGCGGGAGGAGGAGATTGTTCGGGATATGCTTTTTGGGGATGGTGCTGAGGGTGGTGATGAGGAGGAAGGGTGGTTGAGGACTGGTGGTGGTGCTTCCTCCTCATCACCAGCTCAGGGCGGTAGCGCTGCTGGAGGAAGGATAGGGGATATCCGCACCGTCGATGAAGCGGGGAACGTCGCGGACCATGCCGATCAAGAGGAAGAGGAGGAAGATGAAGAGGATATCCCCGACATGGAGGATGAGGATGACGATGAGGAGGCGATTATCCGGGAGCCCGTGGGGAAGAGTTCGGGGCTTTCGACGTAGGTTCCCCCCTTTGCCTTCCCTTTTCACCTTCCACCAAATAAAGACAGTCCCACTGATGATAAACCCCCCCCTTCCCTCACAGACCAACAAGAACCTACAACCTCTACATCACCTACAGCAACTTCTACCGCACCCCGCGCCTCTACCTATCGGGCTACCTCTCCCCCTCGGAACCCCTCCCGCCCCCGCTCATGATGGAGGACATCGTCGGCGACTACAAGGACAAGACCGTGACCCTCGAAGATTTTCCCTGGTTTGATGGCAACGTCAAAATGGCCACCGTGCACCCTTGCCGCCACGCCTCCGTCATGAAGACCCTCCTGGACCGCGCGGACGCCGCGCTGAAGATCCGGCGCGAGAAACTGCGCGCTGCCGCCCAGAAACAACAGCATGACACTAAGGTGGAAGGGCTCGTTGATCCCGTGCGCGGGCTTTCGGTTCACGATTCCCCAAAGACGGAGAAACACGGCGATGAGTGGGAGGTGTTGCAGCATGATCATCACGACGACGAAGACGACGAAGAAGAACAGTTTGCGATCCGGGTGGATCAGTATCTGGTGGTGTTTTTGAAGTTCATCGCCAGTGTGACGCCGGGGATTGAGCATGATTTTACGATGGGGGTTTGAGTTTCGTTCGTGGTTTTTGTTTTTCTTGTGTGCGTGTTGAGTTTACCAAGGTAGGTGTAGTAGGCATAGGAGTTGGGTTGCGGTTCAGGCGTTTGTTTTTTCATCTCATGGTTATTGAACTTAACTCTACTTATTTACTAACTAACTAACTACCATTTGCCTCTTCTCTTAGCTTTTCTGTTGTTCAATTCTCTGGTCGCTAATGCTCGTCATCTGCACTCTCTCGAAGGGATTATTAGTTTGTTTGCCCTCGGCGAGATATGACGGTCGTTCGTTTGCTCCCTTCTCAAGCAATAAGAATTACAGCCCGCCACCGGTTCAGCTTCCCCTCTCCTCCTTCTTCCAGCTTCACTTTTGTCACAAACTGCAAAACTTCTACTAGCGAGCGAAACGAGGCATGAAAATTAAATCTGAAATCTGAAATCTGAAATCTGTATTGAAATCTCCCAATGTAGAATCCATAGTGATAATATATAATCCTATTTCTAAATTCCGAATAGACTATCATTTTCAATATCAAAAAACCACAACAATGAATGAGTAAGAGGTCATCATGATTAGAAAGGCCATATAAGAAAGCAAAAAAAAAAAAAAACGTACAATCATGCAATCCCGACAAAGAAAAATTACACATCATGTTGGGAGTTGAACAGATGGATACGACAGTAAATACTCCGGTTTTGCTCCGTTGAGAAGCAAACAATACATGATCAGCCAGAAATTTGTATAGAGAAGGGAAGTTTGAAGCAGATGAAAGGGAAAATGATCGCTGATTGATGAGAGGGGGGAAAGACGTGCTTAAAGCGCTGCGTGTAGATTGCCACTATTCCATTGGATCCATCTTCAAAGGGATCTAGGCAGGACATTGACAAGTGTAGGCGGGGAGTGGCGGGGACACAGGCGCAGGGGCAGGGGCAGGCTTGTTCTCGTTCTCAGGGACTGTCTTGGGCTCTGTGGCGGGGGTTGATGCGGGGCTGCTGGGTGCGGCGGCGGGAGCGTCAGGGCCGGGTTGGGGTTGGGTCTCGGGGGCAGACTCAGGCTTGGTTTCGGGAGCGGGAGCAGACGCCGGGGTAGACGTGGGCTTTTCGGTCTCAGGGCCGGGTGCTGGGCCGGACTCAGCAGGAGACTTGGGGCTGGACTCAGGCGCGGACTCAGGCGCGGACTCAGGAGCAGACTCGGGAGCAGACTCGGGAGCAGACTCAGGAGCAGACTCAGGAGCAGGGCTAGGAGCAGCTCCCTCCTCAGACTCGGGAGAAGGGCAATCTTCGGCAGGTTCCTCAGCACCAGGGCCCTCAGCTTCGGGAGCAGGGACAGGGCTAGCAGGCTTCTCAACAGGAGAGGCATCAACCGGGGCGGCAGGGGCCGGGCCAGGGGCAGGAGCAGGGACCGGAGCGACAGGCTCAGAAGGACCCGCAGAAGGCTTTTCCTGGGGAGGAGCAGGGGCAGTGGTCGGGGTTTGAGGGGACGGAGGGGCAGGGACGGGTGCACTTCCGGGCCCTTCATGGGTAGGAGGAGCAACAGCAGAAGGGTTGGGGTTGGGTGCCTCCGAGGTCTGAGGAGCAGGAGCGGGAGGGGCCGGCTCATTGTGCGGTGGTGAAGGCGGTGGTGATGCCGGCTCTGTGGTCTCCGGATGCTGAGGCTTGGGCTCGGGCTTGGGCTCGGGCTTAGGCTCGGGCTCAGGCTTGGGCTCAGGCTTGGGCTCAGACTTAGGTGCCTCCGAGCTCTCATGGCTCACATGGTAGAAGTTACCCATGTTGACATTGGGTCCGTCAGGAATCCCGATATTCCAAGACTGACCTGCATCGGTGCTGTCCGATTGATGCGAGCCACTGTTCTTGCCATCACCGTTCTTGTCGCTGCCTTCGTGGTAGTGAGAGGAGGCGGCGTTGCCTCCAGTGTAGCTGGGACCGTCGGGGATCCCGATATTCCAGGCCTGGCCTGCAGCGGTGCTGCTGTCCGTTTCATGCGATCCGCTGTCCTTACCGCTGCCTTCGTGGTAGCGAGAGGCGGCGGCGCTCGCCGTGTTGTAGTAGGGTCCATCGGGGATGGAGATATCGGTGCCGCTCCCCGCAAAGCTCTCTGAGTCGAATTGCCTTTCGGCCAGGGTTGTGCTCTGCGATATGTTAGAATTGTCCCGGACGTTGAGCCCACCAGGCCGACTTACCTTGGAGGCAACAGGTGCCGACAGAGCGGAAGGAGTGACGAGGGCAAGGCACAAGAGTGCCGAAAGGCTCTTGGAGTTGTACATGATATTGAAGATCTGTAAAAAAAAAAGAGTTGAGAAAGAATGTGATTGCAGGTCAGAATAAAGCCAGCAAAGTGTCAGCGAGTGAGTGTATGGGAGAGAAAGAATGGATGCTGTGATGAAGACAGCCGATGATGAGTCTGAAGAAAGATCAGTCCAACCAGAATCTATCAGGTCTTTATATCCTGAAGCTGGGCCTTGTAAGGGAGTTACCCTAGGATAGCCCTTTCTAGGAGGTTGTTGTTGTACCTTGTAGCCATTGCCAGGCAACCCATGGGCCCAAGCAAGGCCCACGAGACAGTGGCGTCAATTGATCCAAGATCTCGATCCAAATAGCTCTCATCTTATCAGCAACAGCAGCCACACTCCGTCCGGATCGCCCTCGAACAATTTCAGTCGCAGTCCTTTCTTCACCGAAGGGGCTAAGGAGATAGGGTGGAGGATACAGCTTGCTCCGGCCGGGGTCGATGCAAGGAGCCGCAGAGTCATCGCTGCTGCTCGGCCAACAGATTAATCAGACAACAAAAAAGTACTTCGTAGTGAGGCACCGATAGAATAAAAATGAATTTAGTAGTTACACATGGTTGCCGATGCATATGCAAAAAGAAAAAGTTCAGCATCGTTCAAAGGTCATCAGTCATGGTTTCCAATTAAGAAGCCAAATTCACCCATATGACACCACAGAGGGCGAATGGCTCCAAGCATATACTGGGACAGATTCATGCACCAGAAAAATAGCCTTATACTTTTCCGCAGTCCGAATTTCCGAAAGCCGTGCCAAAATTGGTGGTCTTCTTGAACCGCAATTCAGGTTCCTCGGTCTCACCCTGGCTGCGAGGCTCAGCCTCATCTTCATCTTCCCTCTCCTCCTGAGAGCCCCTGCGGTGGTGGCCAAGGACCTGCTTGACCTGGTCCAGAAGCCTCTGATCAAGCTCCTTCAGAAAGCTACTGTCGTGTTCCTCCTCGTTCAACAAGGAGAGCGGCCCCTTCAGAGCTGGGTCTTCCGGCAAGTCTGTAAAGTACGAATCGGACTGTTCTGCGGGTTGCCGAAGCACTGCCGGAGCAAGGGGGCTGGCCTCATCTTGGACCTCCTGAGGCGACGGTTGCTCCGTGTCAATATCGCGATCGATTTTGGCCATGGGAGTATGGCCGGCGTTCCTGGTCAAGTTGAACTCTGGGGGACCCAGCTCGGATAATCGCAGTTTCAGACTGTTGCGATGCTCATTCGGGGGGCGGGTTGAGGAGGTCGGGGAGGTTTCGAGTGGCGACGGTGATGGTGGTGTGATCACGCGGGCGATCACTTCAGGGGGCAGGGCAGATGACTTGAGGGTGATCCCGTCTAGTTTGCTGTCCAGCTTCTCGATCGGTACAGGGACACTGACGCCCGTAGAGGGGTCTACTGCATGCGATTTGGGAGAAAGAGCAGCATCCAAAGATGGCGCAGAGACATATTTGGCTCCTTGCTCCGGGATCGACGATAGAGTGTGGATGTCCGTCGTCTCCGCATCAGGAAATACCCTGGTGGGCCGGCTCCCAGGGCTAGATCCCTCCCACACCTGCGCACTTGCGTGAAATTGGTCGGCAAAACTTACTGAGTGGAAGCGACCGTACGGGGCATTGATGGCGGAGAAGGAATTCGAGGCAAAAGCGCCGGGCGGCACGGTCGCCGATGCGGTGGATCCTCGCCCTTTTAGCAGGGCCTCTAGTTCCGATATCCTCGACTTCAACAACGCCCGCTCTTTTTCCCACAGTTGTCGTTCCTCATTGAACAACTTCTTTTCATTTTCGAAACTGATTCGTTGACGGTCTAGTAGTGATCGCGCCTGGTCGAGATAACTAGCGCTCAGGCTCGAGTAGGTGACGCCAGCGGCACCGTGGGGGTTCAAGACAGGGTGCGCGTTTGGCACCGATTGCGTGCGACGGACGGGGGTAGGAGTAGGAGAGAAGCGCACTTCCTTGTAAACGCTCCCATGGCCATTGGGGGACTTGATTGCAGTTGCTGACTTCATCGTGTTGGTTGCGGGTAACTCAAAAAGATCGGGTTCCTGAGACACTCCAAAGGGAGGAAGGGGAGTACTTTGCTAGGTTCGTCGAGGGTTGATCGCGCCCTCATAAAGGGATGGGTGGAGGGGCGAGAGAGGAGGGGCAAAGTAGGGCGAACTAGAAACGAGGCAACAATTGGAATGAAGCGGACAATAAGGCCGTCAGTCAATCAGTAAATCAGTGCCTTAACTAGCTCGTATGGTAGCAAAGAAAAAAGTCCGTTGGCTGCACGAGGCGACAGCCAAACAACTTGTGATAAATTGATAATGCACGGATGCAGCGACACCGCTTCGCAATGACAAGGGAACCACGACAACGGATCACTCTGGCAAGTGGCGAATAAGAGCAATGCGGTGAGTGGGGGAGAGGGGGGGAGGGTGGGGGGTCAAAGCTAGTTGTCTGCAGCGGTCAATGGGATTAGGATTGAACCCCTGATTGATAATGTTTGGACGGTGCCTGAAACACAACTCGAAGCTGCGAGGCAAACTGTAGAGTAGGTGGGCGAGGAGGAAGAGGAGGTGTTTCGAGTGGACGAAAACGGCGGTGGTAGATAGAAGCGACCACACAAGGACGGCCAAGTGGACGTTGCGCTTGACTCCAGTTATGCGATGGGGAAAAGTGGGGAGGGATGGGCGATCACAGCCTAAAAGTATTGAGGTTGAATGAGCGACATTGTCAGACTGAAGACCAAATGAAAAAAACGAAGTAGAAGGGAGAGAAAGTGAGAGCGCGAGAGAGGAGGGGTGAGGGGGAGAGAATAGAAAAATAAGAAAAGATGAGAGAGCCTGACGAGGAGGCGGAGGATGCGACCAGGAAGATCTTCCACCACCACCACCACCACCACCACCACTAAGCACTAAATGCGGGGGAAGAAACAACAAGAGTCAGGAAAAGCAACAGCAGTCGGAATCGGTGGGTTACTCTGCTTGTAGTACAGACCGTACAGTACAACAACACGTACCAGCTTTGAACGGGGAAAAAACTGACCAGGCACAGGCAGTGGAATATTGGCTCCAGGCTTCCCAGCAGCAGTTGTCTACTTCCACCGAAAACAATAACAACGAGAACAAGAATAAGAGCCGGAAACAATCACTTATTAAGGTAAGAAGGGGTGATTCGTGAAATGACATACACTTACAATCCAGACAATAGAAGAAAACGACAACAGAAGACACAATAAGTCGATCACGAGGGGTCAATGACGTTATCCTCTGCTTTTTTTCCTTTTCCCCCTCCAGGATTCACCACAGTCATTCTCGACTGGGAAAGAGAAAAAAAAATCAAATGAAAAAAAAATAGTCTAGCTCATTCCTGACTCAAGGCCAGAATGATTTCATGGTTTCATGATCCATTCATGTGGATTATCCTTCATCATCTGGCATGTCCACCCGATAACGTAGTACACGATGCTACTCAGTATGTGTTATGTGATCGTAGTGAGTTATAGATCGGAACCCGCGCGGGGCGGCAAGAAAACAAAGTGGAATTTCTCGCGGAATGGATAGTCACGGTTATCTGCACCTCGACTGGTGCACAATGATGATCATGAAATTATAAAAAAGCAAAGTCTATACAATATACATATACAAATATGTGCAGAGATCACGCCCCGAAAAATGCCCCCAGAACTCCTTCAATGTCCATCCTGATGCTAATCCGAACTCCCTCCAGTGGGCGCAACCAGCCAAAAACCATCGCAACAAAACTCCCGCCGCTGGCGACCGCGCGGACACTCATAATACTGTTTTATATTATAGGTGGAGAACCACCAAGACTCAAGGAGTTTACCCTTTGGTTAAGGTAGAGTAAATCCCTCGGTTTCAGTCGGTCCTCAACGTCATCCTGCAGATGATAGTCCCCACCGGTAACCTGGAGTATACTCCGGAGTAGAACACTGCCAATCGGATACACACCCAGCGGGAAAAGAGAGCGAGAGAAAAAAAGAACTCCAAGCTCATGTCCACCAAGGATGAGAAAAAGCAAAAAGATATGAAAATGCCGATGGCGAGCAAAAGGCCGAGATGAGGTGGAAATGATTTGGCTTTCCTCCTTCGAAGACACGACGACTAACAGGCCATTGAGGATGACAAGGCCAGCATCCAGCGACCTAAAAGACGAGCTTCTGAGGCGACGCCCGCGTCCGATCCTGCAGCAGCTTCTTTGCATCGTCCATAACATATCGGTGCATGGACGGCAAGGGGAAGAAATGGAGATCCTTGCCCAGGGCGCCGAACATCGTGGCTAGCGACCAGATGCCTCGCGCCGACGACTGCAGACCCCCCACCGAGGCGGACGGGTAATAGAACCGCGGATCTAGATAAAACAGGGTGCTCTCCCAGTGCGGCAGCTTGTCGCGCAGCATGCGCGCCGCTCGCTCGTACTCCTTCAGGGTGCGCTTGGGCACCCCGGTTTGGGAATGGACGAAGAAGAAGATCTCGAAGCCGACGCTGCGGATGCGGTCCCGCGCCGTGGCGCTGAGGGTGTCCAGGAAGGCGGCCATGCGGTCGAGGTTGAAGGAGTTGAGGAAGAAGAGGGTGTTGTGCGAGTACACATAGTCCTCGACCTCGTCGTGGATCTGCCGGTTCACGGACAGGAGATTCCGCACTCGACCGTTCTCGCCCACCCAGCTGGGACACATGGAGAGGGCCCGATACCGTCCGCGCGCGGTGAACACATTGCCGCGGTCGTTGATCACAATCATCGGCCGGTCCATATAGTCGTTCGGGACGTCCAGCGCATATTCATAGATCATGAGACGAAGCTCGAGGGGCAGTTTGAGAAGATGCGACGACATGCTTGCCGACTTCTTCTGCAACGCAGCAGTCACCGGCGGTCGGTCGATATGCTGCGGTACCCCCATTGTGTAGATTCCGTCAAACTGACAACAACGATAGTGATAAAGATATGACGATAATCAGATAGTAGTAGTTGGATATCGTCGCGGGATTTAGTAGGTCAATCCTTGTGTGAAGAATGAACTAGTTTAAATTAGTAGATCAGACCGGCTCATGGTACTGCCCCAGCCGCTGAATTGCTTTATATATTATCTTGTACGGTATATCCGATCTATGTTAGTAGCATCGGCTATAAAGGACCTGATTCGAGGCGATCCACGTCAGGCAAGGCGTCGTCGAGGCCAGCAGACAGATACCGGATCACCACTGGATAAATTGAGGAATCGATCAGATCATGCCAAGTGCCGTCTGATAACGCAAATGGATGTATAAGGAGGCAATCTCGGGTCAGCAGCAGAAAACGAGAGCTAGAAACGGGGCCAAAAAGCAAAGACGGATGAATATCAGACCACCCCCCTTTCTTGGGCTTTGGGCTTTGGGCTTTGGCTTTCTAAGACATCACCTCACACCGGCATCATTCGAATATATTGCAGAAAGACGGCAAAAGGAGGGTAAAGTAGAGCAAAGAAAAAAATATGACGAGACTCGGAACCGGACCAAGACCGATCGATTTTTTTTTTTTCTTATTCTTTCTTTTCTTTACATAGAAATTTTTTTTCTTCGGCCCAGAAGTTTATTGAAAAAGTTTATCGACAGGGCGAGGCTCTCGGGATTACCCGTGCCAGCCGATGAGAAAGAGAGAGAGAGAGAGACAAAGACTATGAAGGAATGAATGGAACCAGGCTATGCCACTATTGTGCCAGTTACTGCTTAGAGTAGTCTCAACGGCGTGGCACCTCAGAGAAGCCTACTCAGTACATACCTCCTACTTCTCCGTAGGAATACCCGCAGTCTCTCAGCCACGCTCGACCCGCCGGTGATGCAATATTTAATACGTTCTTCCCCGCGCGTTTAGAGCTCGGGGACAGTTCAATCTAGCCTGCCGGTCCTGAATTTGCCACCGATGACGGATGAGGAACACGCCGCGCTCTACACGCCCATGCACCTGCCTTGAAAAAGACAGTGTTTTGAAGATAATCAATTACCAGTTCCAGGACACAATCAAGTTTAATCAAAGCTTTATTACAGCGCCATGCCGTGTCCTTGACCCAAAATAGGCCAAACGCATACATCGGCTAAAGTATCATTTGCGCTGGTAGATGCCGACTAACCAGGCGGCCCGCAAAACGGCCAATCCCCAAGCCATCCCGACACTATCGCGCACCACATTCAATTTACTGCCCATGACTTCGCGCCAGCCCACCGGCACTTCAGCCACCGGAATGCCGGCAAACTCGGCCAGCATGAGCATTTCCACATCGAAGATCCATCCTTCGGAATGCATGTACGGGATGATATATGGCAACGATGCCCGAGTAAACAGTTTGAAGCCGCACTGGGTATCCTTGATAGTGGCGGTCTTGGATGGAGTCATCAGCCAGAGGATCAAGTGGAACGAATGCATGAGGAAGTTGCGCAATTTGGATCGCTGTCATCACCGATTAGCAGCAGCTCTCCCGCGAGTCTCGTAAATGGAGTCGTGCATGGGCGACACGATGAAACTTACCTTGACCACCGCCTCACTTCCAACCATATGGGCGCGAGATCCCACGGCCACACCACGGCCTAGGGAGTCCTCGACCCCTTGACAGGCAGCGACAAGCTTGCCCAGATCCTCAAACTTACTGGCTCCATCGGCATCGGCAAACACCACATACTGCCCGCGGACATGCCTCATACCGTGAGTCACCGCACCGCCCTTGCCTCGGTTCTCAGTTAGGGTCACCACCCGAATCGTGCCCGGCGGGATGTGGACACCCTCTTTCGTCCCCGGGGTCCAAGGACCCGAATAACCCTTCGGGTGCAGCGAGAGCTGATGGTCCCGGGCAAACGTGAAGGCCGTCTCTTCCGTCTTATCCTTGGACCCGTCTGAGACGATGATGATCTCCCAGCCCTTGTTGTCGTGCACGGGGTGATATGTCGCACTGCCATTGGCATGCCCGTTCGCCAACTTGCGCTGACGGAAAGTCTTCTGCGCTGGATCGGCATCCACGCCATTTGGAATGGCGCCTGTCACCGTCCCATACATCCGTTCAAGATAATTCACAGCCTCTTCCAGCATACCCCCAAGACGATCTTCTTCATTGTACGCGGGCACGACGAGAGAAAGGAACAGCTCAGGTTCCTCCACGGAAGGGTTATCGAGGGTCCGACCGGGACGCCTCTTGGCGTCCAACGCATCTTGCCAACAAGGTAGTGCTTGAGGTTCCGTGATCGCTCCATCTTTCGTGAGCGTTCGATATTGTTTCTCTTCGGGGTAAGGCTTCCGTGGTACAGGTGCGACCGCGTAGAGGGTAGCGTAGACCTATTTCATTGAGAAAAGCAGTCAGCCATGGCCCGAGACGACTGGTGAGCAAAGGGCAGTGTGCACCAAGCGATTAGATTGAGACCAGGTGTAAACATACCAGCACAAGGAAACCAGTCAATGTCGCGGCCAAGGTGACAAGTAATACGGAGACTGGAACATTGACCAGAAGCTCAACGCATTGAACGCAGATGTCGGACCACGCCTCTTGAGCCATGGTGCAATCTAGCAGCAAATCGAGCGGGGGGGAGTCAAAGTGATGGATCGGGACAGTCGCCGCGGAAGCCTGAAGGCGCGAGCTCAAGTGCTCAAAGGGATAAGAACAGGGACAATCCGATCCTGGCCAGCCATACGACACGGAAAATTTCTGGAGAAAGTGGATTGGTGAAGGGTGATGAGGATAGGAAACCACAATTAAGAGGGAGAGGGAAGCGATCCCAGAGTGAGGGAGATAGCCATCCTACTATTATTGATAGTTGAGGGGGAAGGAAGTGGAGGCAACGTGGTTGATCCGAGCAAGCAGGCAGGCGGGTTTAATTACGGAGCACTCACAGCGGATAAGTATAGTAGTAGTACTCATACAGTACGGAGTCCACTAGTCAAGTTGAACTCCGCTCCTCCCGCCGAGCCGAGACAGACGGCTAACGCGCAACCACTCACTCACTAAACTTACTTGTCCTTTTTGCGCGGCCTCAGTCGTCACCCAAGTGGAGACTTTCCCCTGTTGTCTCTATCGGTCGCAAGATCCTCTCCTCCAAATATATTGGTAAACCTACGCTTACTGAGGCTATCTAGGCTCTGCTTCAGAATCAATGACTGTCAGGTTCGGACTTCTGTCCAATTCGGGTCTCATTGCTCTTATCGATGCTATGGATACAAGTGACTATTTGCTATATCAGGCCAAGTATGTCAGAAGCCTGTGTAGATCTGTTTCTGTAACGGCAATGGATCGTTAAAAACTGAAACACTCGACTTCCTGCATGGCGGTGAAGTTCACTCTCCAGACCATTAACTTTGTTCGAGGGTACAGTAATTTGGCGGCTCATGGGATCGCTACCCTCAACCTCTGTTGGCATCAAAAAAACTTTATAAGCCATGGTATGGGTTGAGAGTTGCATGAGTCCCAGTCCCAGACTGTGTATAATGTTTCAGAATGCTAGCTCGAAAGCTATCCTGTTCAATTTGTCCGCTGTGACTGGGACGATATAATAGGGGAAAAGTCCCGACCTGTGACCTTCCGTGTATGTGATCTGTTCAGGGCATGGATACCTTCGCTCATTGCGCGGCTTGCTTCTGTTAGCTTTTTCGACTGGCAAATGGATCGTTTCTCTCGGCAATCGTTTCTAGATCCAGGGCAAATCGAGTTGTGGAGAATTTGTGAGAACCGGCATCGTATGTTATCCAGCGGTTGAACTGTCTTCTATCAGTATATCACTGTCAACCCGGGTGCATTGCGAGCATACCGTGGAGAGCCTCACGCCCAACCATATACATCTATACATCCTCGTGATGCAACGAGACGGTAGTTCGTCATTCCTCATGTCGTCTACAGAAGGCGCACCATTGAAAAACGATGGAGGGTATAAGCGCTCGCTCCAGCAATGTCCTCTAATAAGGTAGTCCTCGGCGACCCATGTCGTTTCCTCGGAGACTGGGAACTCCGGCTTTTCGGCGATACCCGGTTTGATGTAGCTGCGAAACAAGGAATTGAGAAAACTTGAGATTTTCTTCCACGGTACGACGGCCTCCACATGCTTCATTCCCGTGGGAGTCAATGCAAGACACCACAGAAATGCAAGATAGACATGGCATGCTGCGTAGATATTTTGGTCCCCAATTCGATCAAGAAGCACTGACATGGTCCGATACGCCATATAAGAGCCATAGAATAGTGTCGGTGCCATGTTTGGCGACTCTTTATAGGCGAGTAAGTCTATCTGCACCGTGTCGAGATCATCAGGTGAAGTCCAGCGAAGAGCTGCCGCTGTAGAAGAGTCTTGGGGATCTGCTGACGGTAACCCAGTCGATACATCAAACTCAGGTGGTAGAAGTGCATCTTCGTGCCCGTATCCCATGATCGCGGCGATATTACTGGCTGATATGAAGAACCCTTGCAAGATGAATTTCTCGTTGAGGTGAGTCACGTATTGATCCAGATGCGACAAGAAAATATTGACGGAATGGTAAAGTCTGTCGCCAAAGTCTCCGGTAAAAAGAAATGCGTGGGCAGCGATGAATGGGCCAACTGGTGGGATACGGCGCATTGCCATGAAGTTTCTAAGAAAGGGATTGAATATGTCGAGAATACTCGTCCTTGTGCCCAGAAAAGGCTGCTGGACAAGTAGAGATTTTGTGTAGTAGAAGAGTCTCTGAGCGACATCATGTCGAGCCATGACTCCAAGATGGTGCTGGAATTTTCCCATGCCTGGGTTCCGATCGGCTGCACGATTGTACCAAGTCATTGCAATGCGAGCCCATAGCCTACGGTCCTCTGTGTCAGTGGTTTCCGCGGCCATTCGGTATCTCGAAAGATCCCCCAAGCACTCCAACCAGGTCTCTTCATAGGCAGGAAACTCTGATACCATAGAGGCCATCGTTTTATAAACGTCTTGTATAAAGCCAAGCATGTACTCGAGGGACTCAGGGAGTTGGTGACGCATCATTTCCAAGTAGTCATGAATCCCGTAGCGCCACAGGCGAGTTGGCATCATGTATGCATCAGGCAGGCTTTTCACACTGGGGCCTGCAGCCGGATCTGAACAGGCTCTGAAGAAATCATGCTGCTCACTCACTAGCGTCAAATGCACTTGGGTAAGTTTCTCAAGTTGATCTTGCGAGGCCACAGTGTCCATGGCGGAAAACTGCTCGTCATATCTAATGGCTACTTTCTCGCACATGTCAAGACCGGCATAAATCATTTGGATATCATTGATTAACATCTCTTCTGTTGGCAAGTCAACCTCTAGCTGGGGCAAGAACCCAGGTGATGCTGTACCTTCGGTTGTTGCAATGCCAACCTCTGGCAGCCTTTGCTCCTCGCTCAACTGTCTCGCGGATTCTCGGCCATAGTTAGCACCCTCCGAGCCCACGCCTGATTGATGGGGCGAGGAGGCCCCTTGATCCGGGCTGGCGCTCCGAAATAGAGGTAGACCGTCATCGGACGGCGTCGGACTAAGTTGGAATATCTCTGACCGATGCTGCAAAGACATATCGTGATCATCGCCTAGATCATGCTTCTCGTCATGATTTCTTTGGTTTGCGATGGCTTCTAGATCTGATGGGCGAGTCGAGGAGATCTCTTGACCCCAGTCTTCCTCCCATTGCTGGTCAAGGTGATTCTCCGGCGCGGTCGACAGATTGAATTCGAGAGAATGCTCACTAGCGCTTCCTACATGCGAGAAAGAGGCACTGGCCGAGTGAACAGCTGGGTTTGTAGTCGATGAATCAGCCGGAGAGATATCACCCGGAGGCGACGGTGGTGATGATTTTCTGTACATGAGGTTAGAAGCTTGCTCAAGGCTCAGTGCTCACACATTAAAGAACACAGCAGCTAGAACAGGTTTGAGAGGGTAAGGGTTTATTCACATTAGAGATTTGGCGGCGCCTTCGGCTGAGTCTTGACGCCAAGTTGAGAGATGTTCCTGACCCTCAGTTCCAACATTCATTGTATTGGCGGCGTAGATTAAACGTCATCTGATCAAAAATTAGTCCTCTGTCGGTCTTTTAAAAAAAGGACTGGGAATGAAGACAGGAGACTGGGAAAGAGTGCTGTAAGAAACTGAGGCTCCGACGTCTTCTCATGTCTCTAATCAAAGCCCTACTCCAATAGTTCCTATCTTTCGCGGGCAGGGGAAATGCAAGATATAAATCCGAATTCGGAATTTCTGGGAAATACGCACGAGATAGATATAGTGGAATGACCGCCAACCACGGAATAAGGTCAGGCAAGTTGTAGGCAATGGCAGTGTCGAGATAAAGCTTAATAGGAAACGGGACGATTGGGAATAGCAGGAACAGTGGGAAACACTATTTATAAGAACGAAGACATGGAAGTGGTTTAGGTTCTTTAGGCAACTAACCCCATCTCTGCCTGGGGGATGGGAAACGCCTGTGCGAACAAACCGGATCACCGAGGAAGGCGCGCACGAACACTGGCAGCTAGGAGAAGCCGACAAGAGGTTGCTGGGGAAGGGAAGTGTACAGTACACAGCACAGTGCACAGTATCAAAGAATGGATATGTCCCAGAAGGCGACAGAGGCTAAAGTAAGTAAGCAACTTTTGTGAAGTGGGGAGATGTGGTGGGTGAAAGGTTAATGAGAAGTAATGGAAGTACCCCGTAGTTAGTTACTTTGGTAGTTAAGTAAGTTGGGTAAAAAAAAAATAAGGTAAGGTAAGGTAAGGTAAGTGAGTGCTGATACGGAAGGCGAGGAAACCATCCATTGGAAGAGTTCCACGATCAGACGGACCAGACAGACAGAACCGAGCACGAGTCAAACCGAAGGGGGAAAGGCGAGGCTGGTGGTAATTTATTGTGGTGAGAACCTTTAAATGGTAATGGCCTGGTATTCCTGACTGACGGGAAACAAACCACCAGCGTCGCCGTTGTCTGGCTGCCTGGTTGCCTTGTCTTCACTCGAGTCTCCTCCTTCATACTACTTACTCATCAACCATGAAGCTCCTTGCCAATCCGAACAAATCTCGTCAGCTTCCTTTCGTTACATGCGATCTCAATTATGTCTGGCTGATCGTTTCTTCCTCGCCATCGGTCCATCGCGGACCTCATAAAATGACCATGACAAAAAAATAGAAAAACCACAATTGAAATAAGATATAACAAAGTACACTGTCATATTTTGGTGGCGTCGAGGCTCACCATTCTTCAAGCTCTCTCTCGATTCGACGAACCTTTTTAAAGTTCCCGACGCATGCTTGCTTATGCCCCAATTAGGAAAGTTGTTAACGGTCAGGTCGCCTTGTCAAGCATATTACGGGGTACGGAGTACGGTAGGTATCTTCAATCATATCGAGAGTCAAATGCATTGATGCCCATGTTTTGAGTATCCGTGACTCCACTTGAAATCTTTGTTCAACTCCTAGGGGCGTGATATGAGACGTCTCTATCAGTACGTCCCCCTACATGCGTATCAATACTGAGGAGCTCATGCAGGTGGGTTCTGCGACCTCCTTGATGCCGAACCCGACTGTTTGGGTTGGGC